GCAGTATTCTTTAGTGTAACAACCAGTTAGCCTAATGCTAAAAACATAACGCATCACATGTCCTAAATCTTAGAGAGAGACGAAGGTCAGAGAAGGAGGAGGAGGAGGGGGAGAAGGATGAAGGGATTAAGGTGGTCGATACTTTGGTTCCTCTACAGACTGAGTGATGACACTAAATCTGTTAATTCACTCCCTCTCAACCCCTCCCTCAATCTCCCTTCATCCTCAGCAGTCTCAGCTCTCTTAGCCCTGTCCATTCACACTCAGGACCGTGAAACTGTGCAAAACCTTCAAAATGAAAATCAGCTGAGCATGCTGCAGGTGGGGCCTTTTAAATGTCTACGCATCATTCTGAACGTAATTCATTATACTGGAAGGAAAATCTGAATTAAGGAGTAACACTTAACACAGATGTGCTCATATTATTTGCATTGTCAAACGAGAGTAACCCAGTCAGGACTTGTCTAACATGAATAACAGAGAGTTGAGAGTCCACAAGATGTAAATACAGACAATATATAGTTTTTGGACCAAGTGCTGTCTCTCACAAACTAGCAAATGCTGCTCACCAGAAGCTACTCTGACTTTATTTTTAACTCATACCAGGGACAATCTCATTTTAGGTGTGATGTCATTCCCAGCACTAACATCTGACACACAGGTCAACACCATAGACTGTATATATTATGGACAACTTGGCTCCGCCTTCCGTCATTATATGAATTTGAAGCCGAATTGCTCTCAGTATTTCCAGGGTTTTCTACACTTCCTAGAATCACCACTTGGCGCAGTAGTGTTGTACACATTCTGCAAGAGAGTCACTGTGATGACGCTCGGCTCAAACAGCGTATCCCCCGGGTTAAGGTTAGGGCAATCTTTGTACGCCCATAGGCTGTCTCAAGTGTCAATCATACAAAACATGAACCTCCTAATAACTTTTAAAAATGGAGCTGTACAGAAAAAAGAGGACTTGAGCACAAACCAGTCTTACTGTAACTACATGGCAACATCACAAGCAGGGGGGAGAAAAATTTATATTATGTGTAATACATTTCAAAAGTTTGTCAACAGCTCCATAAGGGATTGCTGGAGGAGGCAGGATTTATGACTTTTACTGCAGCCTGTCACCAAAGGGTGCTGTTCTCGCTGTAGATTCACCCAACGGGGAGGCAGACGGCGTCCATTCTATATACAGTCAATGGTCCACACTGCGAAGTATCCTCAAATAAAATCATGCTGCATTTAAATGCAAAGGTGACTACTTGCACTCTTTTCCAACACCAAATAGTTGATTCTAATCTAAGCCCCACCTCCAACAAGGCATCCAGCCAATCATATGATAAGATTTTGTTCCAGCCAGTTAGATTTCAACTGGGGCTTTGCCCCCCCTCTTAGCATACCTCTGCAAAGACTGTCAACAAACCCTTTAAATGATGAACACTGCAGTCACACAGACCATGACTCAGCATAATGTACTAACACCATTATTATTAATGGCACAAACATCTCACCTGTGACTATCACTGTCTCACTAACAGACTGAGGGGTGAGAGGGTGACGCCAAAGACAACACACCTCGTCACACATTTAGAGAAATGGTTACCATGACAACAGGGCTGAGCAGCTCACTCTTGACCTTTTGTAGACATGGCCGTAATTACATTAAATTACTCTGCATCTGATCATTCTGTGCTTTCATGAGTCATTTCCCATAGAGCTGCTGCAGCACCAACACGATCCAGACTCACAGGCCTGCATGCAAACACACTGCTGCAGCTTCTTCAACTGTTTAAAGATGAACAAACATATAACCTGCACTTGAAATGGTGCGATTGAATGTGACTGTACACCTGAAATAAGATTATCTGAGGTTTTTTTTGTTTATGTGATCAGACCCTGAGAGCTAATCATGGCCCTTTCAGACACCTGTTAGATGGTCCTTTAACCCTGAAGAAGAGGGGTCTATGATCTGTTTTGTTTGTGAGAGCTCAGTGATGTACATTTCTCTGGACCGGCTGCCTGCATGGTTTTATTTTCACGCGTCTTTCTCCTTCTTCCCACACATGTTCTCTCTCCTCCCTCGGCCTCCTTTATGCGATCATGTTGCTTGGTAACTGCAGAAGAATGATGAGGAGTGTAGGATGTGTTCGCTGCCTCCTGTGTGATGGGATGTGTCTTCACATCAGCTGAAAGTAAGACGCTGCAGAGTGGTCCGAGTCAAACCACGTGAATTAAAGTCACTGAGAGTTCAGAGTTCAGGTGTGTGTGTGTCTGTGTGTGTGTGTGTGTGGGGTGGGGGTGGGGGGTGGGGGTCTGTAGATAACTTTTTATAAAAGTTATGAGGTGACCGTACATTTAAATAATTGCTGTCAGTATATTTCAAATAGAACAAAGGTAAAGCAAAGGTTAGTATTACAGCCCAAAATATTGTAGTACTTTGTTAAAGTTCATATAAAAAGCTGTTACCTCCAAAATATAACATACCTGCTATTGTAATCACTCACTCACACATACATACACTCACACACATAAATATATATTTTTTAATTCTTTTTGGTATATCTTAATTAAACAGCAGAGACTGGGGAAAAAGCCTGATCTGTGTCCAAGACATTCATGTTAAATTGGATGATGTGACATAACAGCCAGTTTCCCCATTAAAAGACAGTTTTCACATTTCTTTTATTTTTTCAAATTTGAGCTGAATCTCAGAGAAATGAGCTCCAGCTCACAGACTTCTTTGATAATACATGTCATTTAGGGATCTTTTATTGACAGTGTAAACTTCATATGACTGTAAGATCACTTCAGTAATATTTCACAGTGCTGTTATGAGCCATTGTTGCAGAAGTGCCGACACACAAACAGACCCTGTAAAGCTCCATAAATCTGGATTTAAGAGGTTCAGACAGCTTCAGGAGAGAGCGGCTCATTGCTCACAGAGAGAAAGACTCATGACAGGGAATAAATCAGGTTTTAATCTAGAAAACTGCAGCCATAAATCTGAGAAACCAAAACTGAGTGATCATTTACAGCTCACTCAGGAAAATAAGGCGGGTGTTCCTAGCCTGTGTCAGATTTTTTTGTGACAAACAAGTGTGAAAATTTGACTTTAAGTCAGTCTGAGTCATGTAGAGAAACTGCTCAGTGATCCCCGGACTATGTTTTTTTTTTCCTGAAATCTTCTGAAAGTGAGAAAAAGAAAAGGAAAAAAATAAAAAAACAAACCTCTTTGTCTCCTTTTTAGCAGAGATTTCCTCTCTGTTTGTCTGTTTCTAACTCATTGCAGCATCTCCAGAAAAAAGGTCATGGCACAGTTGCTAATGACAACCTGTGAGACTGAGTGTGTGTGTGTGTGTGTGTGTGTGTGTGTGTGTGTGTGTGTGTGTGTGTGTGTGTGTGTGTGTGTGTGTGTGTGTGTGTGTGTCTGTCAGATTGTGTGTGTAAGTGTGTGTGGTCTTCTTTTTCCTAAGGCGCAGTCGCCCCCTGCTGTTTCTCACATTCTTTGACTTGAATGAAAAAATATTAGGTTGCCATGACAACCAGAGGAGGCATTCCTGGAGCCAGGGAGTAAAATTAGCATCCACCTGTGCTTACAGATGTCAAACCTAAGGGATGGAGTCTTTGTGTTCCTAAATATGTTTGTTACAGCTGTAATTTAAAGTAGATGAAAATTCAATTTGTGTAAAACTGTGAAACATTCAGATCGTTTGATGATTATTAAGCTTGCAAATTGCAGTTTTATAAGTGTACAGCTGTATTTTTGCCACCAGAGGGCAGCAGGATTCAGACCAAAGTGTTTAAAGTATAACCCTTTCAAAAAAATCTCTCTTTCTTTATATTTCAACCTCATTTCATTGAGAACTGAATTAGACAGCTTTTTTTTTTTTTTTTTTAAGTAAATTCACATACAACTTATTGCTCTGAAGTTTATTTTTGTGTATACATTATAACCTGGGTAACTTGCATATACGTGGAGCTGTTACTATGCCAAATCTTACAGGAAAAAAGATTCATACACGAAGGTGCAGGAGCTGTGCATGCAAATCTAACAGCCATGCACATTTACTTCCTTCGGTAGTGCTTTCACAGCACATTTGTGCAACATTTATGTGCTCCGTGTGTGGCTCTGCAGCCCGTGAGGAGACAACCATTTTTTGAGTGCATGCAGAAACAGACTGTTGAGATGATTATTATGAACTGTTTTGTTATGCAAAGTATGAATAATTTATACATTACATATAGTAGGTGTATTGCTGTTGGATTTGCATGTGCAGCTCTTTACCATCTTTGTGTGTGAATCTTCTTTAATCTGGGGAAATTTGGCACAACAATGCTGCTCTACATGTGGTTAATCATGGCCAGTTTTGGACACACGTTGAAATTGTATTTGTAAAACAGTAATGTAACTGTAGACTGGGACTGGGATGGCAGCTGATTTGTATTTCATTTTACTCTTTTGATGGAGATACTCATCTCCTAATATCCTTAAATCTAAGAAATGCCCCTTACATTTACTTCACTGAGCTCTTTGCTGCATCTTTGTCTCACACAAAACATACCTCCATCCGGGTTTGTATCAGAAAGGTACAGCCCCTCGCTGTTCTGACAAAAAGGTTGTTGACAAACATTAATTGCCATAATTTTTGTTATAAAATTAACACTGGTTAACTGCTTTGTATTAGCTAACACAACCCAGTCTAAATTTGAAAAAAACAAAAAACAAAAAAAAAAACGGCTCAAGTGCAAATAAACTGCAGTTCCTTGGGTGTCCACTGGAGGCTGGCTGCAAAGCTAAGGAATCCCCATTGAGTCCCATTTTAAAATGCTGAAAGTCATATGACAACAACCAGGTACAAAAATTATTTAAGTCTTAAAAACTCTTTTTGAAAAACTCAGACCACAGAGTTTAACATCAGTAAGACTGTGTCGATGTTTTGTACAGTTGATGGTTTAAGTACTCAACAGAGACACAAAAAACAGCCAACAAACGACAGAGATTAACTGGTTTTCTCTAAGTGTTTTATTCATACAGTAAGGGTGCTCATACATAATATTTATTTTCTCTATAAAATATATCACCTTTCAGTTCCTGAAAGCAAAACTAGATATAAATCATCATCTGATAAGAAGCAACTTATTTTCAAGTGTTAACCGAGGCAGTCAGCTGATTCAGCATCAAAAATGCAGATTTAAGAAATCACATTCTAATATTAATATGAATAATAATAAAGACTTTCTAAATCTTCTGTCTAGTAAAGCCACAATGCCCCCACAGGCAGCCCACTGTCTAACAACACAAAAGACGAATGATCGCTCGGGTTTCTAACGTAGCAAAGACTGAAAATACCGAAGCCACGAACATTTTCAGGTGAGAGGAAAAAAAGAGACGAGGTGAGTGGAAGGACAAAGAGTCTGAACAGAACTCAGTGACGCTTTATGATATCTGTCATGTGTCTTCCTCCTCCTCTTTTTGTGTGTGTTTTTTTTTTTATTTGGCTCCTTGTAGATGAAATGCTCCTCAGTTCTCATGACAACGCTGCAGCCGGGGTGAATTTCTTGGCCATCACAACAGCTCGCTCTGACCGGAGGCCGAGTTCAGGCTGTCTGTGAAGAGAAACAGAAATATGTTTTTTGATCAGAGGAAGCATCAGGTCATTATGTGTCAGTGCAGTTAAAACTTAACAGAAAAATACTCGGTAAATGATTAATTTAACGTCTTCTTACAGCTAACAATTTTAAGAGGAATTCCATTATTTCTAAGCCTGGTTTATTTTTTATATTTTTGGGTTTGAAATCATTTACTTTTGTCAGAGGTTTTGGAGTTTTAGCAGCAGGCTTCAGCTTATATAAAAGTTCTTGTTTCTGACTTTCGCAGGCTCAAACACCACAGTTAAGTAAACAGACAAGATGACAAAGTTAATCTATATTAACATCTGCCCACATGTGGCTACTGTGCAAACTACATTGAACAAGCGACCGCTCACTAACATCTGCCAACTTAATTGCTAACTACAGGACTTGCCAGTTTCATGATTATGTGCTATAATCATATGAAACTAGAATTTATTGGCTCCACCATTCATGGAAACTTCACCAGACAATTCACAACTTGTGAACTAGAAACTTTCAACTTACAGTGTTGTGACTTTGACAAGAGGAAGGCGTTCACACAGTAAACCCAGCCCTATTTGAAGGCATGGATAGAGATCACACTGCCGACTAGTATTTATGTGGCATATTGCAGAGAGATGTAAACACTCCAGCATAATAGGATATCGTGCTTATGACGGCACTGTCCACTGTGGTGTAGCTATGGTGTAGGTCTGACACAAAACTAAAGACCAGGCTTTGGTTAGGCCAAATATGGAACGCTTTGATCATACTGATTTAAAATCCTGAGGACAGTTCAGATTGAATTTTAATATTACAACCCTCTGAGACACACAAGGCGGTTTCGAAAGATTGCTAGACCACGCACTTGGCATTTGCAGTAACAGTATGACAGTGGTGACACAAGATCAAAAAATTAGCATTATTAAACATCACTTCAGAAGCCAAACAGTGAGGAAGAACGAGCGAGTCGGCAGAGAGTGTTCTGATTTACAGCAAAAAAAGAGAAAACAATATGGATGAAAATTCAGCTAAGGAGGCAGTATAGGTACAGTTGTGTTTGTGTTAACTGCCACGTTTGTAAGCTGTAAGAATACGCATCATCTGGTTTGTGACACTGACCAGGCCTATGCCCTATGATCTAACCAAAAGGTCTCATTAGTTGAAAGTGCACGAGAGACCAAAAGTGTTCGGAGCTGAATTAGGACATTTTTGCACACGCCACTTTTTAGTGTCACTTTTGTTTGAGTTCAGGTGACCCAACAAAAGATACATTTTTCTGAACTTCTGAAGCTGCAGTTACCTTTGTTAGAAGCACTTTGATCAGATGTTATTCCCTCTGATGATAAAGATACAGTCTGTTTCTCTGCTGTCATTCAGTAAATAAAAACCTTGCGATATTTCACGGACGTTCAAACCCAAAATATGCAAAAACAAATGAGAGGTTTAAAATACCAGAATTCCTCTTCAACCAACATCAATAACCTGTACACTTCACTCACACTCGAACACCCACCACACAAACTCACTCACACACAAGTAAAACCAGAGAGACATGTACCAGACACCTCCATGGACTTATTTCTGTTTTGGGGTAGTCTAGGTTTTTTCACAGGGGGTTTTCGATTTGGGGGCTTCTCAACGTTATTTGGGCTTTCCCTGTCAGTGCCTGGGTTCAGTAAGGACAAAGAACAACATCAACAGTTAGAAACAGACGCTTTACACACTGATAAACATGTAAATACACAAACAGGAATCAGCTCTGTCAGAATCCTTTTCTATCAGGAAGAATAAATCATTGTGTTTGTACCAGCGTCACAGGACATGGCCTTCCTGTTCCTCTGAGGTTTGACTGGAGCCTGAGGTCTCAGGCCTTCATCACCTGAACGACACACAGGAAAAATATTTGAATATTTATAACACTGACATTAAATTATCAAGGATACATCTAAAGAGGTCTTAAAACAAAAGTCAAGTAAACTTTAAAGATCCACTCTGATGATATTACAGAAGAACAACTACGTCAGCCGCATAAGTAACAGGTGGACATGAAAGTGATCTCAATTATACCATCGTAACACAAAGTAGACAGTCATAGGTTATTTTCTAAAATGTTAAAGTATTCCTCCAAAGGTCTGTTTGCCCCTTGATGTTAATCATTTTTTGGCAGAGCAACCGTGAGTCTTAATTTCAGCTGAAAATGATGCACAGATGACTCAAACATTGAAGTCAGACATGTGAAGCTTTTTCCGATAATGCCAATGGGAGCCCTCCTGTCTGTGTATGTTTTCAGAGTTACCTTGACTTGCAGCTCGGTCTGGTAATCCGTGCGCAGGTTTGCTCACAGGGGGCGGCACAGGTGGAGGCGGTAAGCTCCTCTCATTGGCTGCTTCCTTTGGAAAAATCACATATGTGGACGTCTTTGGCTTTTTGTTGGATTTAAAAACAAAACAGGGACAAGAAAATATGCTTTTAATGATAAAAAACAGCCTCAGATTCACTGTGTGCACTACCTTATCTGTAAACACAGAATATGTTAAATTATGGAGAAAAAAAAGTCACCTTCTCTGGAATCGGAGGAGGCTGACCCTCCGAGTCTTTTCTTTTTTCTTTTTTGTCTGTTTTTACAGGATCCCTCTCGACCTCCACCTCCTCCTCCATACCTGTGAATGAAAGAGAGATCTTTAACTTTCTTTCTGCACACTTTGATAAATCAGAGCTCTTCCTCTCTGCCTGCAGCGCAGAAACACAGAGACGGCTTTGGTACCTGGCAGAGGCTCTGAGCTCTCGATTCGATGTCTCTGCCTCAGTTTGGGGAGGTTTGGTTTGCTGCTCTGCGGCGGGGGGTCAGGTTTGGAAGCAGCTCGACCTCCTCCTCCCCCTCTCCATCCCTCTGTGAACCCTCCCCCTGCATCCGAACATGGCGGTCTGTCTCCATGTGTGTCCTGCAGCTGCCACTCCACAGCTGCTGCCTCTGTCCCTTTAAGAGGATCCGTCTCCTGTTTTGGCGAAGGTGTCCGGTCTGACGGGTATGGCGGTAGCGGCCTCTGAGCCAGGTGAAGCGCCTGCATCTGTCTGTCTGTCTTCCTGCTCGCCTGTCTGCTCTCTGTCCACTGATTGTCCACCTGAACGTCCATCTGCCTGTTTTCCGACCATGACCTGTCGATCTGTCTGCCGCCCACCCACTGCCTCTCGATCTTCCTGTCGATCTGTCTCTGTGTATGTCTGTCCACAGTCCATTGTCGGTCCACCTGTCTGCCCTCAGTCCAGTACCTGTCCGTCTGTCTGTCCACTGTCCTTGAATCTGCAGCTGTTCTGTCCTGCAGCCTGTTGTCGAAGCGTTTGTCCTCCATCCACGGTTTCTCTTCCAGCAGGACCTCCGTCGCCCTCTGTCTGTCGTCTGCCCAGTACTTGTCTGTCTCTGTTGGCTGCTCGAACACAGAGTCCACCTCAGATATCTGACAAAACACAATGAGGACAGACAAAACACAGTTTATTTAAACTTGTTTCACTGCTGCACAGTCGGCTGCTGAAGTGAAGAAAACAAGAAAACATAGAGACAGAAATACAACGTCAAACCTGCCAGCAGGATAGAAAACAGACACTAATAAAAGAGGTTAAAAGAGGTTAAAAGAGGTACGACGTTAAAGTTAATTCACCAGGAAAATGGAGCATGAACTGATCGTGAGGGTGTGTGCTTACCTTGGACTAGCAGATATGACTTGTTTATAGGAAGTAAAAAGGAAAGTGAGTGAGGAGGTCAGGTTGTGAGGTAAGTTGTGCGAACACAAAACCTCCCAATGTAGTCAACCTCAACTGTGTTTGATGAAAACCGACTGACCTCCCTCCTCTCTGGTGTAAATTTGTGTCTATATGTGCAAATTTACACAAGAGAGCCCTGACGCCCTGCAGAGGAAACTTATCCCTGCACAAAGCTCCTGACCACAGGTGAGGGCTGAAGTAAGGATCAGCAGGTAAATTAAAGCTTTGCCTTCAAGCCTCACATTACTGCTGATGCTGCACCAACCCATAGGCAGAGAAACTCAGGTGAGATTTAAGCTTGTTGTGCTGTTGTTTTCTTTTTTTGCTTGAAATGATAGTTTGTGTTGTATTTATCTACCTCTACCTCTCTGGGAGAGAAAAAGGGGTGTTTGCTTCCTCCCACACTCGGATGAGGGATGCCTGGCACAGCTGGCGGACTCATAACATGAGTATTTTTCCCATCAGCCCCCTCTCCAGGAGACCCAGCTCTGGTGGCAGACCTCGGAGGCTGCAGGAGCGTGTAGACGTTCTCCGTGGCTGTCCTGGAAAATGTAAAAACACTGAAGATGAAACATTTGTGCCTCTGTTTCTGCAGATTCACAGCATGAAGACCAAAATGTAGCAAACTTCTGTGGCAGAAATCCGCCGTCCTGCTTCTCTAATCTGTATTTAACATGCGGCGTGTTCATTTCTAATCGCTCGGCTGACAATGGGAGCCACCGGCTGTCTTCTACATCTGTGAGCACCCGCTGCTGCACGCTGGCAGCTATCAACCATTTCTCCTATCAACAAAGAAATGAGGAGATTTAGAGCGATGTTTGTCAGAGATTTTATGGAGTTTGGAGCTGCTGATTATCCTCAGAAAACTGAGGAGGAAGAATCAGCAGAAAAAGTGAAGTTTTGGAGAAGAGTGTGGAGGAGAAATAAACGAACACTTTGTGACGTTGATGTGCTGTTATCGTGTAGATCAAACAGGTGCTGTGTTATCTTCTCAATGCTGTTTCTTTCTGAACACAGAGTGTGTTTGTGCGTTCACAAACCCTGTGGTTGCTGTCGCCACTGTGTGACAGACGTCCGCATAAACCTCAGCCTCAGGCTCCGCCCCCTGATTGGACAATGTCTGGTTTCGGTTCTTGCGGAAGCCGAAGATGGCGAGCATGTTTCTCCTCTTCTTCCGCCGCAGAGAGTGAGCTTTGTGCAGAGAGGAGAGCTGACTGAAAGAGAGAGAGAGAGGGAGAGAGAGAGAGAGAGAGTCAGCTGTCAGTCCAGCTCAGTCGTCTCTGATGACTTCTTCACAGCCGTCTGTTTGTCTGCTCGACCTCTGGAGCATCTACAGTCTGAGTGTTGCTAGGCTACGCCTCTAGGTACACAATGATTTATCTAAAGTGCACTTTTTATATCAGAACTGTAATCATAATAAAAGCTCTGACTTAACCTGATGATCTGCAGAGTGAACAGGAGCAGCAATATTCTGATAAACCGTCTCTGAATGCAAAGTAAAAGCTTTCAAAGCTGCAGCAGCTGAACACTTAAGGCTCACTCTGGTGGTTCTGCATGTTTCAAACCAATTATTTCTGAATTTTATTTTCTTTGCATGATGCTTTAAGACTTCAAATTAATTTCCAAAGCAGGTAGACTTCCAATTTAACAAAATCCCTTACTGCTTCAGATTAAAACAACAATAATAACCTGCTAAACCACCTTCAAATGTCCAAAACCCACAAGTTTCAGCTCCTTGAACCATCAAAGACTGACAAAAAAAATATTTCGATTTGATTTTTTCTGACTGAATCTGAATCTCAGCGTGAAATTATTTCAAAGACAGACAGCATGCTGCTCAGAGAAAAACAACTGTCTTCAATTATTTAATATTCTCACACACAAAAAACCTAGACAACATCAATAGAATGAGAACAGATCTAATTAACTAAAAATAAACCAAGATTTTAATCTGTAGTGTTCCTTCTGTAGTGTGTAGTGTTGGTATTGACGAAACCATCTTTAAGAGATGTAATATTGACATCATGGTAAAATAATCATAGCTAACCGGCTCACAAACAGTAAAAGGCTTTAACTGTTTTGTTGGATGACAAAGAAGCAGCTAAAGGGGACACTGACACTGAGGTAGGGCAGGGCGATAAACTGAAAATTTACCTATACCAAAATTTATGACAACAAATGATGTTTTTTTTTGCCCATGTCAATAAATTTGGTGTCAAAAAGTAATAAATAAATTAATAAAAGTTGGTTTCAGATGTGTGTAGTAAGGCTATGGTCTCATGTCCCTTTAAGATGCTGTCCTACGTCAGAGATGTGACTCCACCCCATCCAGTCCATAACAAAGAGGGAAAGACAGGTGAGGAGATGGAGGACGGTTCAACAGTTGTAGTGGCTGGAGTAGATGAAGTTAATTTGTGAGGGGGTGAACAGCTTGTGGAGTAGTTATCATCCATTTACTGTTATTGAGGTAAACTACTCAATATACTGTAATATTGATCTGAGGCCATATCGCCCAGCTCTATGCTGGAGTTCAAACATGCATATAAAACTCTGTCATGTGTAATGGCTCAAGACTGTCTACATGTCTACTGCATGTGTGACAGAGCTGAGCCAAAGACTGTCCTAGATTGATTTAACAATGGCAGAACAGAAAAAGTTAAAGTACACATTGAAAAAATCAAGATCAATCAAAATCAAGCTCTCCACTAATCAGCTACAGAATTAGAATGCATCCATCTGACCAACACTCCATTAACTTTAGCCAAACTCATCTGCTGCTGATCCTCACACAGCCAAGAATTAAAGAAGAATTTCATTTCCAGGCCCCTTTTTTCTGAAAATCAAACCCGCACGACAAACGTTAAGTTAGAACGTCTACTTCATCTTGTTCTGTGTTAGACAGTTTTGGCTTACAGCTCCATAACGTCATCTTATGACTTCAAGGTGCTCACTGTGATGGATTTATCCTTAAGCGATGTCTAACTCAAGCTACTAAACGAAAAAAGGAACTAAATCTTAAATCTGTAAAAAAAAAGACAGTCAGCGTCAAAGACAGTCTCACCTGTCAGGGAGGACTCTTTTGGTGTAGAAATCTGGGAGTCCATCATCTAAAGGGCTGATTCCCCCATTTTCACTACAATGCTGAGAACATCAGAAGAAACACACAATCACTTGCTCTAAATGCAGAGGTCAGTTTTCATCCATAGATGTTCTGTATGCAATAAAACAAATGGATTATGCTGGCTTCAGTGAGATGACATAATCCAATTGTTGCAGCCCACTTTATTTAAATTAAAGACAAAAAAACTGAGAGCCTGCAGGCATGAGCATCAGGAGATGGGAGAATTATGCATAGAGAGAAAAAAGGTGGTAGATCAGATAGATACCATGTACAACCGAAAATCCATATGAGGTGATAAGCTGAGTAATATAAGAAAATACATACTGGTTTGGATTTACCGCAAATCATTTAGAGTGAATATTAAATTGAAAATGGTGCAAAGACAACATGCAAAAACTTCACAACTCTAGCAGGCTGTAAAAAGTTCATACATTTAAATTCAAAGTCAGATTGGTTAAAGTTTTGATGCAGATGGATTGTTTCAGGTCGTTTTATGTTTTCTTACTGTGTCAGCAGGGATGTATCCTCCTTTGTGCCTTCTTGGAGGCCTTGGTCGAACCCTTGTCACATGATGGAGAGGCAGCCCCTGTGTAGGCAGCTCTGACAGGCCCTCCCATGATGCCGAGCGGGATAACGGGGAGGAGTATGATGGCACGGAGGGGGGTGGAGAGGAGCTTGAGTCGTCACATAGACCTGATGGCAGCAATGAAAGGTTTATTGAGGATGTTGAAGTGAGACATCCGTGGAATTACGGGGAGCCGTCAGCCGTCAAGTTTAAAACAATCAGAGACAAAGTGACTCAAACTGAGCTGGGGTTGGATTTAAAAAGACATTTAATGACTTCTGAGATGTGGAAACGGGAAAGAGTCAACAGAGAAGACACTAATGGAGCTCTGAAAGAGACAGGAAGAGGTCAGAGCTGGATGGGAAGGAGCAGAAAAGGGGGGATAAGAGGAGGTAAGTCAGTACTCACTCAGCCGGGTGGAGACAGGCCGTATTCGTCTTGTTCTTGAGCTGCGCTTCTTAATGGCTATTGTGTCCTGAGGGGGAATAAGAAAAACTGATTTTGAGTCTTTGTGGGGAAGCATTAGAGCAGGAACACGAGCGGGAACGAGTAAACACATCAAGTAGCAGACATCAAACAAACATTTCTTCAGGAAAAATCTGTGTTTCTATAAAATTCAAATGAAGTGCTGCACCAATTTCAACAGATTCGTGCACATTGGACAAATAACAGACAATTTAAGAGTGGCATTGAACAAAGCAGATGGGAAACAGAACAACCAGCTGATGTCTGCTTCCTGATTAAGGGTTGCAGGAAAACCTTGGTTTTGGTAAATAGTCTCAGATAAACAGAACTGGACTTCTGAACTGCTTGTTGACTGAGATTTTTGGTCGACAGATCAGTCAGTCAGTCAGAGATGGCAGATGGCTGGTTGAAGTTTTACGGCTATGCTTGTGGCATGACTCCAGGGATGTCAGGAGGTCAGTCTGTCCACAACATTGGTCTTCTATCTTGAAAATTGTTGCACAAGTACTAAAAATTCTGTGCAAATGTTCATAACGCCAGGATTGACTATGTGTTTGAATCAAAAGCAAAGACCTGTTCACTCCACCAGTCATGTCTGTAGAATAAACATCATTTTTTGGTTCATTGCATCCCCCATGAGAGAGAATCTGTTATGGTGAGTCTTAGTTTTACTGTGAAAAGTGGGTTACACAGAGGCTTTTGGCAGCAGGATGGACCAGAAAAAAAAGCTTTTTTTCTTGTCCTTTTCTCATAATTAATGGGTATTTAGATTGCTAAAATAACATGATGATGCGGATTAGTAAAAGTCAAACTTTGTCAGGTCTGTCCTCAAGAGAAGAGAAAGACATTGTGTAGAAATGGGAAAATTTTGCAATTTCACAGGAAAGAATTGAGACTGAAATGCTTTCTTGCTCACCCCTCTTGTCTGTGAAATAACGGTGGCCTTCAAGAAGCTCATGTGATGCATAATTACCACGATCTTCTATTTTACTTTTACCAAAACATACTTCAATACAAGCTTTTCAGCACACAACATCTCTCTTTTTGTTCCTTGTGAAACTGGTACATTTTGTGCAGTCACAAAGTACAGAAGTGTGTATGTCACTTGTTTGTCCACTCTGTGCTACTGCAGACACATGGAAACCTCTGTGGAAATAAAGGGTTCACGCTGCATTTCTGAAAAGAAGGTGTAATTAAAGATCAGTTATGAGATACCCCGTGATGCTGACACACAGTCTGAGCTTTGTGTGCTGCACTAAAGTGCTGCACACCCTTTTTCTTACTGCATATCCCAACTGGAGAATAATTCAGGGGTCAGTGTACGAGAGGACAGGTCGCCAGTCTGTCACAGGACTCAGATATAGAGACAAACAACCCTTCACGCACACACTCACACCTATGGGCAATTTAGCATGACCAACTAACCTGGCAGGCATGTTTTTGGACTGTGGGAGGAAACCAGAGTACCTGGAGAGAGCTCACACTGCACAAGGTTTATGTGCAAACTCCACTCATAGAGGGTCCTGCCCAGCTGAGGATTTAAACCAAGAACCTGTTTGCTGTGAGGCAACAGAGCTGACCTCAGCAACACAGCACTTCATACTTCTGATGGAATACTTCATAATATACTTTTAATGACTTTGCTCAGTTTTATCATGTGTTTTCTGAAGGGGTTGTTGGCGTTTCTTTCTTTCTTTCTTTCTTTCTTTCTTTCTTATTTTCTTTCTTTCTTTCTTTCTTTCTTTCTTTCTTTCTTTCTTTCTTTCTTTCTTTCTTGTGTTTTACTACAAGGGTAATAAAAACCTTTCATACTTTGGAACATTTCATTTTTCAGTGGTTGAATTGAGTCCAGATAAATGTTCAAAGTATCAAATTATTAAGTCAGAAACTAAAACTAACAAAAACAGAAAATATTTAAAATGAAGTTCAATTTTTGTAGCATACAGGGTTTACAGGATGTGGCAGCTTAAATTCCTTCTTGTTTCTGGTCATCGTTTTTATATTGATATTTATGTCATATTTTATTCATTATGGTACTTTTCGTCACTGAAAATATTATTTGTCTTTGGTACATCAATGTGTATATTGTAGGCCATTGGTTCTTTGTTTCATTTTTTGCTAAAATATATATATATATATTTTTTATTGCTTTTTTTATCTTTGGTACGAACATTATTGTGTAAACTCCAAGTTATTGTTTTTTTTATTTATTGTTGTTGCTATTTTTGTATTACAGAATTTTAATTATTGATCATGCTGGATGATTTGTATGATTTTGTTGTATGATTTGTTTTGTGATTTTGCAATGATTTTGCCTGGACCCCAGGAAGAATAGTCTCCACTGCGGTGTAGACCAATAGGGATCCTTAATAAACTAAACTAGATAAACTAAATCAAGCAAAGTGGCATCAGTCATCTGTGCTTGTTTACCTCTGGGAAGTAGAGCATTATAGCAGACATTAACAGGAGCTACCATAGTGACAGAAGGCTGTGCTACAGCTCAGACAAGACTTTGTTCAACTGACTAATAATTCTGGTCCAAACTACAGAGGATTAGGACTCTTAATGGTTTTGTCAACTAAATGGACACATCCCTCGTCATGGCAGTTCAAAAATCGATGTTGAGTACCCTAAAGTGAAACAACAAAAACAGCAAGTTGTTTGTTTTCTCACTGATATTGAAGGATTGAAAGAAAAACCCAAGTTTATTAGCAGCATAAGTCAGTGCAGAGGAGGTGTTGTGCAGGTACTTGGTGTTCATCTTTTCAAATCAAACTGTTTTAAATTCTCAGCAGGTGAGGCAGACGTGAGGGCCGGAGGTGTACGAGGAGGTAATGACTGAACTACCCGGGATGAGAAGTGCCTCAGGCTGACAGGAGATTCTTGAGATAATGTCAGAGAAAGCGTTCGCTCCAGCTGTTTCACCTGTTTTCTTGTAAATATCGAGCTGCTCTTTCAGTCTGTCAGCAGATTTATTATCTCTGGGGTTCACTTTGCTCTCTTAGCTTCCAGCCATGGCGGATTTATTCAGTTTAAGGTTCACTTTTCTCATTTTGAGACGATGATAAAAAACAGAGGTTTTTTCTAACAGAGAAGGAGGTTTGCACTGTAATGGGAAAAGGGAACCAGCAAAGGAAACTAATCTTAAATGTTAAGTGTGTAGAAAATGAGGAACGAGAGGGACTGGGAACTCAAATAACTGCCTCTTGATAAAAAAAATATATTAACTCTTTGAAGTTTTGGGAAGAAAGACCCAATTATTGAAGTCCAGACTCAAGTACAGCCTCAAAGACGTGGAGCTAAAAACTAATAGCTAAGAGAAAAGAAACCCTCAGCACAGAGGACAGGAGGAACCACAGAAACATGAAGATAGTTAACTGGATTTGTAATTGATCTGTTTAATTGTGTACTTTGATGCCAGTTCAGCTGACTGTGCATGAATAAAAGGTCTTTGGAAGCTCAGACTTTGAGTTTTCTGCTTTAATCGATAAGGAGAAAGGCCAAAACACGAGTGAATCAACAATCAATCAACTTCAATCCAAGTATTTCTGGGCTGTGTCCTGTGGGGGAGTTCAGGCCTTTTAAATTCTGACCTTTAGGTCTCCTGCCCAGAAAATCAGGGTTTGCCAAAACTGAGCGGGACGTTTTCTGGAAGTTTTCCTGCTTACATTGTAAACAAGCTGAGGAGAGTGACCCTCCCTTATTCATTGATGCATGACAGAAAATCTGTGTACCAAAGACTGTGCTGAAAACTAAAAACAAACCATAATATCCTGTTTTAACAAAGAGCATAAAACCTCCCTGACTTTATCAGAGAGGAAAAGAAAAATCGTGCCTGAAGATATCTGAACAAGACCAGAATAAAACATGAGAACGTTTTATCACTACTTTGGGTCTCAGGCAAAAAGAAAATGAGACTATGTTTTTGGAGCAATAAATTTTTTTGCGCAGCAAAGTTTTCAAGGATTAAAACACTAGGGGCAGTGTGGTAAAATAGGAGTGAACATAGAATAATTGTTTTGTTCTCATCTATCTGTAGGATATTTGCTTCTGGTGTATTTGCTCTGGCCTTTTGAACCACCTTTGCCATGCACTGCAGTATTTTTCATCCAAATCTGAAGCCTGTTTCCTACTGTTGATTGTTCGAACTGTTCCAACTCAGAAACCCACCTACTGTCATGCAGTAGTAGAGGGAGAGCAAGGGGAAAAGCCACATCCACTAATGCTCTTATGTCTGAAAACTGCCCAGAATTACTCCCTTGCAGCGGAAATCACATGAAAAAACACTGAGGTAACTTCCCTTCAAGTGTATAAATTGTAAAAAAATACCCTTTTGTTGCTTGTTAAAGGAATAACAGTAATCAAAGTGCTCTCTGGTTGCTTTATTTAGCAAATTAAATTGTACACAAAGTGCCCACTGGTGTTTTTTAATGAAGAAAAAATGCAAACTCAGTGTACTCTGTTCACAGTTTCAGTGTAAAAAATGTAACAAAGGGCATTTTGGTTGCTCCTCTAGAAAATAAAATGTAAATATCTGCAAGTGTTCCTTTCAGCGTGTAAAATGTAACTAAAGCAAAGGGATTAAAGGGATTTAAACGTAAAAAAAAAAAGGGCATCCTCTTTGAATGGGTTAATTTGTAAATAGAGTACCCTCTGGTTGCTTTTAGTGGATTACATATAAACAAAGTGCCTCCTGGACAGGACATCCTCTCAGTGTTTACAGTGTAAAGCCAGTGCCACCTGACTGCCCTTCCAGCATCAGAATGTAAATGCAGTACTCTCTGGCTGCTTTTGTAAACAAAGTTTCTTCTGGTTGTTCTTTTAGTGGATAAATGTAAACACAATTTCCCAAGGTATTCTTTGGGAGGATTCATCTGTAAACAAAAGGCCCTCTGGTTGACCTTTCAATACATAAAATACTAGCAAATTACTATTTGGATGCTCATTTAGTGATTTAATGTAAACAAAGGGCTTTTTAATTTCTCTTCCCACTAGTGCTCTTTGAGTGGATTGAGTTGTAAATAATGGGTATTCGGTGATCCCCCATGAAAAAAAAAAATTCTAATCATTATTTCCACGTTATCTTATTATTCAGGGTTTCAGTCTCCAGAGAACTACTTTCAAAGTCCTACACTGCACACATCAGGTTTTTTCTCAATTTTTACCACACTATCCTTTAAACATCCTGCATACCCCATTGTAGTCATCTTATGACAGTATGTGCTTCCAAGGGTGACAACTAACTTGTCAGGCACTCTAGAGTCGCTAGCTGTTAAATAAAATCTATCCAAAAAGTTTTGTGTGTGTGTTTATAGTCCAAATGTGAATTTTAGAAATGACTGTGTGTTAAAAAGAGGAGCAAAATCTCCCCTCAGATTATGCAAAAACTGTGTTCTGCCTGCTTTTGCTCTCTGTACAGACTGGTTTCCTTGCAGATGCCAAAGTCTACTGACATCTGTTTGGTATTTACAGACTTAAAAACATTAACATTTAAAAACTATACAACTTTAACAGACTAAAATCTCAACCTGAAGTGCCAATCCACATTAAAACCTTTGAAAAGATAGCCAATAACTAAATAAAACAAACTTTCAAAGTGCCCAACAGCTTAACGACATTTAAAAAGATGTGAAAGTGAAATACTATCCCAACACAGCTTGATCAAAACAGAAACTTTGTAAATTCACACTCACTATGCTGGTGCTGAGCTCCTCATCTGTGATGTCCAAAGAGTCTCGGTGTCTATTAAACCTCCAGCCTGTCCCGTCCTCGCACGTCCCCTCCCATCGCTTTAGATGAGACACCTGCCGAGTCTGAGACACACAGACAAAAAAGACTCCCGCTTAGTGTCTTTATCTAAGTCTGTGACACGTGATATCTTAAACAGTAAGTGTTTTTTATCTACCAGAGTCTTATGTGTGGCGTAGAGCTCCTGCAGGATCTGGTCCACGATGGAGTTGGTGAGATATGAAACGACTGACAGCTTCACTTCTCTGCGGGAGATTGAGTTAGAGGAGCAGACGGGAAGTGGTTTGGTAAAAGTGAGAGGAAATCAATAACCTGCTTATCACATTCAGACATATCCCTGCAACGCTCTCCCTTCTCTGGATCACTCTTACTCTAATGCTCGATGGATGTCCTGAGCCGCCCTCTCCATCAGAGCCGTCCTGATGGCCGAGCGAGGGATGGAGACACGCTCAGAGACGGAGGAGAGCGGTGGAGTCAACCTCTCTGCTGCAGCTGAAGATAAAGGACAGAGCTCACGGCACAGAGACACCATAGAGTCCACAATTACCTGCAAAAAAGAGCAGAGGTCAGAACCTTCATCCTCTGAAGGGGGTCAGGGTGTGAACGACAGCTGGAGATCTACCTGAAGCTCCTTGTCTGCAGCTTTGGTGAGTTCTCCTGCTAGAGAGTCGAGTCTCTGCCTCACCGGGCCGTCCACAGAGAGAACATGAGCCAGCTCGCACAGGGATGGGTACAGCTAAAGAGAGAAATTTCTTACAATTTAAATGTCTGTGTGGTAGAAACACAAATAACACAATCACAAGTTTCCCATCACTCACAGCGCGGGAGTTCCTGGCCTCTTTCAGCACTTGTTTAGCAGCTTGAATCTCCTCCATCTCCCCAACACCTCGTAACACACACACCTGCTGTTGGACACGCACACACAGACGCTCCATCACCTAGGAAACAAGACGAGGGAGTGTTAAAAAACATAAAAAACATAAACATATGCAGAGGTGAGAGAAGACGGAGGAGTGATACCTGCTCAGCTGTGCTCGTCACCAAGCCTTGGTGAAGCCGCAGAGCCTGACGCTGAGAGAAACGCTGAGTTTGGTTGTTCCTCACCAGAGCGCGCTGGATCTATAAAACAAATCATAAAACAGAAAGGCATCATGAAAAAGCCAAAACAGACAGTTTAGGAAGCAAGAGGAGCAGCCGTGCAATTTTACTGTAAATGTAGGTCTTGTCTCACTGACTAACAAACCAACTCTGGCATCTCAAATCTTGGCCATGACATATTTTGGAATTCATGTTCCAGATAATGCAGATATGAAAAGTTATGAAATTGCTCCAGTAGATTGCTTCAGCAGGCATCTGTAAAAAAGGGCTGGACTGAAGTCTTCTTAAGGGGAATATAAAGTATTATTGATCATCAGTCTTTATATTTGCACCAACTTGAATGAGTCTGTAATGTGTAATGTGGTATTGGGAAATAATTTAGACAAATACAATTGAGATTTCAGAGTGTACAATAGAGTTTTTTCCCTATTTTTGTATCTCTGTAATTTTTTTTGTTCTTTTCTTGTTTTTTTTTTTTTTTTATGTAATCAGGCTTATCAAATATGTCAGATCATCCTGTTAGACTAAGCACCATATGTACATGTTTCTCCAAAATATGGAGTCTTACTTTGTTATTCTTTTAGATTTATCAAAACTACTTATGAGAGACATGCTGAGTGCCCAGATGGATGTGCAAGAGTGAATCCATCCAGTACTATTCATTTATTTATTTATATCCACTCATGTAATAACTTTACAATTTATTCATGTCCAAATGTCTTTATATAATTTTGGCGCACTTATTCTAATGTTAATACATTCATAGAGATGTTAATTTTGTGATTATTACATTTGATTTGGCTGTTTCTATCCTCTGTATAATTGAAGAACAGTCAAATATATTCTTTTTCTTCTTCCTTTTGGCGCACGCTGCAGCTGAACAGATCAAAGTTGACTCTTTGGTTGTAGTTTTTCTGTCTGGAACAGTCGATAAATATTTGATGCAAATGAAAACAGAGGGAGCGGAAAACTGCTTTTGAAGATTTGAGACAACATAATCAGGATGTCTTTCTGCTTTCATCAAACCTCAAGGATTACATTTTTATTTTTTGGTGATGTTTCATCAGCGGCGACTCTCTGGTGCCCACCTTGGTCAGCGCCTGCTCCGTCCTCTCGGGGGCGCTACGGTACGCCTGGCTGATGTCGCTCAGAGGCAGAGGCATGTACTGCAAGGTGAAATTACTGAGAGTTGGGATAACAGAGAGAGGGTCGAGTTATTGGAGGAGACAGTGACGGACAGATGGGAGGAGATAAAGTGGGTTAGATTCAGGGTTAGATAAGTTTAACATCCCCGACGGACGCGGCTCATCCCAAAATATCCTCCAACGCTGTGCAACCACTGAGTAATACTTTGATCTCTGCAACCATGTCATCCCCAGCCTGCAGGAAGCTCTGGACTGTTTCAGATAGCAAAGTGGAAAGCAACAATTTTCTTGCTCACGTGCAAGTTTCAAATGTTTAAATGAGCTAAAATAGGAGGTTAATCTTCTTTTAAACGTGCTTTCTCCTTTTGCAGCAAAGACAGGAGAAGTCTTTTTCAATTTTTCAGGCATAAATTTCCAAACTGGATGTCTTGATGTTGCTCTTACTGTTCGAGCGCCCGTGCCACATCTAGAAATCCTGCTGCGGAGGTGTTGTTACGATCCCATGTCACACTCCTGCAGGGAAAGACACAAAATTCACATGCGCATGAGTTATTCTGCTGAGACAAAGAGTTGTGTCTGTTGCATGAGTGTTTCTCACTCTTTGACCTTAGTGTGGTGTTGATCTGCAGCGCCTTGCTCAGCATCTTGGCCCCGATGTCATCCATGTTGTTCCCGCTCAGGTCCACCTTCCTCAGGCAGGTGTTGCTGCCGAGGGCGTTGACCAGCACAGTGCCCCGAGAGCGCAAGCGGGATTCAGTGAGAGACAGAGACTGCAGAGCCTGAGGGACAGAAGGAGGAGAGGGGGTGAAAAAGAGGAGTCACAGAGTGGCTGAGAGTTGTAAAATAAATAAATAAAGTAGAGAAAATTGAGCGTGGTAAGAGAAGAGGAGCCTGGGGAGCCGCGAGGTGAAATTTACTGCAGAGTGATGTGACTTTACATGCTGTTTGTATGAATTATTTACAGGAAGTGTGCTGTGATACAGACACTGTGTCTGCGAGGGAAACACAAAGCAGAAATATTTAATGAAACCGTGACACGCTGACGGGATGCAAAAATATGAAATGTATGAAAAATGAGGGTTTTGTTGCACATTTAATGCTACTTTCATTTCAGATTTGTCTTGAAATGAATAAATAAACCAAAAGTCGCCTTGGGTGGCTTCACAGGATTATCATACGCATAATCCTGTTTAATTCATCGGAAATAAAAACCAAAACAGCTGCAGCTTTGGCACAGAAGGAAGTTGAGACTTTTTTCTTCTTCACAACATGATTAATAATGATGTTTTTACGCCTTATTGAATCTGGTGTTGATTATATTGAAAAATGGACAACAAGACAGCTCCTTAAAAGTGAAGACAAACATTTAAAGCTCCCCCTGCTGACCGGCTACAGTATAGATCATAAAGCCCATGTTAACAGACGGCACATGGTACAAACTATAAAATTAAAATGCACAACAAATAAAGGTTTCCATAACATAGTTTCTGTCATTTAAGTGAGTTTTTTCATGATTTATTTTTTGGTGTTTATTTTTCTGAGAATTTTAGTTCGAATTAGCTATGTGATCATAAAAGAGGAGATGTGACACAATTATTGACAGCCCTGTTGACCAACCCTGCAGTGTTGTGTCCATTGCATAGTTTCATGTCACACATATCAGGTTTTTCTATCAATGGTTCTTTTTCTACTGGGGGGCGCCCCACTTTGTCTAAGCCCTGTCCCTTAAAAAAAACCATTAATTATCATGAACACAAAACACCCATTTGGCCTATCAGTGATCCATGTGGAGCACAACAGGACATTCAGCGACTCACTTTGTCTGCAGGTAACAGCAAAACAAAGTGGCGCATATGTATGAATATGAAACATGATTAAACCTGCAAAATCATTAACTGTATAATCAAAGTAACATGCTGGTAATTATCAATCAACAGCCGTGTTCACAGCTCTGTATGTGAGACACATGAAATAGAAACTCTCAAAGCTGTTGCACTGATGTAAAAACAGTATTTGAATCTGACATATAACTCTATTTAAAGAGAAAAAATGATCCTGCAAGATCTAAACCAAAACAGCCGGAGCAAAACTTACAAAAGCTTGAGGTTGCATTAATGAAAAAGATTCAAACTATTTAAAAATGATCCAAGTAACAACATCAAATGGGCAGAAATATCAGTAAATGTACCATATCTCCACTGCAGATGAATCAGAATGACTTAACACTCTGCTCATAAAAATGAGGTTATCTCAGAAACTAAAATACACGCAGTTCCAGTGTTGAGAAAATTTAAGTTATTTTGCAGCATCAAATTAAAAAAAGCTATTCCTATTGCATAGTTATAAGTCTGCAGATTTGAGTAACAAAACTATAATTTCTGATCTTTCTTCTTGTTTTAGATCTGTTTCTCTTTCTCAGGCTTGTGATAAAGCAAACTGAGAGCTTGCAAACTGCTCAGGTAGTCTCTCAGAGTGGGTTTTTGCATGCTTTGTTTTCACTCACACACTCCTCTTCCTGTATGAGCTGAACAAGTTTCTGCAGGACGTCATCCAGAACCCTGCAGACACAAACAGAGAGAGAGAGGACAGGCCCCGATGAGCTGGAGCGAGTCATTTCCTGCTGCCAGTGAGGAGCAGCGGAAGTATGATCACACAAGCTGGCACACACTCACACACACACACACACACACACACACACACACACACACACACACACACACACATAAATAACTGCAGTAAAGCGTGACTTGCAGCACCGGCAGCACCTGTTTTTGATGTTGAAGTTCTTGCCCAGATGAAGGTGTTTGAGCGATGGATGTCTAGAGAGTGCCGGCAGGACTGTGAGTAGGTCTGCATCCAGCCCTGTTCATACACACACAAACACACACACACACAGATATACACACACATATATGGAAATATATATATAAATATAACATAGTGGGGTTATTAACTAGGACCCGGCCTGCCTGAGGACAGGACATGGAGGTCACAGCAGGACAAAGTACCGCGTACCGTTGTCGGAGATGTCGAGAGTGCCAACGGAAGAAACTCTGGGGAAGAGTTCCTGGATCACAGCGGCTCCTGCAGACCTCAGCTGGAGACACAGAGAAAGACAAAGAAAAAACAACATGAGGCTCAGGAGTAAATCTGAGTCACTTCAGGTTTAGTCTTTGGGGATTTGTTCTATTTTCCTACTGCCAGGCAGATTTATTGGAGACTCTTTTTACGTCTCTGTGAACAATTTGAAGCTTTGGTGTATGATGGGCTCTGCAGAAACTCCCCTTAATATTAGCTTTGCCTTAACATCTTAGTAAAGGTTTATAGATATGGACTATGTCAGTGCTGGTAAACAGTATGACATCTTTGAGGTCCAGCTTTAGGAAAAGTAAATATAACAAAGCTAACACTAGCCCATGTGCTGAAATAATAATTAACGTTACAGAGAAATCCTCCTCATGTTTCGGCCATTTCTGATTAGAGTTTAGTGATAACCTTTGATATTCAACACCACTGTGAAGTATTCAACATGACAGTATTTTTGATGTTCCTTATTTGATCGTCTGTAACCAACACTGTCTTCATTGCTAGTATATGGTAGGATTTGAATTATGATACATGACTCTTACTCCATCTATTCTGACTTCTATGTCACGTTTAACCCTGTATTGGTGCCTCCAGTTTGACTTCTTTTTGCTTCCAGCTAACCTTGACATATTTGTGATCTCTGCCACATCTCTGTCTACTCGTATCAACTGGAAGAATTCAAGGACACTTAAACAGAATAGATAAAACTTAATAGATGTCCAAAGTTCCTTTGTGGCAATATTTTATTTAACTAATATTTGACTAAATTTAAAATTCTTATTTAATAAAATGTCCATATATGTTCAGCTATTTTGCTTTTTATCTGCTGGTATTATTAAAATCATCAAAAAAAAAAAACCCTGTGATATCAACATTATATATTGGTCATTAGCCATCCTGCTCCTTCTTCATTAACATTGGCATCAGCCTTTAAAAAAACTGTCATCCCCAGTATTAATATCCGTTGTCGTACAGAGCTGATGATTTCTTGACTTGACTGTTTCTTTTTGCTTGGAAAAGTTTAACTCTAAAAAGTGTGAGCTGAGACTGTTTAAACCCGTGAGAATGTAAAATTCAAGCCTCTGAATGTGCAGAAAAGAGTGATTCTTTCACATCACATTAAGAGCTTATTGCCCCTGACCTATCACAAAGTGTCTACTTATTATTTCACTCTGTGTATCTTAGTGTGCAGGGACTTGGTGTTCTCAGCCTTGTGTCCATCTCTCACAAAAGTAGCAGAAGAGTCTTTTTGAAAGCACAAGGTGTCAGTTTTTTATTTTTTTTTCATTTATCTCCGAAAGCTTTACAGAAGGTGACATAACACAGGGTTGGAAATGATTTCTCATCTTTTTATGACATCTTTTGGAGCTTAAGGCTGAGTTTGCATTTGAGGGAAGTTATCCAAGTACCAATAACTTGAGGAACTATTCAAACATAAGGATCTGTCTGAAGTCTCAGGGACTTAAGTTTTCCTGTTAACAGACCTCAACTCCAATGGCAGTTTACTAAATTGAAAAATGCACATATTTGTGGGAAAGACAGACATTTTTGTTCCCAAAACGGCCTCATGCAAGTCCTGGAAACTTCAGGTGGAGGTATAATCTCTATTCATAGAGTATTTAGGAATCTGGATTTTCAGCATGGACTAAACATGGTTAATGTTCTGGTTTCTGGTTTGTAGTATGCTTGTATTTTTAGTGGCACCAACCAAGAAGGTATCAGCAAGCTTTGGTGTCTGCAAGAAAACAGACTGTATGGAGAGCAAAAGTGAGAGAAACACAACCCTACTCCCATGAGAACTTAACCAGGATCAAATATCTGCATGAAGGTCAGCTAACAATCTGTTCTGGATCAAACATTTACATTTACACTGAGACACTGATCTGCTTGATGCTGAATCATTAAAGACAATCAGCCTTTAGATTTCCTGACTTCCCTGAATGCATCAGAAATGATGTGTATGACCTCCATTCAACAAACTTTTTAAAAGAGGTTTTCTTCTCCTCTTGAAGGCAAACCTGACAAAGCTTGACTTTGGACTTTTCACAAATCTGATGCCGATAATAGTCATGATGATGATCTCAGGATGCAACATAATGTTGTTTCTGCAAACTTAAAACTCATGAAGTATAACAAAATCCCAAGAAATCAGTGAGGCCTCTCTATAACTTCCTACTTACAGTAAAACCCAGGGGATGAACTTTTGCTCTAATTTTGAACTGAACATATACTTGATTCCTGAGTTCTTTGTCAGGAAACGCTTATCACTTATCACACCAGAAGGCTCTCAAGGTCTAACAATACTCCTAGGGGGATATAGTTTTTTATCTGACTGATGGATTCCAAGGCTCGTGGAAATGCTGTGTCAGACTGTCCCATGACTTAAGATAGGTGGACTATCACTTTAGTCTGAGCTTGTACCACAGATGTGGAGATGAAGAGATACCTCACAGCCGCTGATGTCCAGATGCAGGTCGTTGATGTGAGGATTGGAGGTTAACCCTGTCAGCAGAGCCCTGTGGAGACATGGAGAACAGAAGTTAAATCTGCCTTCAGTGAGGAAGAGGATGAAAGAAGGCCTATTGGGACGGTAATAACAGCCGACATGGTGAGTACCTCAGAACATCAGGGGGCAGCTTCATAGAGGCCAGGCTGACATAAGTGAGACTGAAGGCCGAGCTGAAGAACTGACGGAACAGCGGCAGCGTGTCCCTCACTTTCCTGTCAGACCCACAAAAACACACACAAGATGAAAGAGAGGAGAGAAACTCAGGCTCATCTGCAAAACAAATTTACTTTGTCAAACAGAGAATCTGTCAGGAACATGCAGCTCAGGAGCTGATTTCAAACCTTTGACCTACATCCATTTGAACAGCAGAGCAAGTTTTAAAAAACTCTAATTGGTTTGGAAATGAGTTGGTAACAGCCTGAGTTCATAGGAATCATAATCTGTAAGCACTTTGTTGCAGTTTAGAAGCAGAGTGAGGGATTCGGGTGTAACTTCACCGACTTTCAGACTGCACAGAGACAGAAACTTCAGCAGCTCTTGTAGCAAAATGACCGTATTTATACTTAGACAAGTACATTTAAGCTTGTGGTCTTCACCAGGGCCATAACTAAACATACAATAAACAACGACATCCAAATAAAGTGCGTTTAAAACAGAAAATAACAATCACACGCATCCACATACATGTCAGCCAACAGGGCAACACCACAGAGGTGGGTTAGGCTCATGGTTATGTGGATTTAGGTTGATTCATTGTCCTCCTGGGATACTCAGCCGAGGACAAAAGAATGAAAGTGCTGCAGAAAGACGAAATAACCGCATTACTGTCTCCTTTACCTTGGACAACAGTAAAGCTATCCACTTCTGGCACCTGTAGGTCTTGATCTCAGCCTTCAAACTGGAGCTGTTTTGGGCATTATTTAACTCAGTGGTTCTCAAGTCCAGTTCTCGAGGCCCACTGTCCTGCATGTTTTGGATGTTTCCCTGCTCCAAAAACACCTGATTCAAATGATCAGCTCGTTATTAAGCCATTACAGACCTTGATAATGAGCTGATCATTTGAATCAGGTGTTTTTGGAGCAGGGAAACATCCAAAACATGCAGGACAGTGGGCCTCGAGAACTGGACTTGAGAACCACTAAACTGATTGAGAGGCCATCAATATTAGCCAATCATTTAATTTTGATTATTAATGTCAGCTGTTGAGCACAACTTGTGGTAGAACACATAATCCAGTCTCAAAATACTTTAAAACTATAAAGCAGAGACAGTCCAGTCCCTTACATAGAATGCGAAATAATTGTGTTGCGAGGTAGTAACAGTAAAGCTTCATTCAACATCGCCAATTTGAAAGGCGGTCTTGAAACTAAATGTGCAGAAAACTGTTTAATCTCCCTTTATAGCTGGTGTAGGCTATGAGTGTGGAGACTGAAACAACATCTGACCCACTCCTAAAACAGAAGTTTACACAACCCTTCCTCCCATCAGTTTTTCTTTTTAATCATTTCTTTAAAATATTTTTTATAATTAATTCTATTTTAATCTGTTCTTTTATTATTTATTCTGTTTTATATTATTTATTTTGTTTTTGTTACATGTATTTTGCATTTTGAAGTTTATGTTTACATTTGCCTGTTGGTGTTTGAGCTTAAAGCTCCTGTGAGCAATTTTCAGTTTGTGTCAGTTTTTGGTGCCCCCCTGTGGACAAAGCAGTCCTTGCTTGTCTCAAGAGCAAAGATAAAGTAGTGTCCTTCAACAGATAATTTTATTGGGAAAATTTCCCTTAAAATTGTAAAAACATGGCTGTGCCTTCAGCTGACACCAACCCTCTCACATTAGTTTGAGGAAGGATAAGTTACAATATGAAAAATTGTCAGTTTTGTTGTTAACGGTGTCTTTTGCTTTCGTACGTCATGAAAAAGTGTGAATGTGAATTTCAGTGTATTTCATCAACATCAAAAAACTTCTCAAAGGAGCTTTAGCATAACTTGCTGAAATGTGATGTTTGTTGTACTGTGATGCATGCTGGGAAAGGTTCATGAGAAGAATTCAAATGGAAAATGAAATCATCTGCAAATGGATTTGTTTTGTCTGCCTATGCAGCAGCATGTTTTGCCAAATGCAAACCATTTGAAGTGTCGCAGCAAAGATGCTCCTATTGGCTAGGATACCATTAGCTTTCATAAGAGGCTATACTCCCCACAATACCACTGCTGCTGCTCTACTGTAGTACATGTGTGCCCTCAGACTTTCAGAACAGCTAAAAACAGTTTCAAGTAATTTTCAGTGGTCTGAGTCAGTGGGATTAATCCCTCTTGAATCATTTAAATAGTTTGAATAGTGAATTTTGTTTTTTTTTGTATCACAACTGAGTAATTTAGTTGGCCAGCTGTACTGTGATGTTGCTGTATTAGTTCGTTTGTATGTTTATCCTGCTCTCTCATTCAGGTCCTTCTTTGAATCCAGATTTTAAGCACAGTGAGTCTTTTGCAGAACATTTTGTTGTTTTAGTTGTTCTCTATGCAGGATGCGTATTCTATTTATTTAAAAAGAGGAAGAGGATGGGTTACAGTGGAGAGTAGGACGAGATTGGCCACACATAATGTTGATACGCTGAGTTAAAATAAGTGGGGAGCAGCTTCACAGAATGAGAAGCAGAGTGAACACTGCTCTGGAGGAAGAGGAAGGAGCGTGTCGGGTCAAATGGAAGATAACTCTACTTAAATATTCATGTGTCTTATCTATGCAGACTGACTTCTGGTTTTAAAAGGCGCAGACACACCCACAGAGAGGAAACACAAAGATTCCCACACAGCTCATTTCTCCATCCCCATTAAGCCAAAGATGGAGGTCATGGTGAAATGAAAGGAAAGGAGACAGAGAGGACGTCTGAGGTGAAAGAACGATGGTGCATCTACAGATCTGGATTTGCTGCTCTCTATAATGTGCTGGTAATCTTAAAGTCATGACTAACCTGTGGGAGAAGGAATTTTTGGAAAGATTCAGAAAGGAAAGATCAGCGCAACACCCCCTCAGAAGAGCCCCAAATAGCTGCATGAGACACAGGGCAGAGAAGGTTAATCCCAACAGAGAGAGAAAAGCTTTTCTTTAAAACTATGTGAAGATATTTGGTCATTAAACACTCACTGAGTCCACACAGCAGTCTGTGCCTGACAGATCCAAGTGGACCAGGCAGTTGGGCTGAGACAGGAACAAATACAAGTTCTGCAAACAGATAACAACAGAGAAAGAGGACACCAAAATCAAGGCTAGTACAGGTGTGTTAAAAACCTGAGGTTAAAAATGTGAAGAAAAATCACTGTCTCTTTTCATAAGTGAAAATAAACCATCTAGCCTCCAACATATGTTAAAATACATCAGTTAGCATAATTACCCCCTGAAGTGGCAGTTTAAATCCCAACAAGCAGCAAACAATTATAATAATGGCCCATCAAAAATGTTGAAATGAGCCATTTTTAAAAGTTCATTTAGTCCCAAAAACACACTACAGCAAACCTTGAGCCCCAAAATATGTTTAAACATGCCTATCAGCACCAAAACAGGTAACAATGTCATCAACCCCTTAAGGAATGTAAGAGTCAGCTGGCCCAAAATGTCTTACATGTCCTCAAAACCAATCTTGCCTCTATCAAATACTTAAGAAAGCCTTTAAACTCTAAAAAATGTGAAAAAATTGCCTTTTCATAACATTTTAAGAGTCAGCATACCTCCAAAATATGTCAATATTTTTAATTCAGCACCAAAACCTTAACCTTAACCCCAAAAGCATGTTGTTAAAAATGTTGGAATCCCTTGAATTTGTCAAATTAATTCATACAGTCCCTAAAGTGTGTTCAGATAAGCAATTCAACCCTTAATGCATGTGTAAAAAAAGCTGTAATGTTAATGACTTAATTTGTTTCATAGATCATGAAGGTGGCGGCACAGTGGTGTAATGGTTAGCAATGTCACCTCACAGCAAGCAGGTCCTGGGTTCGAATCCGGGTCAGGGTGTCTATGTGTGGAGTTTGCATGTTCTCTCTGTGTCTGTGTGGGTTTACTCCCACATTCCAAAAACATGCAGAAGTGGGTTTAGGTTAATTAGTCAGTTTCAAATTGCCTGTAGGTGTGAGTGTGGATGGTTATTTGTCTCTATATGTCAGCCCTGTGATGACCTGGTGACTTGCCTAGGGTGTCCAGCGACCCCCAATGGAAAAAAGCGGTAGAGAATGGATGGATGGATGGATGGGTCATGGAGGCCCCCAAAATTTCAACAGTCACTCAGCCTCCAAAACTGCTTTTGTAAAAAGTTGATTTAGCCCCCCAAATATGTTGAAATTCACCACTAAGAAAGTCATTAAAGTTTTGAAAAAAGTCATTAACACCCCCCAAATAATGTCTTTGGCTCCCAACAAATGTTAAAGTGAGTTATTCAGTCCATAAATACATAAAGATAAGTTACTTGGCCGCTAACATCTGTGAGCCAAAAGTTCATTTGTTCCCCAAATAATGTTAAAATGTGTTATGTTGAATCATTTAGCCTTTGAAATGTGTTAAAAATAATCCCTAGCCTCCCAAATCTTTCCTTTATAGTGATTTAAACCCCAGAATGCCTCCTTGATAAAGAAAATAGCAGACTTTGCCCTAAAGCTGGTGCAGCAGTGTGTAAGTGGAGCAGTGTTTGCTCAGTTTTGGGTTGTTTTTTTTCTGACCGAAGCGTCCTCCCCTGAGAGGACCCCGGGGTTCTTGCTCAGGTCCAGGTGCAGCAGAGAGTTTGAGTATTCATCACTGGAGCACAGAGCCTGAGAGAGAGACACCAACCCTGAGAGAGAGAGAGAGAGAGAGAGAGAGAGAGAGAGAGAGGGATAAAAGAGAGAGACAGGGGGGGTGGACGATATTAAAACAGGGAGAAGACTCTCTAAACATTTTGTGTCTTTACATTATTCATGCATATGTGCAGCAGGAGCAGGTATCAGTAGATGTAATGGAAACAGAGCTCAGATCTCCCTTCTTCCATGTAATATTTAAATTCTCCTCTGGGTGTTCGGAGAGCAGACAGAAACAGGAGGCCAGCTGCCTGCAGGGCTGCACAGCACATCACACACTGAGTCAATATGGAGCCGTACTGAGGCCAAACATGAAACACGGCTCTTCAGGAGGCAGAATTATCAGGGGCTTTGGAGGTTTCATATTCCCTGACCTATAATCTGAGACAAACAATGAAAGCTGCTCCACCAGCTGCAGTATCAGACCGATCATTGAGGCTGTCTTTTCACTTTTCCAAACTGTGGTCACACTTTCTCAGCATTTAGCTCAGGAACCAGAGATTTTCAAACCTTTGGAGGTGAGGGAGGTCTTGGAGAGGTTGAGGAGACGGAGCCCTTTGCTAAGGCGACACACCTGCTGGATCAGGTTAGAAACACCTGCAGTGCAGACAAAAGAGACGGGGTTACGCTCCTGATGATGTTTTTTTTTATTCACCTGCTCTCTTTAGACATTTAATTTCCTGTTTTGCTGAAATCTTTACTCTCACAGTTTACTCCCTACTTTTTATCTTGTGTTGATCCTGAAGCACAAGGAGAGACTGGAAATGAGAGAATATTACAATCACAGGGCTTAAAAATAGAGGAGGATTTGAACAGTTTGGAGCTGTGCCTTTTATAAAGCTCCACTGAATAAAATCTCTCAGTCTAATCAGTCAACCAAAGGCCAGGTGTACTTTATTTTTTGCACCTGACACACAGCTTTTTATGTTGGTTTTGGGTGTAATTGAAGAGGAATCTTTGTGCTTTTCAGAGTGGCAACTATTTTTTCTCATATTTTTGAGGTCTGAATGACTGAAATGTAGAAGCATAAAGAAATAAAAACAGATATTCCTTTCTTTATTCTGCAAGGACATTAATGTTGGTTATAAAGACAGATACAGATGTTTTCGAGGGGAGAAACATGGTGTGAATGTTTGAGAGCCTTCCTAAGGGTTTAAAACTCACTTTTTTTACTTGGTAGCTCCCAACTTAAGAAGTTTAGGAGCACCTCAGAAAATGACAACAATATGCATTTTACTACTTCTTTAACAAGAAGTCAACGCCATGTTTTACTTCCAACATTAACCCAAACAAAGCAGTTAAAACAGATAAGGTGACAATGTAACAAACCTTGGTTGTCCAGTGAGTTGTGGGCCAGATTTAGTGAGTGGATTACAGACGCTGGATTTTCTGAGAGAGCAGCTGACATCTTCTGAGGGAAATCTCTGCGATGAAATGAAGCCACAGTTAAACCAACAAAGGAGAAACCCCCTGGGAAAGGTCTGCAACTCTGATTTAATGTGATATTTACAATATTTTTATAGAGTTAAAATAGTTTGAAGTAATGCAGCTTGGATTTAGCTTAACAGTCATTTCATATTCCTGGTCAGACTTGAACCTCTCGTTGCCCAAAAACTGATCTTACCGCTACAAAAATAAAAGTTTTAGAGTAAAACTGTAAAGGATGGAAAGTAAAAGAGAAGAAAATACAAACTTACGATTTTAACCCTGCGTTCTCCAGAGTGATCTCCTCCAGGCTGGATGATTTACTGACTGTGTGCAGGACCTGCTCTGTGACCTCTGACCCCTGAGGGAAAGTAAAACATTTAGGGGTGTATATTTTTGTTGTACCGTAGTCTCTCAAGTGGTTGTATAATATCAATTATTGAACATTTTTATTATTTAGTGTATGTAAAAGCTAAAACAACAACAGGTGCTGAAAACTAGCAGTCTCAATGTAATTTATCAGTATTATGCTTTGTAATGGATCTTTATTAAATGGCTTCGCCCTTTTGAAATAAAATACACTCAAATTCAATTTACCAAGAATGGGCTGCAGCTACTGTTAGCTCTGTGACTTGCTGCTGCTATCTGCACCATTTCAAGGTTCAATTCAAGGTCCGACATGCCCATAAAGTTTGCAGCTCTGTGCAGTTTGCTCTTGTTCTCTGTAGAGATGAGCTGTACTCTTAACTTTGGATTCACTTCTAAAAAGCTGAATCGAAAGAACAACTGAGACACATCAGAGACAAACAAAGCTAACCCAGACAGCAGCTATTAAGCTATTAGTTCATCCAAAGGCAAGCTAGACTAGACCACTTTGAAAGTAGACATTAGTTGTGGCTCTTATTTGATCTGTGGTGAATGCTTTGTGAATTAGATGATGTTTTGTCTTGTCTGCCGTTGTCTGTTTTGAAGTTTAGTGCGAAAGCTGCAAAATCCTCCTGAGCATCCTTCTCTCAGCCTGTTTTGCTGCTTAAAGCCTCATTCATCAAGGTAAAGCCAAGTGTGTGTACTCACTATCCGCAGGTCTTTGCAGTAGAGTTTAGTGAACCAGGTGTTGTATGCCATCGATGCAACGATCACGGCCAAATCCCTGAGAGAAAAAAAACACTGAGGTAAAACCAGAAAAACAGAGACAAGAGGCCAGAGAGAGACCGCACTTTTCCCTCACCTGCTCTCCAGGTGGCTGAAGTCCAGCAGGTTAAACTCTCGGCTGTCCTGAGAGTGATAGATGGTGTCCACATCCTAAAAGCAACATTACTCATGAGCCTCTTTGCTGCAGAATATGAGCCCCTCATCTTGTACACAGAGCTGTAAGTAACACTCACTTTGACACACACAGACACACACACACACACACACACACACACACACACACACACACACACACACACACACACACACACACACACACACACACATACACACGCGCACAGCTCTTACCCACTGTACCTCCTCCTTGCAGCTGATGCCATTATAGTCGCACAGAGCTGAGTACGTCTCTGAGAATCCTCCTGAGAGCAACAAGAGAGAAAAAAACAATGAGATTATGTGAACAGCTGCTTCCTTCAGCAGGAACGAGAGAGAAAAATGCAAACAGGAACATTTGTCCAAATGATCAATCTTTTATTTTTCTGACAGAAGACTTTAAAAAGAACATCTGGGAGAGCATTTGTGCAAAATGTGTGAGCCAGCTTCCTCAGAGGCTGCCAAATATTGTGCATATGCCCTCTTCTGTGTGAGTGTGAATGTGTGCGCACGCGCCTGTGTGTGTGTGTGTTTGATGATAGTGGGTCTTTTACCACAGGCTCTCTGCGTCTCCACTGATGTCTCTGAGCTGGGTGAGTACTTCCTGCTGCCGTCAGAAAGGTCGCTGTCTGAGTGACAGATGGAGGGGCTGAGAGCAGAAAAGCAGCACAGGCACCGTGAGGCATCATTTATCTCCTGACATTCATCCTCTCTGCGCAAACACCTGATTTACTGCGATATTTTTAGTGAAGGTGACACTCACGCAAATATGGAGTTGTTGAATATTCGGGACAGGGCGAAGTTGATATGGCTGACCACATTGTTGAGGTGTTCACGGGACTCGAACCTTAGGGAGTAGCTGGATTTATCAGTGTCGATGATGACCTGAGAAAGAAATAGAGATTGTAAAAACTAATAAGTACAGGTATCTCAGGTATAAGAAGATGTTGCCTGTTATTTCTGATCCATTTGGATCACTAAGGCAATGTGGAGTCTTTTCTTTACATCCTTCCTCTGAAATGTGAAAACATGGAAAATGACACAATACTTACAGGACTGAAGAACTATTAAAGGGATAGTTCAGTTTTTAGTATACATGCTGATAGTGGATATATTACCTACATGGGATCCAAGTCGGCTTGGCCCCTTCATTGGGAAACCAGCTGGAGAACCAAGTGTAAGCTATTCGATCAACCTCTGCATATAGCCTTGACTCTGTCACATCATCTACAGATTTTAACCCAAAATGACTGAGGTCTCGGGATAGTAATTGCTAAGGTTTTAATGATACAATGCCACATTGATCTGATTCTCTATCTACTCCTTATCAATTCCTGTGGGAAAAAAGTCGGCCTATACACCCACTGAGTATTTTTTGGTCTAAAAGAGGTCTAATAGACGTCTAAATGTAGCCGAGACAACTGGGCTAAAATCAGGCTACCACAGGTCTAAAAATGAAAGTTTTTCAGACATCTAAATTTAGACGTAGTCCAAATCTTGGCTATATCTATACCACACAGGATATTGCTCAATGGCTATCATAATTATTTTGGTTAAGTACTCGGAGATCAGTTATGCAACTCACAGTTGCTCTTTTAAAAATAAATAGTTATTGAATAATGGGTTCAAGTGCAACGTCTAAATTCCGTCTGATAATATACAGAATTTAGATGGTTGAAATTAGGTCAAAAAAAAAAGCTAGACATCTAATAGACGGGTTTCTTGTGTACAAACAATACTAAGTGCGTGCGCAAACAGGGGGCAAAAGCCTGCTTCGGAGTGAACTAATATCAATGAAGACGCCGTATTATTTGCAAGTTCTCCCTGACACAATTGCAATAAAATGTCATTTCATTGAAAAATCACTTTGTCTTTCATTGCATCAAAATCAGAAAAACACTTGCTGAAATGTCCATGAATTTCACCCAATTTACCAGTTTGTGACGTTGTTTTACATGTTTCTAATATCAGGAGCAGGTTTAGCTCTTTAGCTCCTTGTCATTTTCTTTTTCTGTTGACTCCGCTAGTAAACAAATAAGAAGTCCCACTTTCTGCCCTTTGGCTGTGCGTGCATACCTGCGATGACGTTGCACACAAACCCGTCTATGATTCACCACAGATTACTTTTGTTCTGGAGGAATTGGATCTGAATAGTCTCTGAAACTTCACTGATCTTCTCAATAGGATAGACAGAAACACATGGTGTTTAAAAGGAGTTGAAACTCTGTCACTCTCACGAAGCGAGTGGATTTTACAATAAGTCATTATGTTGTGTTGTTCTATATTTAGAGCTGATAATGTAAAAACAACAACGTTAAGTTGCAAAGTGTTTTTTGGCTGCACCTGCCTTCAATCTACCATAATTTCTCAGTAGTGTATTTTTTGAGGTTTTATTCAAAATAGAACAAGAATAACACAATGCATCATAAGGATAACAAAAACGTAGTACAATATTCAAAGTTGCCTGAGGGGAATCTAATCTATCATCATTACAGGCATAAATCAATAAGAGATATTATGAGGAGTTCAAGACAGCCATTATATGATTTTATTGCTTCTCTGTAAGGGCTATCTGATAACGCTGAAATATGAGTTTCAGTTGTTGTTGTTGTTGTTGTGCAAGCTGACTCCCTTTTGTAATGCATCCAGCTCTGATCTGAAACCAGTTTTTGATTCCAAGTCCCACTGATGATGATGTGATTGCAGGCTCTATTTGGAAAACTTACTGCACTTTACTTTGACCCCAGAAAAGGCCTTTCATTTTTTTGCCGGAGGAAGAACATATGTGCTGGATCGAAGAGTAGCACAAATGGTCAGGGTTTTTCTGATGGCAGAGTACAGCACTGACATTTTTCCAACTAGAGAGTACGCTTACACTGACAGCAGTGTCTCAAAGAAAGGAGCCGAACTTGTAGGTAACACACTCACTCAAAGTATAGGACGGTTCAAGTCCACCCCCATTTGATTGGGGAAAACCCTTTTAAGGATCATGGTGATTTTCTAAGGAAAGCAATTTTAACAAGGAATAATAATAAAAAGAGACACTGAATACATCAAGGTAAGCTAATGTTTTCAACAACTTTGAAACAAAATCATGTTTACTCAAATCTTTCATAGCTATACTGAGAGCGGTATATGTGATGTTTGTTTCAGGCTGCCCTCACTTCTAACTGGACGTTTTTCGGATCAGCTGTTTACTAATAAAATCTCTGATGGTTGACAGAGCCTCTGAGCTTCATTAACAAACAAGGATGGCATCTTTTGTTTGAAGTATTCAGCTAACAATAAAAACTATTCTTTGATGCTAAAAAAATACATAAATTATCACAGGTTGCCTTTTTTTTTTTGAGGAATTTGGTTCAAACAGTCACAGAAAATACAATGATGTTCTTTGTGGGATATAAACTCCTGGATCTTACAAAAACACAGTACATCACTGGAGAGCTGCTGGTCTCACAAAGCAAGTGGATTTTAAATGATGTCGGTACAGTCTAACATTCATTTTAAAAATAATCTCGTAAACAAAGCAGTATTATGTAACTACGTAGTTAACTCCTCAATCTTTCACCTTGTTCAGATGTGTGTTGAGGAAAGAAACTTGTCTTATATTTGGGCCAATGCGCTATCTCATATAATGCTGGTGTGACAAAGTAATCAGCATAATCTCTATCATTCTAGCCATTCATAAAGCCTGGAAAATCACATACCTTTCCACTTTTGCAATCAAAGTGAGGATACATTGTTAATTTGGTGCATTTCATGCTTAAATGCATTTTTGACCTGTGACCAAAAACCAGTTGGATCTGAGATTAAATAACTGGGAGTTTTTAGGTCAAATTGCAGCAATCAACCTAACTTCTCATTTTCTGGCCTCCTCTTTCATACTAATAGTTTTCATACAACTCTCTGTAGTTGATCTTGTCGCACTGACCATCCACAGAAGAAAAACAGTTTTTGTGAGAGCACAGAGCGACCCTCTAGCTGTCTTGATTACTGCCATAAATACTTCTTGTCATTTCTTGAAGGTTAAGGTGATGTAACTGCTGTTTTATAAAACCTGTGGATGGTCATTCAACTGTACCAAAGCAGCAGGGAGTGCAGATTTCAGAGTTTCAGGAAAGACTCACATGGTGCTCGGGGTGAGAATTCAGAGCTTGAATCTCCAAGAAGTTGAAAGTAGATTCAACCTGTTGACACAAAGATATCAAACAGCTTCAAGATCTCAGTTGAGATATAAAATCTTTCGACAGAAAGTGCAGACCAAGAGTGAAGTGGGAAATACCTTGGCAGGAATCTTTGGAGCCAGGAAATAAAGACGCCATGTAGTGAGGACCTAAAGAAAAGCAGCAGAGCAAATAGGATGGGAATAATGGAAAAGTTCAGAGCACAGTGACAACCACAGCGGGGGGGAAGTCTCAAGAGTTTCCATGGTAATGATGAGAATGAAATGAGGTCATTTTTCCACATATTGACTGAACTTTGAGTCCTCTTTATCCCAATGTGACTTGAAAACATACTGCAACATATAATCTCACAAACTTGAGATTCAACCACACTGACCCAGTATTATCACCTTACTGGTTGTACTGGTTTTAAGACTCATTTTCTTGACTTAGGGACCAGATTTGTCAGCATTAACATGCTAAGCTTGGTGATTTGAAGGTACAACATTCACATGTGCATTTTCTTTTAATCAAATGCCTCTTTTGTTCCTTTTATCACACCATAGTTAAGCAGCCACAGTGTCCAGTTGCCTGCTGCTGCCTAGATACTCTTCTAAACAGCTAACGTCACTTTAAAACTCCCATACAGCTCGATCACAAGTCAAAACTAAAATACAATTAATGACAACAGGCCAGTTAACAATCTGGAACATCCTCAGGCTAGCATTTTGTAACATAGTGTACAATAATTACAACAGTTTCTCACACAGATATACAGAACCAATATGAAACAGAACTAGGGCTGACAGATACAGCAACAATTCAATTGTTCAGAGGATTGACTAAAATTGGGCAATTAGAATTCAAGTTAACACATTTGTCTGACTGAACTTAATCAAACTTTCATCATCAGACTTACATAAACATTTACATTTAAGCAGTTGGGGAGAGGTTTTCTCTTCCATATTTGTGCCTGAAACAGACTGAGGCTAGCCTAAGCACTCTTGAGTGAGCTCCACAGTTCACATGTCAGGCTTTGACCCTGAAGATGAACTGGGTAGAGAGGAGAGCAAGGAGACGAGCAGGAGGAGAGAGGAGAGCAGGGAGAGGAGCAGGAGAAGGAGAGAGGAGAGCAGGGATATAAGCAGGAGGAGGAGAGAGGGGAGCAGGGAGAGGAGCATGAGGAGGAGAGAGGAGGGCTTGGAGAGGAGCAGAAGGAGGAGAGCAGGGAAAGGAGGAGGAGAGAGGAGAACAAGTAGAGTAGGAGGAGAGATGAGAGCAGGGAGCGGAGCAAGAGAAGAGTGGAGAACAGGGAGAGGAGCAGGAGGTGACAGGTGTGTGTGTGTGTGTGTGTGTGTGTGTCTGTGTGTGTGTGTGTGTGTGTGTGTGTGTGTGTGTGTGTGTGTGTGTGTTTGTGTGTGTCTGAAAAGCCAAGGGACAGGATGAGCACAACGAGAAATGCTGTAGACATCACAGGTCAGTGAGCGCTAACTGCTAAAAAAGTAGAGGACAGTTCAGAATAAAGCACAAGCCAAAGCCTTGGGGTTTTAAGGGAGGGTTTCTAAAAGCTTTAAAAGACTGAATGTTTTGATAGATTTGCAGCTTGTGATAAAGTGTTAGCAGTAAAAGAGCTCAAATCCTTAAATTTTTTATGAAACCCAAAACCTTTCATTCATCAATCATTAATCTTCATTATAATTTTATCATCTTTTTCCATCTTCATGTTGTGAAATCCTTTATAATGTAATAAATATGAAACTTATTCTTAAATTGTTGTCTGCTAGTCCTTCTTTGGTGTCCCCCAAAAGGACTCCAGCTTAATATATGAGATTGATGTAATGTTTGTAATCGAAACAATTTTCTTGCTGAAAGTGGTGCCTCTGTTACCAAGTGAATCAATGTCAAATTTTTAGATTAGTATCAAAAATATTAATCTCAGACATTTGTTATAAATACAAATTACTATAAGGTCTTGATCAGTGCTCATTCTTTTACCAGGAGGATGTGAATGACACATTAACAAGATCTCATCCTAAATCTGTATTTGCTTTAGGTAGCAGCTGCAAAATTCAATAATGTTTTCTTCAATTGCTAAAAAAAAAAAAAAACTTTTTTTGAATCATTTAATCATGATTACATTTAGACTAAATGCACATGTTTTACAGCATCTATGAACCCTTGACACAAGGTAGTTTTAACTTGTGACACTTTACCTGCCATTTATTTTTCTGGCTTCATTGCTTCCTTTCCTATTTTTGAGATCTGATTTTTTGCAGAGCAGTGATTGGATCTGTTCCAGAGCTGGCCTTGTTGGGTCAAGATGCCAAATTTGCATTTTCTGGCAGCACTTCCTCTACTAATTTGCTGTCTACAGTCTGAAGTGTGTAGGATATTTTTTTGTGTGTGTGATGCAAAGTTAATGGGACTTTAGACGCGACTCTAATTCAAAGCTTCTTGGTGCTTCAAGCGGCATCTCTGCACCCTCCTGGCCACTGTATGGACACAACTGTGTCATGCAGCTGTGGGATACATCTGATTCTGCAGATGACTCCTGTTCATGAGCGACATTTCACATCCTGAAAAAGTCAAAGTCTCTCCCTCTGAAACAAAGAGCGCTGATTCTTTGGCATTTCACTGCTGCACAACAGCCCCTGAGCCCTGCCCTCTGCTCTTTCTCCTCTCCTCTTCTGCTCCGTCGCTCCCAATCATTTATTCCATCCTCTCTGATGGCTCTGCTAAAACACTCCCCAAGGACTACTACCCCCCCCCCCCCCCCTTTATGTGTCTCTCCCCAATGAGAAGCAGTAATTAAATCACAGCTCTCCCACTCTGCTGGTTCATATTTTGGAGAGGAGCTTGACACAGACCTCTTAGAAGCAACACGCTGACAGCCTCGTACTCCCACGCAGCGACTGAGGTGTCTGAGATGAAGTCACTCAAAGTGTGCAGCATGTGAGGGGAGAGGAGGGGGGAGGAGAAGAGGTGGGGGGGGGGGGGGGGGTGGATCTATGTGTGTCTGAAGGAGCTGATTAAAAGGAGCAGATTGTATCACATTACGGGGATGAGCTGGGGTCACGGGTGATAGTTAAGAGAGGGAGCGCAGAGTAAACAGGAGTGAATCATGCTGATGCAGCAGACAGTATTCACATCAAAGAGACACCACACACACACAAGCACACACATACACATACACATACACACACAAACACACACACACACAAACACACACACACACATACCCTTCTTATTGTGGAGAATAATTACACAGGAGAGATGCTACAGGACAGATATTCTCATCTTTTCTTGTTTGACACTTCATATGAGGCTTCATGGAGAAATATCTAACCGATCAACAGTGACAGAGCCAAACAGCACATATACCTCCTTTCTTTCACCTCAACCTCCTGAACACACTGTAAGAAAAATTCAGACATTTTAAAACCTGCAACATTTTTTAATAATATTTCAAATACTCAATTCTTGAGTCCTGTTTGAGCCCTTATTTTCAGGAACCTTGTGCTCAGACTCATGCAAACAGTATTTCTTGCATTGTGTGATAGACCAGTCATAAATGAACCCTTGTTTGGTAACAACACACCATTTAAGAGGAATATACTGTCACTCTCAGCCACTTCTGCTCCAGCAATTTCTACACACAGGTAACATAGGAATGAGACATTAAACTATCTGTCATTTAGCGGGCTACATCACAGAGTTCAGTGCTGCTTTTGCTAGCAAAATATAACAACTGATTAACTCACAGAAACATGAGAACACAGGACAGATTTTGGTGAGATTAGTCAGTATACTATAAAAATCTCTGCCAAAAAACATGAAAATTAAGAGAGAAATTTTTTTTCTATCTGTTACAACTACACTAGGACTAAGAAGATTGGGAAGAAAACTGGTTTATTTATTGATACAGACACTTTTAATGATCATTTATTCAGTTTGCAAGTTGTGAAAGAAGATTTAATGATGAATCTAGACAACTTTAGCTGGAGTGTAGAGCCTTTGTGGATTAGAGGTCATCTGTGGATCTCTGTAGATATACTTTTAATGTGTTTGGATTAAATCTTTGTCTGAGCTTGGATCGTGGCATCTTCTCTGTGGCAGGACTGGCAGACTTTCAACATGAATCTCGGCTATAAACTCGAATGTCAGTGACAGGAGTCATAGGGGTCTGGTTAGTGACAACGTCAAGAAAGTATTCTTTAATTTTGGTAATGTGTTTCTAAAGTGATACCCAATCATTTACAGTTAACGTATGAATGTGATCTCTCTACGTTCCACAAATACTGTCACTGTTTTTATCACTAAGTCACAAACATATTGACCAGTGTCAGCACAGGTAGACCACAGGACTACTGGAGCTTTGAAGACAGCAAAGAGCATCAATATTTGGATTTATAAATCATCTCCTTCTTCGTCAAAGAGGTCTATCTCTGTTGGGATCCTTTTGGCAATGCTATCAGACTCTAAAAATAAAAACCTGTGCCTGTCAGAGGAAATAAAAGTACTTTAAATGGATTTGGTAAATTTGCTTGAAAAATCAGGCGGCAGCCAGTTTAGCGGTATCACGACTGCTGGCTGAAAAAAATCTGCTGGAGTGATTTCAAAGCTTTTTGTACCTGTTAGTAATTTGGACGACATAATATGTAAAAACAGAGCCCAGGTTTAAAAATACCAGAAATCCCATTTAAGCTCAGCTTTTCCTGTTTGATCGAACTCCAATCTATCTTTCTGCTCCCAGCAGGAAGCAGACTCTTATTTTGCAGCTTTAAAGAGGAAGCAGGAAATGGGACATGGATTGGAAAGAGATTATTGGAAAGATTTTCTGGCCGATAGACATATCAAAGTGTCTGAATATCAAAGGCTGTACATGCAGAAACCCGCCTTTAAAGCTTTTATTGAGTGGGGGCTCGCTCGGCTGAGGATGAAAGCTCATTGGCTCTCCAGGGGAGGGACTGCAGGAGGGGCAAGAAGAGTCATTAGTCTTTTAAACAGAATAAAAACCTTGCTGACTTCACTGCTGCTGGACAGGGAGTTGTGTTGGGCTTTGCACATGCCGAGGTGTGGTTTAGTTGCTCTTTAAAAAGTAGCACTCGATCAATAGAGGCTGTGTGGACGAGCAGCAGTGTGCATGAGGTGTTGTGCTTTCATGAACAAATAAAAGTCAATCTCTCCGGAACAGAGAGGAATTCCTGAAGCGCCTAATCTAAGTTCTGGTCCATAATGTACGAGCTGATTGGCTCAGATTTTATCCAGACTTCTGGCTTAGCTTCAAATAGAGATTTCATATCTGAGTCCCATTTTCTGTGATGAAAGCGCCCCTGAATCAAAAGGCTGCGAGCTTCACGGCCCCCCCACTGTCTCCATAGAGAAACTGTCCATCCAATATTCATCCGGCAGTAGAAATCAGGCTGCAGTTAGAAAGCAGTTAAAAAGTTTCCAGGAACCTCTGCAGTCACAGATCCATTAAGACGGCAGAGGAAGTTCACATCAAAGATACAGTACATACATGATGCATGCAGCCGACTCCAGCAAGGATTCCAGTTTGTTAATGAAGCTCAGAGGCTCAAAAAGACTTAAACAGAAACTCACCAGGATCCTGTCCTCCGTTTTTCCATTTTTGGCGTCCAGCTTGATGCCATATACAAACTTAATTGCTGATTTGTCGATTGTCTTCTTGATGCTCTCTGCAGAGAATCACAAAACAGATGTAAAGAGTTAAAAACCGGATTCCTACAAATCAAAAATCAAATATATCACCCGCATATAAATGTATTTTATTTTGTGTTTTTTTTTTACTTAGAGTGGCACAGAATAAAATGATAGTAACATATGTGTACAATTTGAACATATGTATACGATTAAAAAATAATCATATTGAGTGAATTGGATGTGACCTGTGTATGACCTTAAAATAAAGCAATCCACGTTTAGTCCGTGTTTACATGAGCCCAGCTGAATCCGATTGATAAGCTCCTACGACATGCGCAAAAAGCCTCTCTACCTTCAAAGGTGTGAGTGAAGAAGAGGTGCACTTCTGTTTCCAGCTTCTTGATCCATCTGGCAAATGGATCCACTTAGAGTTTTATCATTTATTTATTTATTTATCTTATTGTTTTATTGTGTTTTGGTCATAACTTCTGGGTTTCCTATTTCCTGCTCGCATCGTTATGTGATCATACGTATTTAGGGGCTTGTGCAGAACAAATAATCCAGTCTATCAACTGAATACGATCCAATCAGCCATTTATATCTTTGCATCAATCATACTGTCAACTGGTGTACAATACCTCCTACAATCAGATCTGAAATTTTATACGATCTGAGTGAATCGGATCTGCTTCGATGTGTACATGACATGACACATTTTTAATCTCATTGAGCATTTAATATGATTGTAAGTAGGATTTTATGGCCCATGTAAACGCAGCTATTGAGTGCAGGATGCAGCAGTTTAAAGACAAAGAAGAAAAAGACAGGTCGCTGTTCTGGTCTGATAGTTTATTTGACAAATAGAGGATCGTACTTCTTCACCTCAAAGGCTACTTTAATTCATCAATGAAAGGGATGAGCAAGGGAGTGTTTCAATCCAGATTCTGACCGCTAGATATTACTACACTTTTCTGTTTTCCACCTATTGTACCTTAAAGCGTAGTTTCCAGAATTATCTAAATTAAACATAACAACTCATTAGGGAGATTTTATTGTCTGCTTAAAACAGGAGCTGTCTGCATTCACATTAGTCGTAATTCAATGAGGTACAAATTAATTAACAGCATGTTACTTCCAAATCTTTCAGGAAGCTTAACTGACAAGTCAAAACTAAAATTCCCTTTCAGTTGAACAAAAACAAAAAATATAATCCAAGAACTCTGAGTTTGAGCTCACACCCATGAGCTAAAATTACAGGTAACGATAATCAGACTGATGTCAGTGGGGAGCCTCATCACAATAGCTGATAAAACCAAATCTTACAGTGTGTGAATCCTGTTGATGACACTAAATTGTAGACTACAGCACTAGCTAAATAGATGGAAACTGACGGCAGGCCAGTAAACATAGAAGACTCAGGTCTAAAGGGCATCCTCAAATTGGCAAGCTGTAACAAGTCAGATGCCTTAAACTGAGCATACACTGTGGGAACTGAAGCCAATTTGGATCAGATTTTTCGGTGGCAATGCTAAATTTGGAAGAATTTCAGCTTGATCCTGCATTGTGTGCTGTGCAGTACGCAAAGAGGTGCAGGAGCCCATTTTGGCTTCAATCAACATTTCCCATCCGGGCAGATGAATTTCTGGCATGTCAGAATTTTTGACAGTGAAAGCACAACAACATGCCGGTGCAAAACAGTAGAAAGAGCCTGAAAAATGTTGCATGACGGGAAAAGCTTGAATGGACATACAGGCACAGATCTACAAAACATGATGACCACTCCTGCAATTCAAAGCCATCCAATACAACAGCTCTGCCATATAATACACCTCTGTGGAGCTTCAACATGTTTTGCTTTTACTGCCATGTCAGAAAGGTGATGATTGTTTATCATATTCATGGATGAGTATGACTTTAAAACATGTGTCAAACCAACATAGTGTGGTTAACACTTTTTTTCCTTTTATTTCATGGCAATTTATTCCTTGTTATTTTAGATTCAAAGTCCTGCACTCAAAAAGCTGTTTTGGTCGTAACTCTGGTGATCAAACTGATCAGCTCAATTTGAGCAAAAGTGCTTCAGCACCACTTATTCAAAGCATTACTGGATAAGCTCAATGCCAGAGACCCACCCCTTCATGCTGATGTCCAATGGTTGAGTCCCAACAAAGTGCTGCAGCAATTTGTTGATTTCCTGCCTGAGATAAAGTCTTTGGTGGAGACAAGGAACGAGGAGCACCAGGAGCTGTCAGAAGATCAGTGGCTGATGGTCCTGGGGTTTCTGACAGACCTGACAGCAAAACTGAACACACTGAACAACCAGCTCCGGGGAAAAGACTGACACCTGCCCCACATGATAAATGTGTTCAAGGCCAAACTCAGTGTTTTCAACAAACATCTGAAAAACAGAGGCTGGCACACTTTTCCAACCTGGAAAAAACATCACAGGCCATCAATGATAAGGACGCTTTTCACCCTGAGCAGAAGTGCGTTAACTTGGACCAAGTGGCAGCAGAGTTCAGTCGGTGATTTGGTGAATTAGACGTCATGGAAGATCTTCCCACATTTGTCTCAAACCCATTCCCGACCATTGATGTAGAACAGGTAGCAGCCAAATTTCAGCAGGTATTTGCTCTGCCTAGTGGGGTCAACACGGAGATGGTTGATTTGCAAAATGACGCTGAGCTGAAAGCATGATCACGGGACAGTGACTTTTGGGGACTTGTCAGCAGGGAGAAGTTTCCCCTCCTCACTTCATGTGCGCTAAGAGTGAGTGCCTACTTTGGATCCACTCACCTCTGTGAAGTGGCGTTTTCACAGATGAAAATAATCAGATCAAAGTACAGGAGCCGTCTTACTGACAAACACCTCACAGACTGTCTCAGACTGGCTGTCAGCAGCTGTGAACCAAACTACAAAGCACTCATAGACAGTGTGCAGTCACAGCCATGTCACTAACCTGGTCGAATAACATGACAGTTGGCAATGTGAAAGTTAATGATGCATAAGATGGGGCGTAACTGTACTGAGCTTATTTATACTGAATAAAGGTTAGTCAACACACACAATTACAGTTCTGTTTTTTAATAGATATTATGTAATTAGCATGTGATTTGGCTCACTGTCAGTGTGTGTATGTGTGTGTGTGGCACATAAAAAAGGAAATAGGCCACAGCTTAATTTTTGTGTGTACTTGGCCTAATTGCACTGACTGAGAATTTTGTTTGCAGTTCTACTTTCTAAAATGCTAATATTAATTATTAATGAATGAAGCTTTAGTGGACAAGCATAACACATGATACAATCCATTTGTCTACCATAAACAAAATAGTGTCTCCATATAAGTGGAATATAGGTCACATGCCTTTGCTTTTTGTGTTGAAATGAAAGTGAATAATTCAAGTTGTTGTGTTGTAGAATTTTCAAACCAGCACAGCTATGGCCAGTTTGATATGCTAGTTACAGTGTTTTCTTGGTTGCATGAATATGAATGTTGGACCAAAGCATTTCATGTAATTCAAATTAGCCAGAATAAAAGGCGTCAAGTTGGAAGTACAACCTGGGCTGTCTTTTTATTTCAACGCTTCAATAGGTAGATCTCGCCTGTCACCAAGGTGGAGGTCAGGGATCTTGGGCTTAAAAAGGTTGGAGACCACTGCTGTGAGTGATTCATCTGCAGAGGTCGAGTTAACATCCATCTGTGATATTGTATATTAATAAAATCATACAGTGTCAGCCTAGCTTTGCCATCACAGGGAATAATATTTTCATGCATATAACTGGCCACCACAAAGATAATGACGTGACGATCCATTGATAGGCTTTAAAACAGAGCAAAACCTTTGACAGAATAAACACTTTGGTACTGCCTCTTTCCTCTCAGTCAGGATTTCAGACTTTTATTTATTTAAATGAGAAATCTAAAAGTCAAGGTCATGTCATCAGATTTAAGGAAAGGCAATATTAGTTTCTTTTAATATTGTGCAGCATGAGATAGAACCAAACCACCATACCACACAGGAACTCTTCAAAAGTGAAAATGCCATTGCATTAAACAGGAACCATCAGATGTTAGTGAGTGATTAGATTCTTAAAAAGAAGAGCACCGTACTTATTTGACACAATAAGCAATAAAAAACATTATACTCATTCTTTAAAACTAAGCAGATGTTAGTTCAGTTTTCCAAAGAAGAGACATAGCTTCTTTTGCATTAGCTTAATAAGACCATTGACCTTCACGGTGCACAGATCTCCATCCACGTGTTCATCTAACTTGGGAAAACTCAGAAAATCACAAGTACAGGGCCACTGTGACATCTCACAGAGAGATAAGATAACCCAACAAACCTCCATCTGTACACAGTCGGATAGTTTGAGGAAAGATCATTCACAAAATGATAAATACTGCACACTTTAAACAAAGAGACGAACAAGGTTTTGTGTTGCGATTCAAAACACAATTCATCCATTTATCCATTCAAGACTTTTTCTGAATAGTCACAAAACTAACTCTGAATACGACAATTATTCTCTTTTGTACGTCTCAAAGTCAACATGAAGCCATCACCGAGCAACACAGTCATCTAGAAGCTTCTCAATATGGTTGCGAGAGATCTCTGTCCTCACAGGAGCGGCTCAGACATCAGTGTGTGTGTGTGTGTGTGTTGGTGTGTGTATGTGTGATTCAGCGAGAAACGTTCCTGTTAAACAGAATTATCGTCACAGCTGTGACCTCTGACCCCGCACAACCTGAGCCAGGGGAAGTGTCGCACTGTCAGAGACACAACACATTACACAGACACACGACAAAATGATTTTACTGAAGCATCTGCAGCATGTAAAATGATGCTGGAGTCGATCAGGTCACTCTGGATAGAGAGCTTTGAAGGTTTATAGAGAGAGTGTGGACTGTCTTTAATAGAGCTGGAGAAAATGTACTGAAAAAAAAGTTTTAAATTCAGTTTTTCCAGTTTCTAAAACATGATTTTTTGTTATTCCTTTGCCTCCTTGTTGCTAGTAAACAGAGTATTTTTAGATGTGAATAAAAACATACTCAAGGCTACTAATGTAGCCTTTGGGGGAACATTCAGTAACTGTTTTTGCCATTTTAGTCAAGCTGAACACGTAGCAGTACTAATTATTTGAGATAAAACACATCTATCAGCGTTGAAGATCAATGCTGACGGTACAGTACGTTTTCTAATCCTAATGGAGCTACATTTATCCACTTTGATGATGCGCATTAATTGTCCACATGGCAAAGTTCAGCGTTAATGAATGCAGCTTATACTTTAATATTCATTCCAGTACCTCACTGCTAAATTATTTCCATTTAAGGCATTTTACTTCTTCTTCATGCAGTTCTGCAGATAAATTTTGTACTTTTCATTCCTCTGCATTGGTCAGATTTCAGCAGACAATTGTAAAGACAAATTGTGAGCTACAGCTGAATTAGTTTCAGCGTATGGCTCAGAGTGGACTTAACACTCTAATTTAAAACACAACTTGTTCACAGCTGGTGCAACAGGCCTCTGGGTCGCAGGGTGCAGGAGCCCAACCTTGCTGTCATTGGGCAAGGGGTGAAGTACACTCTAGACAAGTTACAAACGATTACAAATTACAATGTCAATTAGCAGACACTTTCATCCAAAGTGACGTACATATGAATACACCGGCGGAGGACACACACTGGGAGCAAGGTGGGTAAGTGCCTTGCCCAAGGACACAATGGACAGACTAGGGAAAGGGGGGAATTGAAGCGCCAACTTTCCAGTTGCTGAACGATCATTCAACCTCTTTAATAGCTTTTCATGATTTTCAAATTAAAAAAATTCTTGTGTTTCCCACTCTGGTGTATTTAAATATCATTATTTCAGCCTCCGTCTAAAACACTTTTTTTTAGCTGCTGTCTTGTTTTTGAGGGATGTATGACATTATCAATTATCATCATCTGTAAAAAATTTTCCCCAAATACCTTGATTATTTTTATCACTATTGTGCACCCCTAGAACTTTATTTGCTGAAATAACATCATGATGCAGATTGGTAACAATTCAAAAGTCAAGTTTTGCTGGGTTTGTCCACAAGAGAAGAGGACAAGTCTTAAAATGTTTGTTGAATGGAGGCCAGGGCCATCATTTCTGATGCATTCAGGGAAGTCAGGAAATCTAAACACTAATATCTTTTGTGACACAGCATCAAGTAAATTAGTGTCTCATCTTCATTGGGATTGTGGTTGGTAGAATCACGGTAGTGCATCTTATGTCACAAAAACACTGCATACATATGACTGCAACTTTTACAGTAATCCAGATGAACATTTGCTGGTGACACTGCATTTTCTTTACTTTTAAATAAGAGTCTTGCACTTTTTTCCGGCAATGCAGAAATGTTCCTTTTGCAAGACTGCTTCTCTCATTATAGTAAGGAAACGAACATTTCTTTGACAGCTGTTCAGCTGAACCCCACTGCAGCGTGTAACTGCTGGTTTAGGAAAAGGAGGATGGACAGTAGGACTGACTCTCAAAACTTCCAACATTCTGCAAAACTTTTCTACAAATGAGTCTGTGACAGACTTTCAGAGACAGCTCCAAAGGATCAGAGTGGTGAAAATCTAGAATACCAACAATCCAGAGAGGAGATGCAGATCTGAGCTCTCATTCAGGTGACCTTGTGCAGGCCACTAGCCCAAGTGGCCCCTGGTGCTCCTCGCGCCTGTCAGTCAGCAGGAGGCGGGTCACAGGGGGGCGGAGCAGTGCGCGGCAGGTGACTGAACAAGGAGGTCGGGATTCCTCTGGTTTAATCATCAAGGAGAGCCTAATAGAGCCATTAGGAGTAATTAACACAGCAGCAGAGTCCCGGCTACCCTGAGCATGTGTCTGTGCGCATGTTCGTGCCGCACACTGATACTGTGTCATGTGCGCAAGCTGTTGCTGTTTGAGGCGAATGAACAAATATTTGTGCACTCCGCGCGCTGCTGGGTTTGTGTAGCTCGTGTATTTTTGCTGGCACGAGACAGACAACATCTGCCTTTAACAGCCCTCACTTTGGCACGCACGCGCTCATGCATGTACGCGCGCAATCACTATAAAGCTGAGGCTGGCTGGGCTGCAGAAAAAAAACAAAGAGCAAACACTGAATGGTTCAGGTTCACAAAGGAGTACAGACACTGGATCACCGGGTTAGAACCGGGAACAAACCGCGTTTAAAGCCACGAGCACACACAGAGAAACATTTCCTCTACGCCCCTTTTCCTCTCTGGCCTAAGGCTGGGGGAGTGAACCAGGGGGTTTATTACCTGATCCGCCCCAGGGGCTGATTTAAAGCAGGGTAGATTTCCCTGCTTTGTAAATAATTCATCCGTACGTTAACTCATTCTCATGCACTGTGCAGGAAAAGGCTTCAGGACAAGATGTGAGCTTGTCGCTCATCATCCAATACGTCTGCTCGGTGCAGCCTCCGCCGGGTGCGCGGGGGGAAAGCATCCCAACCCCGAGCGCAGACGCACCGGGAGGGACGGCAGCTGCAGCCCGCAACAAGACACACACACACGGGGCGAAAGAAGCAGGCTGTACCCACCTGTGATATCCTTGGTCACACTCACGAAACCAGTGATCTCTCTAGAAGCCATGTCTGCTCCTCTCTCCTATAGCCTCCCCTCCTCCTCCTCTCCTCTCTTCTCCTCCACCTCTCTCTCTCTATTTCTCTCTCTCGCTCTCTCTCTCTCTCTCTCTCTCTCAGAAACGGACAGAAGGGATGCTCTCTCTCCCAGGCATTCCTGCAGAGCATCCGACAGCCCGACGCGCTTCCTGGATGAAGAAACACGGTGTGGATGAGGGGAGGCTGATGATGGGAGCGACGGGAGGTGGAGGGAGGGGCAGGGAGGAGAAGGGAGGGTTGAGGAAGAGGAGGCGGGGATCACTGAGGATAATGAGGCAGCTGTGGTTACCTGTGAATTAAAGCTGGAGTAGGAGAAAATAGAACGGAGTGAGGCAGCAGAAAGTTTTAGTATCAGTAAAATCAGAGTTGGGCTGATGCTTTTCTCCTCAGTAGATAGACGCTCAGTGACATGCAGATATTTAAAGGGATATTCCGGCGTAAAATTAATTTAGGGTCAAACACACCGTAACACCCAGTTAGACACCCCCAAGAGATGAATGTTGCTGACCGCTTGCTTCTTTAGTTATACCAACTTTTGCAACGACCACACGATAGCAATACACAGCGATCTGAGAAGCCACACACAAACCTCAACCAAAAAGACACTAGCCACAAATAATGCTCAGAACAGCACCTAACTTCATCAACAGTACATATGGGGTCCCAGCCACAGCACTAGACACCAAACATCTTTTTAACTTTGCCTTATTTCTTGAGCAAAAATGACTAAATACAACTCACCTACTCTCTAACGGCAGCCGCTTGTTTGTTGCGAGACCTCGGGCCAGTCCATTATGGACTACAGCGGGGTGACGCAGCTCAAGGAAAAACATATATGATCATTTCTTTATCATTTCCTTGAAGTAATAATCACCATATTAATCATTTTGCACTGCAGACACGGTAGTTCTTCTGCCTGAGCGACTGCATTTCCATGAAGAAATGATCATAAATGTTCTTCCTTGAGCTGTGTCACCCCGCTGTAGTCCGTAATGGACTGGCCCGAGGTCTCTACAAACAATCGGCTGCTGGAAGACAGTAGGTAAGTTGTGTTTAGTCTCTGTGTATTGCTATCCTGCAGTTGTTACTCAGGTTGGTATAACTAGAGAAACAAGCAGTCGGCAACATTCATCTCATAAGGGGGTGTCTAACTCGGTGTTACAGTGCATTTGACCCCTAAATTAATTGTACGCCAGAATATCCCTTTAAGCTGAATTAAATCACTTTGCTACTGTCCTGTCACAGTCTAAAATAATGCTGAGCTCAAATGCGGACCTTTTAAATGCATTGTTAAAAGGTTTTTGTCCGCAAGGGTAAGAAGCAAAGATGCCTCTGTTTCTCTCAGCAGCTGGAGGGGTGGGTCCTGGTCCGTGTTTGATTGGCAGCTCCTGGTAGCTTGAGATTTGGCAGGAAACCAAGAAGCCTTTTTAACCCATTACCTTCTGATATAACTGCCTCTCATATGCACCTTACAGCAGGAGATTACCTGTGTCAGATGAACTAACTTGAGGAGGACTAAGCACAAGGTTTGCAGGTCTACAGCAGTAGCCAACACTACGACAGGACTTCATTAAAATGTTTTTACATTTTCTTTGTAGAAGCCATTAAATAGAAGCAAATATGAATCATGTGGTGCATTTTCAAACAGCCTTAATGGTCACTTCTACTAAAAGCTGATGTGACGTAGGAAAACTTCCATGACAACAGTAAGTACCAGTGAGGAACACTCTGAAATAAGAGTTGTGGGCACTGCAAGGCAAAAAACAGTCAGTTGACACAGGCCACAGCATTGTTGCTGCTTGCAGAAGGCTAAAAGCTTTCCTCTGCACTAATTCTACACCTGTGTCAAGGTTGACTGAAAGTTAGGTTGTCAGAATTTCTATGGCAACCACTATCTTTGGGCTTCACAGCATCTCCTCTGGAACAACTGGGGGAGCTCACTGAAACTTCGTCCATGTTTAAGGCAGGATTCACATCCAAAAGTGCAACAGAAAAAAAGCAGATCATTGTAAACGACAAATATACAATAGTAATATGCATTAATAACAATGTCGACTTATAACCCTGTGCAAAAACAACAATGTGCAATGTAACATCAAAACGGTGCAGTAATGCCATGTGCAATGACAGCTGTGTCTTCTTGTAAGAGAGTGTGCATTTTTCATTGTCTATTCACCTGTCTCCTTTTTACATTTGAGAAAACTTTACTCAAGGAAGTGTAACTTAAAATATATTCTCTTTAAAAAGTTTTGTTTATTCTGATTTTTGATATTTTCTACAACATATGAAATAGAGCTGACTTCAGAGGTATTTCCCTTTCCTTTTATTTCCATTTCCATTTCCTTTTAATCAGTTGTATTCTTTATTATTCTATTCTACACAATTTATTCTTGTGCTGCATTCCAGTTACCTCGGAAGTCGGATGTCAAAAAGAATGACAGCGTTCCAGTTACCAAGTCGGAAAACCAAGATGGATGCCTACATGAGCTGTTGTTAGCTGTTGTTTACAACTGTCAGCTGTCTTTAGACGTTGTCAGTTGTTAGTTGTTGTTAGCTATACCAGTTGTAAACAATGCATAACACAGTATTTTACTCTACAAACACCATAGCACCGTGTTCACAGTTAGATGTTGGGCAGTACAGCATATACCACTTATTTAATTTCACAAAAACAAAACAGAAGTGCTAGTAAATAATACATTACGAGAGCTTTTACTATCGCTCTTTACTGTTGATGCACTGTGCTGCCATCTTGGATGATGACATTGTCGTCAAGTCAGGGTTGGTGAGGATCGTCCAACTTTCCAAAAAGGAAATCCTACTTTATGGGGATGTTCCAGATGAATTTCTGATTCGGAGCTTGGAAATTCGGACTTCTGAACGCAGTATTTCTAAACATATTCAATTCTGATTTCTTTTGTTCCACTCCTTCTCAATCTATTCTTTTCTGCTTTATTCTATACTTTTCTGGATTATTCTTATTTTGAAGTATTTATTTCCAGATTTCAAGAACCTGTGCTCAACCAAGGAGCAGCAAAGTCTGGTCTCTGTGAATTTTCTGCAATTTTTGCTCAATTTTTTCATGTTTTTGTTGTGTTTTTTTAGCTGCTGATGGACCATTTCTGCAAAGAGAAGAGTTTACTCAAGAGAAGAGCTTCTTTCATTGAGATGAAGCAAATCTAGACAACAACAACCAATTCCAGCAGACATCTTGAGGTGTTTTCATGGTTGCCATGGTGCAGGCAAAGTTGAAGGCTAGGAACTGGAGATATGAACCCTTTCCTTTCATCAGTCAACATGGCAAATGTCAACTCTCTGCCCAACAAAAGCAAGGAGCAGGAGATATTCGCGAAGACTGAGAAAGCATACCATGAGTGCAGTCTCCTGTGTTTTACTGAAACCTTGTTGAATCAAAACAACCCAGACTCCAGTGTGGATCTACCTGGCTTCACTCTCTGGCTTCAGAGATGCTAAAGCTAGTCACAAAGAGAAAGGAGGAGGACTGGCTTTATTTGTTAACCAGAAATGGTGTAAACTCTTTCAATGTAACTGCAAAAATTGAACTGCTGACAGTTGCGAATCAGGGACTGCTCTAATATCTCTGTGTCACAGAATCACTTTCAGAGCAATTAGATTGATGATAAAACGCTGACTCTTTATGAAAATCCTTAATGAGCCCACAAGACAAACACACCGAGGCACTGGCCCCTTGAGATGCTATAAACTTAACGGCAGGTCCCTATACAATATTGTAGCTTGAAGAGTTGTAAGGCGAATTATATACCAAAACCTGCTGTTTGACCAGGATCATGGCGAAAAGTGCGCTACAACTCTTCTCTTTTCTCTACTTTTCTCTTTTTACAACACTTTTCTTTTTCAAATGTCTGCTGCTCTGACTCAGTTTTTTTCTGTTTTATAAATAAATACTTGAAAAAGGAATGTTTGATGGAGATCTGCTCCTTGTATATAATAGCACAATGCTACTAGAATTACTTACTTGAAACCTCTTAAGAATCTCATCATAGCGTACACACTCCGGCAGTATAGTCCCTGTGGCGCTTTTAAAATTTCACTGAGGGAATTTTCTAATTCTATTCTATTTTATTTCTTTTTTTTATTGTCTGCTCTTCTTTTTTTACTCTAATCGATATTAAATATGAACCTCATCATTGGTCTAAAGACAAATTTCGGAAATCATTAACATGGATGTTTGGTTTAGGATTCATAAATATCTAACAAGTCATTCCACACACGTTTAAGTACCTCACACAATCAGTGAAATCTTTGACCTGCTTTTGGTGTTAGAAGAAAGGCAGGGGGTATCAAGTGTTCATCCTCTGGAGACTTCACCTCAGTCATCCTGGTTGTTTTAGAGTTATTTCAGTTCTGTTTAAAGCAACAGAAAGATGACAAACACTGTTCTGCAAAGATGCTTGTATGACCTAAAAAAATCTCCAAGCTGACAGGAGCTGCACCCAATTTTATCCTTATCTGGTTTGAACTGATTGGATTAAACTGAACATGATGAAATAGTGCCAAAGAGAAATTAAGCTTCAGTGTAAGCAACACTACTGGGGTGAAAGGGAGGATATGAACAGAGTAAACGAGGAATAATGATACCACAAATAATTAGAATAGTTTGATAAAACAGTGAGAAAAGAAGAAGATAGAATAGAATAGTTGAAGAATATATAGAATAGGTTAAGATGGTAAGGAATAGAAGAAAAAATAGCAGCTATTTTTTATCTCTTTTATCCTTAAGTCTGATGGCTCCTCCTGCTAACTGTTGTCACTGGACGGAAATGTCTCCACCAAGATAACCATCTGTGTCTGTGGTCTGCTATGGTGGGAAATCCTGGGGAGAAACACTTTATCCTTTTTCATAGCTTGTGAAATCAAAAGACATGAAATACACTAATGGGTTTGTAAGACAGTTATCTTAAAATCTTAAATATTTTCACTTGTACTGGTTTTATAAAGGATAGAGGGCAAACTGCTGGACTAAGTTTGGATATTAGACAAAATGAAGATCCGCCTGGTCCTCTCATTGCTGGGTGAGTGCAACAGATTCAACCTGAACGTCTGCATCCAGAAGGAACATCATTAAAAGTTTCTCTTCTGTCAGACTGAGCTGTGTGCGTGTGTCTGCTGTCGCATTTCGGTGCTCTCTTGGAGTCAAAGCCGTGCAGATATCAGTGTATATTTTGCTGTGGGGTTTAAGGCTGTAAATCTAAGTCTGCTGCGCTCCTGCAGCTCAGAGTTTCAGTCAGTGTAAATTAAAATGATGCACAGCAGCCAGAATCTGAGCTGATGGAGATAATTCAGACAGAGCTCCCAAACTGTGGTGTCGGCTGTTTCATCCCTGACAAACTGAAGTTATGTCTAAAGTTGGATCTGGGCATGCAAGCTGCAAAAAACAAAATCTCTGCAAAAAGAAATAAAAAAGACAGGCACTGCTTCTTTTTCTTACACAAGAAAAGATTTCCTCTTTTCACTTCACTCATTTCAAGCTTGTGCTACTGATGCACTAGAACCTGTAACCGGACTTTATTGGAGGCTTACAGCTCCAGACTACCACAGTTATGCACCTTTTTTTATCAAACCCACCGAAGTAGAACTACAGCCCTGTCAGGGTCTGAATTTCTTCTTTGAGAGGAAATAACAATAAAACTGGGGTTCAGTGATTTTATATTGAGTCTACAAGAGTCTATTGTGCATACTGAATTATTGAAGAAATAAAATTCTGCTCTGTTTTCTGAACAAATGAAGTGAATATCTTGCAATTTCCAGATTAAAAATTTTCAGAAAAAGCAGCCTGGGTGTCGCCCAAAACCTCAACCAAAACTAATATTGGCCACTCAAGGAAGTGAATATGCAATCCAGTTTCATTTAATTTCAGGTTTGAGACTCTGGGAGATACTCCTTACATAGACTCTTATAGTCTATAGTCTAGATTAGATTAGATTAGATTAGATTAGATTAGATTAGATTAGATTAGATTAGATCAGATTAGATAAAATCAGATTAGACAAAACTTTATTTATCCTTGTGGAAGAACACTAAGGAACATTGTGTAGAATTCAGTGGCATTTTAAGAAATTGAGTGTACTATGAATGTATCACGATCATTTCATCTCTGATGACTGTTGTGTGCAGATGAATTTATATGGATAAAGTTTTTGAACTTAAAAACCTGACTAATTATGGATCGGACTAAACTCTGTCACTTTTCCTAACGCAGTCACCTGCTGACCGCTGCAAACACATGCTTAGCTTCCTAAACTGTTCTTTTCAGTCTGTGTCATATTTTCTTGCTCGGATTTTTGATGGCTTGTTTAATGATTTTTAATGTTTTCCTTAGTATGTTTATTTTGATCTCCGCAAAAATTCTTTAATGTCTCGTGTTAAACACTTTGGATCACCTTGTTGCTAAAATGTGCTTTATGTGCTGTATGCCTTGCTTTGTTGGTGTCGGCTCAAAGTACATCAGTGAAATTTTAACTGTTTGGCACAAAGTGCAGATAACTTTAGATCGTTTAATTGGGTTGTCTGGTAGTTTTTGAGGTGAATTTGTCAAACAAAAGCAAAGTGGTGTCAAAGATTTTGTCAAGGCTCCAGGAGAAAGATGCTGTGGTGGTTAAGTTACAGTTTGCAAAAAGGAACAAACGACTTCGCCTCCCAGTATTTACTTGTTTTCATAATTTTCACTAAATATTGCGTTATTACTCTGTCAGCAGATCATTTTGCATGTTTTTGGTAAATGGTTTTATTGCTTCGTTTTTTGTTTTGGGATGTGGCTCTTTTGCATTTACTCGTTCTGAGTTCTGATCTCACAGGAAAAATAGAGTTAATGTGTGCACATTCCTGCAGTTCCCATGAGGACGATAAGAGTCTAAACAGTCTCATTAAGGAAGAGGAAGCTCCCCTCACTGTCACACTGTGGTAGCACCATGACTGTAAAATGCATCTCAGCAGAATTAGAGACCTTAGATACGTGTAGCAGACTAGAGTACATTTGAGTGTTTTAAATCAGCCAGCAGAGATAATCTTTTTCAGAAACGTGTTATTGTTTCAGTTATATAAGTGAAATCTGAGGATCTGTTGTGCCTGCATGTGGCGTCAGACCATCTGATTTGCCTGCTGTGCTTGTGTTCATACATGTCAGGGCTGATTGGCAGAGCTGAGACTCCATACACAAATATGACAGGGACAAGCTGTGCTGGTTAAAAAAAAAAAGACACATACAGAGGTGTAAACAGACTGATTGAAGTTATTTTTCTTTGTTTCAGGTGCATATCTGCTACAGGTTGCTTCATCTAAAGGTATAATAAACACACAAACACTCACTCACAGTTGTCTCACCTCCTCAGTTGCCCTGCTGACCTGCACTAACTCTGCCTTTAAACTCAAACGGATCTGAATATGATTAACCCTCTTAAAAACATATGATTCAATGTCCTGAATTTGCAAAGTGCACTGAACAGTAGACAAAACCATTGAGAGCAGTGGCTCAACTTTAATGACTTGGTTGCAGTACTATTACTCATATACTATATATGTCACCATCCCAATCTCAACAATCGGATCAGAGCCAATGTTGGCTTTTTTTAATTGTTGTTGTTAATAATCAGTGATCCAAAATTTATGCCGTTCATCTCACCAATCATTGATGTCATCCATCACTCTGCACAATTTGGGCATAACACCAAGGCATCAGTTAACATGTAATTGAGTGTTGAGGATTCACCTGCCCGTGTAAAGTAAATATAGATATTCATCATCAATGTGGAGCTTGACCCAGGGCTTAAACTTTAAACACAAACACATCCACAGCCAGATTACTGCTCATGGTATAGCCTTCTGTAACTCCCCAGGGACAGATGGCTGGAAAGCAAAAATATAAACACAGGACAGTCTGTTACATTAGCATCAGCAGTCTTACGGGTAAAATGTCACTGTAGAAATATTTTGAACAAGAAAGTAAAAACAGTCAAACAGCCACCTGCATATGCAATACCATCGTTTAACAGGGTTAGGTGCAGAGCTGTGTTAAATATTACCTACTGAGGAAGGATAAATATTCTCAAGGGAGTGAAAAGGCTTCAGTTTGAATTTCTGTCTAGGTCATAATTGTAAAAAAACACCTGACAGGTGCTTTAATTAATTAATCATTACTACGATTATCCCCTGAGAAACAGTAGCAATAGAGGGGAAAGAGATCCCTAGTGTTTAGGGTTATGAAGCTATCTAAACATTTTACTGTATGTTTTATAATATAATGCATATGTTATATTGTAGGATATCCCAAGAGAAACAGGAAAAAGCTGCTTGTTTTTAATGCTTCTTTGATGTTTGTATTCATCTATATCAGGCATTAGCACCCTCCTGTTACTCCTGTAAGTCAGTTTGGTGTGAATATCTTAAAACTTTATCCTGATCAGCTTGTGGTAGACTTAAGTGCTCCTCGGGCATTGATTAATTGCCCTCATTTTACATCGATCAATTCCTTTTGCCAGTACAGGGGTCACCTTTTACCGTCTTTCCTCTCAGTCTTTTAAAGCTAGAAGAGGAGAGACTTTCTGCTGCTTTTGCTGAGCAAACTTGACAACCTGACTAAGGCCCGGACTACATGTATATGGATATTTATTTATCAGGATATTTTTGTACTCCCGTCTAAATAAATGTATCTGTCCACACATGTTAGTTCTCAAAAATATCTGCATCCACACGTAGCCTTCAAACTCAATCCTATCTGGTGCCGCTTAAAAAAAATTCAGGAACAAAGCTACCTGATTGGCCGATGAATCGTAACAGCATGATTCGTCAAGCATTGTTTGCGGAAGCTACGCTAGTGCGTTGGATCCATGTCACGGACCATGTGACCAATAAAAGTATTGGGCGCAGCAGACGCCTCTGTGAGCTGGCTGACTGGTGGATGTAATTGTATAAAACAAGGTTCACTTGCAAGGCTGAAATTAGCCCCAAAAGGGCAAAACAAACATAAAGAATACCCTGTATGTCCGCCATCGTTGTTGTTTTTCTTTTTAATTAGCATGCGCGAGCTGCAGTTTGACTTCTTCGATCCGTAAAACTTCAACCACACGAATCCACTTACACAGATATTTTTTTATTTCTCCACTTGTTTTTTCAGATTCAGATTTATCCGGTTTGAGTATTCCAAACCCCCGTTTTGGTGTGGTAGGGAGGCCTAATTGGACATAAATATGTGCGGTTTGAAATATATCCGCATTCGTGTAGTTCGGGCCTAAGGCCCCATTTATACGTACCTGGTTATTTTTAAAAACTGAGACATTAACCATCATTAGCACCCTTTGTTTAGATGCAAACAGAGAATTTGCCCCTGAAAACGATGCTTTTAAAAAACTCCAGCCAATGTGGAGATTTTGGAAAACTCAGTTTGCATGTTTATTGAGAAAAAAGGAGGTAAACAGAGATTTAGGTAGCCGACGACAGATTGTGCGCAGGAAAGAAGGAAGGGACATTGTTGTTGTTGCTGCTATGTGGGATTCTGATTAGCTAACATGGGCTTGAGCTTCTCGCTACACTGCCACCCACATGTTTGATATGCTCTTGACGGCATCTATGCAGGGTTAGTATAAGCAAAATCTTTTCTGAAAGCGTAGTGGTGTGCACACAGTTTTTTTTTTTTTTGGAAGTGGAGAGGGTGACATGTCCATTTATGAAAATAGCTGGGCACATGTAAACATAGTCTAAGGGCTCTATTTTCATGCTTCGCGTCAGGTCCGCTGCGCTGACAAGGCGTTCCCAAGCACAATTTGTTATTTTGGTGAGCGGCATAGCCCGGCGTAAGTATCCCCCCTCCCTAACTGATGGAGTATCCCTAACTCAGCTCCTCCCAGTGGCGTAAGTCGTTGCGAGGGAGGAGAGAGGGCGTAGAGTGGGTTTAACACAGCTGAGACCTGTATTGAGCAATAACATCAGCTCCTCTCCTCGCCTTTCAATCCGCCACCGGCAAGGCGTACTACAATTTTTGTTAAGTAGTCAAAGAGATCAAGAGATGGCTGAAGACAGTAATGCCACACGATGGTGACAGAAGGCAGCCCCTCAACAAGTTTTGCTGTAAACAGCTGAGGCATCAGTGACGTATGCCTATACACCGCCGGTCTACCAAAATACCTCTAGACCAGCTGCGCTCCGCCTGCACTGAAAGCTGACCAGGTTTGAATCGACAAGCTTTCAGCGCACTTTATATGCCACCGGCGAGCACGAATATGTCACTGCGCCAGCTGATTCTGTCGACACCTCTCCCTGCAACGCCACCACGCCCAGCTTGGCGGATCTCGGTGCGCCTCAGTCCACAAAAATACCAAACTGGCTGTACACCGGGCTCTGCCAGACGAAAATGCCACTGCGTGGGGTCCGCCACCCTCCGCTGCCTCACCGGCGGACACGAAAATAGAGCCCTAAAGTTGCATCTTCAAGTTTTCTCTGTCAACGTGACATATTGCATGAATGCTCTTAGGCACAGTTCAGATTGCTTAAGAGTGATTGCAATCTGAATAACTAAAGACCCTGATGTGGTTTTGGTCTTCCTGCAGACTCTGTGAATGTCAGCGTGTCAGTGTGGCCCACAGGGTCAAATATCTACCTCTATGACAGTGTGATGCTGCGGTGCACTGTGGACTCAAACTTCAGCTCTGACTGGATCTACAGATGGTTCAGGCACATGCCGCGCACCACTCCAACTCCAAACCCCAGACACCTGGTCTCAGGTGAGAGATACACTATTACCGCGGTGAAGATGGAGGATGTTGGGAGCTACCAGTGCCAAGCAGAGCTGAAAGAGGGGAACGTCAGCGTTGTGGGGATCCTCAGCCAGCCACTTGTTCTCACAGTGTCAGGTGAGCTGCAGCAGCTATAACTGGATGGAGTATCAGGGTGAAAAAATTTGTCAGTGTTCTGGTTCCTCTTTGTCATGTTATAGTCCAAGTACCAATCCATAATCCGGCTTTGGTGTCTGTAGGGAAAAAAACAGCCTTTATGGAGAGCAAAAGCAGGCAGAGCACAACCGTTATAATGACAGCCTGGAATTTAGTTCTCTCTCTCTGAACAGATATCTGCATGAAGGTTAGCTAACAAGCTGTTCCAGAGCCAACATTTAGGGTCTTCACATACTGGGCAATAGGCGAAGCGACGCAAATAAGCGACGTGAAAAGGTGAATGTTTTGCCGGCAATTTTTTTCTGTACACAGCAGGCGCAATGCAATTATGCGAATAAAATCCGCTAAGTGAATAAAGTTTGGCGCTTTTTCTTTTTTTTTTCTCGTATATACAAACACTTAGTGGACTTTGAAAAAGTTGCCCCGAGCTGGTTATTTGGCTAGCTTAGCTTCATATTATGCTAGCTATGTTGTGTGTGTTGATGTTATGACATCAACACACTCACCAAGTAAGTTGAGGTCTTTTATTTCCTGCAGTATATTTTCTTTGAGGAAAGTGTCATGGAATATTTTAAGGGACTTGTCCCATAAAGCAGGGCGCTCCTGCACACTAATGATAAAGCGCTCTGTCATGACGAATGAATGCAGACTAGGGCTGATGCTGCCAGTAAAGTTTGGATGTGACTTCAACAACATACCAACATCATTTTGATTGGTCAGAAGTCTGGCCGTTTGCCTTTTCGCCCCTGCAAAATTTGACACAAAAGTGAATAAATACCAGTCACTTTTCACTTCCTGAATTTTCGCTGCTGGTGTGTAAGGTCGCATTGACTTCAATAGGTATAAAAAAAAAAAAAGCTAATCATTCGCCGTGTAAATGCTCCATCCAACCTCCATTTAACAAAAATATTTTAAAAATGATGTTTTCTTCTGTTCTTGAGGACAGACCTGAAAAAGCTTGACTTTACACTCTTTATTGATCTGCACCATGATAATATTTGAGCAAATCTAAGACCATTTTATTTAAGGAAATCACAAAAAGTTTAGTACTACTGAGGTAAGCCAGAGTGAAGCCTCTGTGTAACTTACTGTTTACTGTAAAACTGAGCTTTGCCATAAATAGATGGATAATAGATGCATAACCCTAGTATGAACCTTCTGCAGACATACATTGAAGGGTTGATTTCTGCTGAGATTTAAACACATCTTTGTTTCTTAGATTGCTTACAGTGAACAGCTGCTAACGCTGCATAGAAATGAAAGTCCTGGCTGGAAATCATAAACTTTTCACGCACTTTTCAATTAAATTTTTTCTCTTAACTGCCCCTTGACATCTGGTTGAGCTCATTAACCTCTACCTGTAAACTCGATCCCTCACTTGCCCAACTCACTGTCTGTACCATGAGTGATGACTGGAATTTTAAGACTTTGTCACCTGGACTTGGGAGAATGTTGCCTACATCCTTTTTATTTACTGTCTCTGTGGATCAGATAAAAACAAACCTGTTTGAAGAAGCACATGATGTTGACATACTTTTATGGTTTTCTCGTCTCTGCTTACTGTGCCTGCAGTTTTACATGCTTTCATTGTATTGCATCTTCTGTCTGAATAAGGATTTTAGTGACTGGTGTAAGTAAAAAAAACATCAAGAGAGATGATCAGCAGGGTAATGTACTGTAATGTTTTTGGTTGGTTGAAAAACAAACAGACTGCTGCATTTTGAGTCATCTGCAAAGGTTAGACTCTGCACACAGGGAGGCCTGCCAGTAAGGAGTTGCAGTCATTAGCACGATATAAATGAGGCCACATGAACTTGAGAGGTAAGCTGGTCATCAGTCATGACATGCAGATTGTTGGCAGACTTAGACACAGGAGACAGGAAGCTCAGTTTTGAAGAGGTACAGTTAAATACAAATAAAAAGATATATAAATATTACAACTATCATTAACTGTGTTTGTGTTGTGTCAAAGAGCAATCACACCCACTTTGATGTACTATTTGTGGATTAAAGGGAAAAGTTTGATTCATTTTAATACCAAAAACAAACTTTTAATGTCCAAATGGTGCATATTTTCACAAAAATAAGGACCTTTATCATCAACAATGAATAATTCAGTTGATTTATATGGAACCTAATATTTTTTCATGCTTTTCAAGGGGTGAGAACAGTTAATTCATGAGGACACAATCTAATGATAATTATTTTCACTGTCTGGTTGCCATGTATTTATTTAGTTTTACGTCTAACCTCTGAGCTGCTCTGCATTTATATAACTTCAAATTTTCACTCCCACCTTCTCCTCCTCCTTCTCTCCTGCAGATCGGCCCCTTCCCTCTCTGACTCTGACTCCCAGCAGCAGCCAGGTCTTCAGAGGGGAGCGTTTCACTGTGCAGTGCCCCAAGTTTCAGGCCAACTCCTCCAATTGGACGCTGAGAAGCTTCCCTGCTGGCACAGCAGTAAGGAGAGGAGTCTTCCACACTGACCAATGTTCACCACTAGGGGGAGCTGTTAGTGCAGACAGACCTGACTCTTGTGAGTTCACTGCTGGGAGCGAGAACAGTGGACTGTATTGGTGTGAGGGATCTGAGGGCCGCAGCAACGCAATCAGCATCACAGTGAGCTGTGAGTTCATAAAGACAGTCAGAGTGTTAAGTGTTACTTACAGGTTAAAAATACAAATGTTATAAGTAAAATTTAAGAGCCAGATTGAAAAAAACTGATCAGGATCCAGAGTTGACTTAATGTAGGAAATTTCTGGTGTTGGTTAAAAGACCTCAGCATCCCACAAAGTGCTCAAAATATATCTTTCACATATTTTCCCTTTATAGCGTGAAAAAGAGGACAACTGCAACAGAAAGAATCTCGTTTTGTTTTTTATTGAGATGATAAAACACTGAACATGAGGAAGGTGGGAGAGAAAGTATAAATGTTAAGTGGAAAAAGTTGCAGCTAAGAGTCAAACCCAGGTTGCTCACTTTGAGGACTACAGCTTCTGTGAATGGGATGTGTTATTTAACCATTTGATCAAACAGAGGCCCAGAAGCAGTTTCACATTACAAGCCGACATGAACTTCCTTTTTACTATGCAGACATGTGCATATGATGGCTGTTGTGTGTTACCTGTAGCTGTAGCTGTACCCATCCTAAAAATGAACACTAGTAGACATAAAATGCAGCGTGCACATGAACAGTAGGGACGGTGTGGAGGCAGGGGGGTTGTTACAGACTAACTCTAAAAGGCTGATGCAAAAATAAATAAATAAATAAAAATACAAAAGGTAGAAAAATTGAGAAATAGATAGATGGATAAATGTATGAATAGACAGGTGATTGGCTGGCTGGCTGAATGGATGGATGGATGGATGGATGGATGGATGGATGGATAATTTGCAAGATGGATGGATAAATAGAAGGATAGATATACAGATGAATGGAAAATTGGATAAAAGATTGGTGGATAAATCATTAGATGAATGGATGAATTGACAGATGCATAAATGGATGGACTGATAGATGAATGATTAATAAATGGGTGGAAAGATGGATAGACAGATAGGTGGTTGGATGGATGAGAAATAAAAAGCCAGACAGATTTAGTGATTGATGGCCAAAGAGAAGGATAGATAGATGGATTGATGGATGGATTGATGGGCAGAAAAATGGATTAATGGATGGATAAATGGACTGATGGATTGACAGATAGAAGGATTGATTGATGGATGGTAGATGGATAAATGGATGGGTGGATGGACAGAAGAATGGATGGATGGATAGATGGATAAATGGACTGATGGATAGATTGATGGGCAGATGGAGGGGTGGATGGATGGTAGATGGATAAATGGATGGGTGGATGGATGGATGATGGGATGGAGGGGTGGATGGATGGATGGACAGATGGATGTATTAATTAGTAGATCGACGGAGGGGTGGATGAAGGGGTGGATGGATAATGGGATGGAGGGGTGAATGGATGGGTGGATGAACGGAGGTATAGATGATTTGACGGATAGCTGATGGATAGAAAAGAGAAGATATATGAATGGACAAAAGTAAATTTTGTTTGATTGATTGATGAGGCAACAGATGAATGGTTGGATGGAATTAAAGGGATGGCTAGATGAATAGATGGACAAAAGAACAGATGATTGGATGAGCTAATGGATGAATAGATGTATTAATGTATGGATTTTTTGGATGGATTAATAGATGGATGGACAGACTGATAGGCAGATGGATGGATGTCAGTGTTGTGGTCATGTTACATGTGTGTATAAAGCAAAAGTAAAGAAACGATAGCGTAGCTTTAACTCCATCTGCTTTCTTCCTCTCACAGTCGGCTCCATCATTCTCAGGTCCCCGGCTTCCCCTGTACTCCAGGGTGATACAGTGGATTTGTACTGTAAGTTCTGGACAGCAAACAACGGAAAAACCATCTTCTTTAAAAATGGAGTCGAAATCATGACCTCCATGGGTTCCAGATCACACAGAGAGATGAAGATGAGGATTGAGAATGTGACACAGGAGGATGAAGGTTTCTACAAGTGTGCATCCGGAGACAGACGCATGGAGAGTCTAGAGAGCTGGTTATCAGTGCGGCCTGACGGAGGTCCGCTGTGAAGATTCACATCATTTGAAAGCATATATTTATCTTTCTGATTAGTGTAATATCAGAATGCATTAAGTTAAAATATATTTTTATTTTTATAGGAAACATCACAGCAACAGACAGGACAGCGGCCTCCAGTGGTAGGATTTTCATGCTGCTAATGTTAACCATCTTTTCAAGGATACATCATGGTTATATTAAATAAATTTAACAAACACAACCCACTCATGCCTTGATGAAAAGGAGAAGTGTTAAATGAGGACCCCACCTTGATCCTGAGGCTTTTCTTTATTATAAAGTTAAGAAGCCAACCAAATAACTCTTGGCGGCCACTGAAAGGTGGTCTGGTAACCTCCCCCTCTCATGCAAGGAGAATCAAACACCAGAATAACAGAGAAAAATAAGACCTGTGTGAGAGACTTATTTACTACTTTTGTCCCAGCAGCTTATAGGAATAAGGTCATTCCACAAGTGCATATTAAAAATTTTCCAACACAACTAGGGCTCTATTTTTCGTGCCCGCTGGTGGCGCAGTGGACGGTGGCGCACCCCGTGCAGTGGTATTTTCGTCTGGCGGAGCCCGGCACACAGCCAGTTTAGTATTTTTGTAGACTGAGGCCCGCTGAGGTGCGCAAAGCTGGGCGTGGTGGTGCAGTAGGGGGTGTTGACAGAATCCGCAGCGACATTTTCGTGCTCGCCAGCGGGGTACAAAGCCAACGCAACTGGTCTAGTGGTATTTTGTTAGACCGGCAGCATAGTCCGCATACGTTACCAATGCCTCATTGGCAGGTTTCCACAGTGTCAGGCACATTTCAGTGCAATAAATAATCAACAACAACCAATATTTAGTGCAACTATCTGAGTCAGCACATACATTTAGATCTATATCAATATATTTGGATCTATATCTTATCTGATGAGTGCGTTTGGCATGTGTTTGGACACTCAACCTGACTGAATCAACACAGCTGAAACTACATTAAATTACATTTTCAGTAAACAGTCACACATTATGAAGTTAACAAGATATTTAATTTGTCTCCCCCTTTTTCTCCTTCTTCCTTGCGCAGCTCAACCGGACATGTCTCTGTGTCCTCTCCCCGTCCTGCTGCTGCTGCAGCAGCAAGGCTGACCAGATGATTTATTTTAGTGATCAGATGAGTTATTTACTTGGAAAATTTCTACAAAAAATAAATGAATGAAACTTTTATTCAAAATTACCTGTTTATCTGATGTTCTCACATCCTTAAAATTCTGTAAATAGTGACACTTGTTGAGGGGCTGCCTTCTGTCACCATCATGTGGCGTTGCTGTCTTCAGCCACCTCTGGATCTCTTTGAATACGTCACAAAAATTGTATTACACCTCGCCAGTGGTGGATTTAAAGGTGAGGAGAGGAGCTGATGTGATTGGTGAAAACAGGTCTCGTGTGTTGAACCCACTCCATGCCTTCTCTCCTCCCTCTCTACTACTTACGCTGGGCTGCGCCACTCACCAAAATACCAAAGTGTGCTTGGGCACGCCTTATCGGCGTGGGGGACCTGACTTACGCTGTGCCTGCGCCACGCCACCAGGGAGGCATGAAAATAGAGCCCATAATTTCCTAGTTATTTGGAAGAATTTCCAATCTATGACCGGCTTGTAGGTAAAACTCAAAAACACAAGAGCTAGCATGGGATCACAGCATCTGCAGATGAAAGAAATTAAATTGGTTGGCTGAGTGTGGCTTATGTTAGCAGAGCTAGTCTCACCTGTCCTCCTTGCAGGTTTGTGTCCTGAATGAAGCATATATACAGCTCTCTATTTTTGATATCAAAATACTGACAAACCATACAGTGCTACATCTGGGATTGTTTACATCCAGATAGTTGAGCATCATATAGAAGTAATCACCATTTTAAATAGTAACAGATATCTGCAGCTTTGACACCGTGAATGACCAGAATTTCAGGCCTGAAATAATAAAAACATTGACTTGTTTTACCAACCAGTGAATTTAACTGGCATCAACAAGCAAGGTTGGCATCATTCATCATTAAGCACACATCCCCAGTACAGTTTGTAAAGCTCTGCAAAAGTTTTTCTGGCCCCAAAACCTCTGATATTCCAACTAACTCTAATTGGAAAAAATTTCATCACCCCTATTTTAACTAGTTTGAATTATAACATTTTTCAAACCCATGTCTAATCAATTTTTGTCTCTTTTTTTGTCATTTGTTCTGAAAAAATAGGCAAACTGTTTTTCATACAAATATATAGCATAATTCTGCATATGTAAACATGGTGGATTTGCCCTCTACAGAAAAGGGTCTCTGTATGCATTGACACAAACTCAGAAAACGGGTGCTTAATTATTGTTTGCCAATTTTTTCCAAGACAATGTGAAGGGACAGACAGTTTCTAAATTGTGTCCAAGTTGTGATATTCGGCTGTCAGTTTCACTAAATAATAGGACATCAGCATGTGTTTTAAATCTTAAACATAGAAACTGCTTGGTGCTCTATTTGAAGGTGTGACTGCAGCTTTTAATAAGAAAATAGACCTCAGGTTAATGTGTCGTCTTGTATCACATGTTTGTCATTATTTCACCAGACTCTTGGATATGGATCACTGTTTTGTGTGGACTTTTACTTCTGCTGCTCATTTCTCTTGCTGTTTGGCTCATTCATCATTACAGGTAGGTTACAGTATCTATCACATCATCATCAGCTTGGTTTTCACTTTTCATTTTTGGTTTGCATGCCATGAAAATAATATTAAGGCTCACATCACAAATCAAACAGACTGCTATGATTTTTTTCCCTTACTTTTGCTTGTATGGAAAGGTATCAGATGTTTTGCACTCGCAGCTGTTTGCCTGTCCCCAAAGAGGAGCCTCCTGCTGTGGGGCTTCCTGCAACCAAACAGGACGTTACAGAGGTACAGTGGGATCTGTCCTGGATGGAGATGACCAACCTGCTAGATAAACACTTATATCCTGGAACCTAAAGGGTCACTTCCACACCAATTGGTGCTGCTTCTGCCACAAATTCAGACATTTTTATTAAGATGTTGGCATCTCTTCCCCAGTATAAGAACCCCTAAGGAGTACCCCAAGGAACTGTTCTTGGCCCACCGTGTTTTTATTTGTATTTCAATATTTTTACCTAAGTTTCTTTTTTAAATTTTTTTATTTTTTGCTTTTGATTTCTTTTTCACTAATGATGTTAATCTCTGAACTCCATACTTCCCACTGTTGGTGAAATGTTTTTAGAATATGTTGTGTTTGTACTTTGAAGATATATTTGTATGGATCTGATTAAACTTTAAAGATTGCTGCACACTTTTGGATATCTTTCGGTGTTTCTTCTTTAAATGCAATTTTCCATTTTGTTAAAACTCCCAGCTTTGTTGACCAAAAGCAGCTCAAGCCCCCCACCGTCACATCTGTGTATCACATCAGTCATGAATCCACTCTAAAATAAACCAATAAGGAGTCCTCAGCTTTGTATGATCAGCCTTGAGCTCTGTCAGAGAGAGAGTGCACAGCACAACTCTGTGCAGATGCGGCCAGCTCATTCCAAAATCAGATGTAAAATGAGCAAACGGCCCAGAGCTGCAAAATTTTGTGTGCATTTTTTTGTGCTTGAAAATCATTGGGGCAGAATACTTTGCCCACTGGAGACAAAGCAGATAAGAGTAAAATAAGAACATTTTTCCTTGCTGTTAACACAACAACAATACACTTACTGATATTTTTCTCCTCAATTTTTTTTCTGCTACCGTTTCCTCCTATACACATAATTTAACATTTTTGTGAGACATCGACACAAAACATATTCCAGAAACTCAAACAAAGACTCAAAATATGCAGTAAGACCCCAAAAAGTACATAGAAAAGAACGAGGAGGTGACATCAAACAAGTGAACCAGTAAATCAATCTTGGCTTTAATTGTTATAAACCTGTGTTTTGTATAAAATAAGCAAAGTCAAAGTTTGTCAAGACTGTTAGAGCAACTGATAACTCCACAGGCTCCTCTTGAAATCATTTACCTAATTTACAAGTTTTACAGAGAGTAAATGAACAGCTTTGAAAGTTGTTTGCTGCTAAAAAAAGCTTGTAGGTGTAATCAGAGAAATTTAGAGTACAAAGATAATTATAGTTATCACAGAGGTAGCTACAGCTGGTATTTAGATTTCATCCTCGATTAGTCATTACAAGAAGCCGAAACAAGATCTGTATCTTTTTGCGAAAACACTATGACTGAGACCAAGAGAAACCCCCTAACTCAGTCTTGACTTCTGTTTGCTCCAGGAAGTTCCTCCTCCTGTCAAACAGTGGTCAGGATGAAACCACACCCCTTGATATATGAGAAAGAGTTCCTCCTTATTCTTAGTTCAACACTGTGCAGGCTGGCTGTAACAGATTGTGTAAATGTCTGTTTTCTTACAATTTCTTTACCTGAAAATGGACTCTGTGAGCTGACACTTGATGAATCCTCTTCAGATTTCAGGTGGTAAACATTTGCTGAGAAAAAAGACTGCCTAAAAAATGGAGAAAAACCTTGGTGAGTAAAAACAGTAATGTAGAGTAACTCATGTCTACATCATGTAAACTACTTACAGGTTACATAAAAAAGGTTGCATGAGGAGACTAGGGTTTAGTAGTTTGGTTTTTTTTAATTTTTCTAAAGCTTAATTAATGTTGATTGTTCATGTGTTTCTGTTGATTTGATTTGTAATCTTTTGCAGCGCCTTATGTTGATTACTAATATTGTGTGGATTTTTAAAGCCATGTATTCCTTTATATCAATTTTGTAGATTTGAATAAACTAAGGTGTAGAGGGGTTAACTATGAGGGTCCAAACAGGCATTCTGAAAACATTAACATTGAGCGCAGACACACACAAAAAATATCCCACACCTCTGACATGAGTTGCCTGTAATCTAGAATGATTACATTCTTCCAGGCCAAAACCAGTCCAACGGGAAAGCTTTGAGTCTCAAAGGATATGAAAACTTCTCGTCAAGTGTTTTAGATCCTTTCCGGGAAGTTGTTTTATCCTCGGCACATAAATGCCAGTCTTTAAATCAACAGGGAAGACAGAAGAAGAGCCTTTCTGCACGTAATTAATACATTTTAATGTGGAACAGATTTGACTGTTAGAGGAAAGCAGGGTGAGATTTCTGGTCAGACAACAAAGCCATGGCATGTGCAGAATAAGATTAGACTACTATTCGTCTTTGGGGGAAGAGCCCTCATCAACTCAAACAACAATTTAACAGAAACTTGCATCACAGGCAAATCAGGTAACACATTTTATTCCCACATTCTGTCGTTTTCTTTTGGTAAAACCTAATGTCACATAACTTCCCAACTCACCAGCCAAGGTTAACAAATAACATGGTATTCACCCTTTTATCAATATGGAACTCAACCATTATTACACTCTTTAGCTACTGCAAACAGACACCATGGGATTTCGACATTTGCACCAGCTGAAACATATTTCTATTACTCCTGGGATAAAGTGAAAACAGGCCCACTGACCGGAGTAAAACGTTATCTTTGACTCTTTATAAAGAAACAAAATAAGAAAAAGGCACAACTAAACAAAGAAACCCACGTCGAATCTAAATGTTATCTATTATAAGATGAGACTAGTCTCCTTCAAGTTGATACTTGATCATTCAACACGTGTCTGGTTTCAGGACTATTCTTGTTTGTCAAAAAGTTAGACAATCAAATTGATTGCTGAAAGTAAGGGTTAAAAAAGACAAAGGGTCGTGGAGGTACTACACAATCAATGAAAATAAAAATCAACAAGACATATGACAATAATGAATATTCACTGGGATGTCAAATATGTATTCATTAAAATTCAATTAATCACAGAATTTAAACAGGTAATTCCAGTCACTGGAATTTTTATTGCATGTTTTTATTTTATATTTCAAAAATCAACTTGTTTGAAATATAAATATTTCTTGAAAATAGAGCCCTTAGTCTCTGATCCCGACCTCCCAAGCGGACTTTGGGTGAGAAAGGCCCCTTCGACTTATTGTCCATATAAATGCTGCACTGCTACACCAGTGTGGTCTGAAACCAGCGACAGCTTTGGAGTGTTTATTTTGTCAAACACACTGTTTACTTTTTATCCTTTTTTTAAAACCAAGATTTACTTTGGGGCTTTCAGGGCTTTATTCATTGAGAACAGGGCAGTGGATAGAGCAGGGAGCAAGGGACGAGAGCAGGAAGTGTTATGTAGTAAAGGGGCCACAAGCTGGATTCAAACCCAGGTCACCCCTATTATGGGGCATGCTTTGACTGCTAGGCCAACAATGATCCCTGGTTACTGTAATAGAATTTGCACAATGTAGGAGTTCTAGTTCAGTTGCTTTCTTTTTCAAGTTTCATCCACGGGTCTGTGGTGATCTCCGACTCCAAAATAGTGCCTGAGTTAAAGTCAAAGGTGAAACTGAAACTCAGCAATACTTAAATTCTGTTTGATGCAAAGTAAAGATTATTTATGATTTGCTATCTAGGAGTTTAAAAGAGTAAAATGTGCAAAATGTGGGTTTTGGCCAGTGTCATAGACCACACTTTCCTTGGACACCAAGTCTTCCTCTTATGTTTTTTCAATGGTTTTAACTTGAGTCACAATCAGAAAGACTAGGATGTGACTTTCACTTCAGCTGATATGTCTCCACAGTTTCTCCAGTCAAGGCTAGGTATAACACAAAAATAAACCAACTTTTAAAATTTGAGTGCTGTCAGTAGTATTGACTAGTATTTTTCCCTGTCACATTTATGATACACAACTCATGAAACTTGTGAAAGTGACAGATGACTCACTCTCTGCTTATTTTGTTGCGCTCATTTGTAGGCTCTTTTTACTTGCCTCTGGACATATTGTTTGTGCCATAGTCATCCAAAAATATTTTTCCTGTTGTGGTCTGTCTCACATGTCTGGAATTATATGAACTCTCAAGTAAAAGAGATTAATAGAGTCAAAAATAACTCTGACAGAAAGTCCCCCAGGAAAAACACAAGCAGGTGAGTCTCATTCTTCTGTCAGTCATGGGACACCTGAAGTGATAACCTTGTCTAACTACTTTAGCTGATTCCACACCAAAACTGACTGAATGCTCCTCAGAATCTTCTTCTGACTCCATTTTTATAAAGTTTTCCTTCTTGACAATTATAACAAAATGCAGTATCGTCCTGTCCAGAGAACATCTCCACAAAGGTCTCAGTTTTGTGACCAACCAATAGTTTCAAGATGATGTAAGTTTCTGGTAACAATGCCAAACTTGTAACTTGTTGACAGGGATTAGTGATGAACTAACGCATAACAACTCCTGCAACAGCAGCCTTTCATCTGCTTGTGGTGAGTCACAGTTTCACTGTAAATAAGTGGGCATGACATCGGCAGTACAAACCGAAAATGATAATTTTCTCAGTCATGTAGTTTATTGCTTTAACTGTGACCATGATGTAGGTTAATAAAAAGTCAAGCTTTTTCTTTCTTCAAGAAAAGAAAACTTTTAAAATGTTTGCTTTTTGAATGGAGTTCACGTCCATCCTTTCTGATGCATTCAGCGAAGTCAGGAAATCTAAGCACTGATTGTCCACAGTGACCCGGCATTGAGCAGATCAGTGTCTCGGTGTAAATGTTTGATTGAGAAGAGATTATCAGTTGACTTACTATTAGAAAGAAATAAATCCTCATGAAGTGGGAGTTGGGATGTCATTATGGTAGATTGCATTCTTCCCGCTTTTGCTCTCCATACAGACTGTTTCTCCTGCAGATACCCAAGTCTGTCGTACCTGATAAGTCAACACTTTGACTGCAAAACAGAAACAAAAAAACTTCTCAGACTATAAACCAAACCCTGAGGACATATTCTACATTTTAATTCAAACATTTTGGCAACAAAGATGAGCGGAAACATGAGATTTTGGTTAAATGGTCTTTGTGTTCATATTTGGTCAATTTCTACTTTGTCTTTTAGGAGTAAAAGAGCACTTCACCCTGCAAGAGGTAAGAGTCATCCTGATTGGACGGAGATGGGCAGGTAAGAGCTTATCTGGAAACACCATCCTGGGGTGGAACAGATTTGAGTGTGGACGCACCAGGACGACTGAGTCTGAGGCGAGACATGAGAAAGTGGACGGCAGGCACCTTGTTGTGGTCGATGCTCCTGGATGGAACAGCTCACACTCCCTGAACGAAACCTCACAGAGGGAAAAACATGGGTTGAAACTCAATGTGTCCAAATGTCCGCCAGGTCCACATGTCTTCCTGTTGGTGATTCCCATTGACTCAGCCTTCTGTACAGAGCAGAAGAAGATCCTGGAGGAGCATATGAAGCTCCTGGGGGAGCGGGTGTGGAAGTACTCCCTAGTGCTGTTCACCTGTGGGGATTATCTTGGAGGGAGAACGATCGAGCAGCACATCGAGAGTGAGGGCAACGCTCTCAGGTGGTTGGTTGAGAAATGCGGGCACAGGTACCATGTGTTCGATAACACGAAGAGGAAGAACTCATCTCAGGTGACAGAGCTGTTAAAGAAGATAGATGAGATGGTGTGGTACAACAACGGCAGTTATTATGAGGTAGATGAGCAAACACTCAACATCATCAAAAAGAAGCAACAAGAAGTGACTGAGAGAGCGGACCAAAGACAAAGGAGGGCCGAGGAGCAAAGACAGAAAATGGAGAAACTTATTCCAGGTGAAACAAATGCCTCCTGTGATTTCAGAGTCCTACAGAATGAAAAGAACAGTATTGTAAGACAGTCCTTTAAAGATGGTCTAAATGCATGACTGAAGCATACTGGAGTGTTAAGATATAATTTAGGCACCTACAATGTGCCTGAATTGTACAAATTATACCAGAAAGAGATATTCCAGCGTAATTTAAGTTATGGCCAAACACACTGTAACACTGAGTCAGGCAGCCCCTCAAGAGATGAATGTTGCTGACCGCTTGCTTCTATAGTTTTGCCAAATTCAGCAACGGCCACACAACAGCAATACACAGCAGTTGATATCTCCACGCACAAAACCTCAACCAAAATGAATATATGTGTATATATATATATATATATATATATATATATATATATATATATATATATATATATATATATATATATATATATATATATATATATATTGTATATATATATATATACATATATATAAAGTATCTAGTAAAACATCTAAAAATGATAAACTATTTTTAATTCTCCAGAGTTTTACTAGTATTTAAAACCACTAGTTTTCTACCAACTCACCCTACTCATCTTATTTTGAATCAAAGACACATTTGTTAAACCTTGGTAAGAGCAACAATTGCCTAAAACTATGAACTTATGACTGCATTGATATATTTTTGTTGCTTATTAAATGATTAGGTGAATTGCTCAGGCAGAGGTAGTTTGGAAACTTTAATAATCCTAATTAATGTCTGAAAACCCAATGACACATCCAGATTTATTCTGTCTCGCAGTAGATATGAAAGCCATCCCGAAGCTGCAGATCATTCTCTTGGGAAGCAGAAACGTTGGAAAAACCTTGTTGGGAAATGCCATCCTGGGAATAAAAGAGCACGAAGATGGAGAGAGAACAGCGCACTCAGTAGCCCGGCACGGTTGTGTGGGAAAAACGGAGATAACTCTTGTTGACACACCAGGTTGGTGGAAAGGTTTCCTGCTGTGCAACACTCCTGCAGCAATCAAGGAGGAACTGATGCGCAGCATGTTTCTGTGTCCCCCTGGGCCTCACGTCTTCCTGCTGCTGATAAACTCTGATGCATCTTTTACTGCCAGACACTTAAACACAGCGAAGACACACATGGAGCTTCTGGGAGAGGGAGTGTGGAGTCACACCATTGTAGTTTTCACCAGAGGAGAGTGGTTGGGAGCACATAGCATTGAAGAGTTCATTGAAGGTGAAGGAGAAGCCCTCCAGTCTCTGGTTGACCTGTGTGGAAATAGATATCAAGTCATTGAAAGCAAAAATGCATATGATGGCACTCAAATCACAGAGCTGCTGGGGAAGGTCACTGCTACACTGGCTGCAAATAACTGGGGCCATTTTGTCCCTGATGAGAAGATATATACCACCATTGAAGAAAAAAGAAAAAGAGTGGAGGAAGGAGCAAAACGGAGGCAAAGCTTCATCAAGGCCAAATCAGATACCCTCAAAGGTATGAAACAATCACTCACTGTTAGAGTCACAATCTGGTGTTGTTAGAGTAGTTTCACAAGGAATAACAAGGGGTAAAAGTAAGAATAATAGAGAACTATAAACTGTCAGGAGAGTTTTACTGATGCATTTGGTACATTGGGACTGATTAAGTCTGTTTGCATGGTGGACAATTGATCAGACAACAAAAAAATCATTGTAATAAATTATGTTTTTGTGTTCTGTTCTCCACCTAAAGGTGAAAAACTATTATTAAAGCCACTGTCTTCCACTAAATTCAGTTTCCTTTTAACATGGTCATTTTCACCTAACTCGATATCTGCCTGCCTCCAATGATGAACACACTAGCATTTCTGGAGTTGGTGCAACAATGAAGGCATACTGTGTTTACCATCAGTTGATTAGTTTTCCTGAAAAAAGGAGAAGGATCCAAACTCTACTCTTACAGAGTTAGATGGACTGTAGACAGTTTGAAAAAAGAACATATGACCTTTGTACGTTTTAAATATTCACTGGATCTTTGTGGATATAAAGTGTTATGTGTTGTCATATGGTTCAAATCATTTTCCTAACTAGGGTTGTTGGGGAGAAGACCGTCAACAGGTTTTTAACTTGAATGTTGATCTTGATTATTATTTACATCTGGTTGGACCAACAGAACTATCTGAGACCTGAACCAGCTTCAAAAACCCTCTGATCTGAGCTCTCCCAACACACTATGTATTTTATGGCAAATTAATGCAATGCAATGGCATGACATTTACCATGATGTCTACTTGACACTAGTATCCCAAAAGAAGACATCCCGGGGGTTTAAACTGGTGTTAAAATGGTGTAAACCCAAGCTGAACAAAGTTACATGTCTGACAATTATTTGTCACCTTATTGTATCATGAGTAGACATATTTACTTTTGTAATTTAATGCTATATAGTGCCAGTGGCACATAAGAAAACTGGCTAAAAGACAGGGTCTGTAAATGCTTATGGTGGCTACCTACAGCTTCATAAATAAAAGCAATTTGCTAATACTGATATTGCCACATTTGAGAAGTATGCACTGAGCTGGTATTTGATCTGATATGCTTTTTCCCTCTTTAATGTTTTCTTCTCAGGTTCAAAGAATAAATTACAAGACATAAGGATAATCATGCTCGGCCAAAAGACAGTTGGAAAGAGTGCAACAGGAAATAACCTCCTGCGTACAGAGGTGTTCCCCATCTCTCAGAACGAGCAGTGTCACATGAAGAAAGCAAAGGTTGCTGACAGAGTGATCACAGTGATTGACACCCCTGGCTGGTGGATGAATCCCTCCATTGGCACTGAAGAGATTGACAGGGAAATAGTTAGAGGTATGTCCTTGAGTCCAGTGGGGGTTCATGCAGTTCTGGTGGTCATCCCTGTGGACCTGACATTCAGAGAACCTCAACAGGCTGCCTTGGAGGAACACATGAGTCTCTTTGGTTCCAGTGTCTGGAAGCATGCCGTTGTTCTGTTCACATATGGCGGAAGACTAGTGGATAAATCAGTAGAGGAGCACATTGAGAGGGAGCATAGTGCTCTACAATGGTTAGTAGACAAGTGTGAAAACAGGTATCATGTCATGAACAATACAAAGAAAAATGATACCACTCAGGTCATTGAGCTGATTGAGAAGCTCGAGGAAATGGTGGCAGGAAACAACGGCCGGTTATTCTGTCCAGATGAGAACGACATCCAGGAGAAACTGGCGAAGAAGATCCAAGGGAGGCAGATCAGACTGGTGCTGAAGCAGGTCTTTGAGGAAGAGTACAGAAAGAGGGAGCGGAATCTGTAAGTGGGCTTCAGGAATACACTTCTTGAGCTACAATCTGACATCAAGGAAAGTGAATCGGGCATTGCACCAAAATCATCAAGTAAGTATCATACAATAGCAAGGCTGATTGTTTTTTTTTTAACTGTTTTGGTGGGTGACCAAATAGGTGAACTGGGAGACAGCCCAATAGAGGCAGTAGTACAGTTCAATAGGTACATCCTCATTAATTATCTTAACTTTAATCTCCTCTTTTTGTTGATTGATTTTCAGTTCTTGACCTCAGCCGAATAAAAATCAAGGGCATTCGTCAGAGCAAGAGAGACGAGAAGGAGGAAAACCTGGATGCCAAGATCAGCCAAGAAATTGAAAACCTGAACAAGGACATAATGAGATCCACAGCTCTCCTGGACAGCAGCATGGAATTCTTGATTCCAGACTGTAAAGAATTTTTTTACTTTAATCCCTTGTTTGAACAGCAGTGATCAGCATGATGTAACAGACTTTTTTTTCTCTCTGTTTAATTTACAGTTAAAGAAGAGGGTCCAGAATCAACTACTCCTCCGTCTTTGTCCAACAGAAGGTCTTCAAATGGCCAAATGGATAAAGTTCTGGATTGGCTGTCCAAAATTCAGATCAGCACAAATGCTGACAACCAGCTGACCCTCAACTTTTCTCAGTCATCAGGATACAGATCAATGCAGCTCACTGACCACCAGGACTGTCAAATGGAAGCAGATCTTAATGAATGAGTTTTTGTAGCCTGGGATTTTGAAAATGCATTCCGTTATTTTCCTGGTCTACAAAAAGATATAAGAGGGATAGTCAAAAGGTATTATAAAGCATCAGATTTCATATAGCACTTTATCTGAGACCCTCAGAGCACTTTACATTGGATACACCATTCACTTGCTCACACAGTCGCACCGTGGTGGTGGTAAACTGCCTTTGTAGTTGTGGCTGCCAGTTGGTGCCTATGGCCTCTCCGCCCACCACCACACAACACACACAAGTGGAGGACACACACTGGGAGCAAGGTGGGTTAAGTGTCTTGCCCAAGGACACAATGGACAGACTATGGGGGATATGGGGGAATCGAACAGCCAACCTTCCAGTTATTGGATGATTGCTCTACCTCCTGAGCTACTGCTGCCCATGGAAAAGGGGGTTGAGTCTTAAAGGCTTTGTGAAACTGATGTGGAGTAAAGAAATCTTGACAGGTGAAAACCAATGTACAGCCGTGGCCAGAGGTTTTGAGAATGACACAAATACTAATTTTCACAAAGTCTGCTTCAGTTTTTTATGAAGGTCATATGCACATACCCCAGAATGTTATTAGTAGTAATCAGATGAAATGCAATTAATTGCTAAGTCCCTCTTTAATTGCTAAGTCCCATGACAGCAGTAATGCATCCTGAGACTATTTATGTGTGGGGTTGCCTTTCAGTCAAGGGAGTGCCTCACTCACAATTTTGTCCAAGAACACAGCCATGAACAAAGAATGGTACCAAAACATCCTTGGAGAGCAACTTCTCCCAACCATCCAAGATCAGTTTGGTGACGAACAATGCCTTTTCCAGCATGATGCCATGGGGCAAAAGTGATAGCCAAGTGACTCGAGGAAAAAAACAAAAAACTAAAAATTTTGGGTCTTTGGCCGGGAACCTCCCCAGACCTTAATCCCATAGAGGACTTGTGGTCAATCCTCAAGACGTGGGTGGACAAACAAAAACTTACAAATGGACACTTATGAAATGCTTGTAATTATTCTTTAGTATAACCTAAAAACATCTGACAATAATATCTAAAAACACTGAAGCAGCAGACTGTGAATATTAATATTTGTGTGATTCTCAAAACTTTTGACCACGGCTGTACAGTAGAGAGCTGAAAAAAACTTCAGAGGAGTTACATTAAAAAGACATAAAGACCATTTCATCTAACTATGATCTCTCAGACCAACAGCTTAAAGAGATGCAGGTGGCATGTCAATGCTTTTTATTCAAGGTACCAGAGAAAGATTTAAACCAGGTAAATGTAATGGGGGTTTTTTGTGTGCATACCAGGCCTGCACTTTTTTGGGAACTGTCTGCCTCTACCGCGTACATCAAGATTATTGTTGGCAAATCTCTCTCCTAAGAGGCAGTATAAAGATGGATTGTTCACTTTGTATACAGTGTGTATAGTCTGTGACCCTATCTTTATTTTTTACTGTTATTATTTTTATGGTTTTTAAATTTATGTATCATTTTGAATAACTGGGTCTTTATAAGACTTTTCCCCATGGCTCTAACTAGAGATGGGACGTGTAGTGTGTCAAACATGTTACATGATGTGAGAGGAAAGTACACCAACTGAGTCTAAGGTATTTAGGGACTTAATGGCATTAAAACTGTTGCATTGGAAATGCAGTTAAAGTGTGGTGTCTCACTGGTTTTGTTTTGTATGTGGAAGCTACAAAACTGAGTAAAAATTCAGTAGGTAGTATTTTTATTTCTCCCTTTGAAAAAAAAAGACTTTACATGGTTTAATAATAATGTTTGAATCCATATCTATATGTTTTACCAAATGAATAACATAAGCACGGAAGGAGAAGGACTTATCTTTATTTATGATGGAGCTATCTGTTGAGTGTACTGTAGCTTACCTATGCCTGATGACCATATTTTACCATGTCTGGTATTGTGAAAGTTTATTTTGTATTAATGCTCCCTTGTCTACAAATTTTGCACCATTGTGAACATCACCAGTAAAGGCAAAATCTCACAGTTTAAACACTATATAACAATAATCTTGTTAATGATATCATACACTATCAAAATCTGAATCATGCTTTTATTATCTTCAAATTGCAAAATAAAAAAATAAATAAATGCATTTTCCTGACATGTTGCATCTGTCATTTGTTTAGCATCTCAGTTTTACCAGTTTATCAGTAGAAGAGACATTACTCCTGTTTATCCAACCTGTTAAAATGTCTCTTAAAAAGCATATAAAAAGAATATCCCTAGCTTGATGTAATATAATTGTTTTTCCTGTCTAGAAAGATAACATGCTGTCAAAGATTTTTTCGTAAAAAACTCTGAAGATTTGGGTCGATGTTCAAATAATCTTGAGAAACATTTTATTTAGTGGCTCTGCTAGAGGTTACAACCTCAATCCTTGTGAATGTCGGCATGTTGTGAGTTTGCAACTCATTATAATACTAAAAAAAATCCCTTTTTTATTAAACAATTTTTTTGTAATTAAAAATTTTCTACAGTTTACCTTTAACAATTATAATTATCTATAAATTCAAAAATAAGAGGTAGTTTTTGTTGTTTTTGTTCTTAGTTGGAAGCAACAGGCTTCCATAGTATGTCAAATGTTGAAATGGAAACATTGTTATTTCTGATGAGTATGTGAAGACCTATCAAAACAGGAACAGGAACCAGGCTATAGTTGCTCAGTTGGATTCTCTTTTTGCCAACTTGAAAAGAGGAAGCTCACATCACCATAATTAAAGTTTAAACAAAAACATGGCTGTGTCATGGCACTATTTATCTTCTACTTTCTTAAATTTCAGATCACTGTGGATTTGGATGTAGATAAATTTCATATTTCACCAAAAAAACAAAATTATTTACTCTACTAATAACGGTATCAATACCTTATTTACAAGATTGTATTATGACTGCAAAGCCTGGAGTGATTGTAATCCAGTGATTGGAATTATCATTCAAGCACTCAAAGTTCTTTACAAGTTAAAAACAAAAACAAAAAACTATCCCAGATGCCCCCTCATCCCCAGCCCCCAGCCCCCCACTTACACACTCCTGGTGCCGAGGACTCCCTCAGAGGAAACACTGGGGGTCCTAAAAATGATAAAAGGATAAAAACAAGTAAAGACTAAAATATGAATTAAACACAGACCTAAAATCAACCAAGGCTAACTAGAATAAATGAAGATAAAACAAATAAATATCAATTAAAAGCTAAGCTAAAAAGGTGGCTAAGAAGCCTCGCCATGAGTATGTGCCTGGGCTTTTGTAATGACTAGGAGCCTGCTGCCAGAGGAGAGCAGGGTCTGCAACAGTTCATAAGGTAAAAGCATTTCTGAAAGATAAGATGGCCCAAGACCATTTAAAAACAAGTAAAAGAACCTTAAAATCGATCCTAAAACACACAGGGAGCCAATGCAGTGATTCTAAAACCGGTGTAATGTGGGCCCGCCTCCTGGTCTTAGTCTGGACACGTGCTGCTGAATTTTGTAAACAATTGTAAACCTGAAATATTCTTTTTGGGAAGACCAGAAAGCAGGGCATTACAATAGCCTATATGACTGGTAATAAAAGCATTAGCGTCTCCGTGTTGGCCCGAGAGAGAATGGGGCAGACTGGGCGAAGTTCTTTAGGCGATAAAAACCTATTTTTGTTATGTTCTTAATGTGTGGACTAAAAGTTAGCTCAGAGTCAAAAATTACGCCCTGGTTTCTCACTTGTGGTGATGGATTAAAAGATTAGTTTGGTAAAAGTTTCTCTCTCTGGGCCTCAGGACCAATGACTAAAACCTCAGTTGTATCCTGGTTAAGCTGGAGAAAGTTTTCTGCCATCCAGGATTTAATATCTAAAATGCAGTTAAAAAGAGCATCCATTGGAGCATCTTTCCACACATGCTTCTATTCGTCCCATGGACTGTATATACTTCTATATATAATTCTATATATGGTCTGTAACTCGTCCTCAGACTCCTTTTTTCTTCTCTGTTTGGTCTTCAGGTGATACTGATAATGTATGGCGTTATTTTTGAGACTCTTCCCATTAATTGGTCAGGTATGAGGCACAAAACTAACATCAAAATAACTTTGCAGCTCGGGGTTCCCTCCACTAGGGGGTTCCCTGTGATTTCTGCCAAGATTTAAAGGTATGGTTGACGTTTTGAGAAACAATAGAAAAATAGGACTCACCATGTCGGATTGCTAGTGACTAGCAGCAGTAAACACCAGCTCTGCTATTGCCGAGACTAATAGTTATTTCGGTACCATGTGCCACGAAACAGGCAAAAATGACCTGGATTTATAAAAAGCAAACTTAACAGGACAATGTGAAATGTGTATACCTCCATGGCAACTCTGACCCTGCCGTACGCACAAAATCTGGAGAAAGGAGAAACTGCTACCCCAACAGTAAAAGAGGGAAATTAAAGACAGCTTTGTGAAATTGATACATTTGTGTGAAAAAAATCGAATATTACATATTTCGCTTCTTATATCATACATTAAGGATATATTTGCAATAAGCGAAGGAGGAAAAATGTATATTTATGCCCTGGGGAGTGCGCGAGCAAACGAGCACACACACTTGCATGTGCCTACACACAGCCTTTATTATTTAATCAGTCACGTTCCATCATTGTAAAACAAACTTTACGTGTTATAATGAAATCCATTCACATAAACAATAAGGCGGACAGAAACCATGTTCCCAAAATGTGCCATACAAATAAAGTTGTATATTAATAATTTTTATTAGAATTACATGATCCTTGCTGTTATGACTGTGGTCATACTTTGTAGTCTGTCTGCTGTGTGTTTGTGCCCTATGTTTTTTTTTGTCATGCTATTTTCATATGCAAATAGGTGTGTGCCACAGCCGCGCGGTCACTGGTGGAATGGCTCTACGTCCTGGGCAGTGATTGGCTGAAACCAGTCCCTCTGCAAGTGCTGACAAATCTGGGTTCCCTGACAACATTTGGGTAACATTGGGTAAAGTTTCTCTTTTTCGCCTGTTTTCCGTCTCGGTCCATAATGACATTGGTATCATTGAATATTCATGCAGGGCATTCACCTGCCCTTTTATAGGGACCATATGGGCGAGGTAAAGCGTTTTCTCACGTGCGACAACTTTAGAGTTGATTGTGATTTAAAAATGGAAATAGGCGTGGGATGTGCATGCGCACTCTGTTATAAATCTAAAAGTTTTTGTGTACATGCATTCCTGTTTTCCGGTGTACGACACTGTATAGTGATCTTTCCTATGCACAGTTTTATAAATGAGGCCCCTGATGTTTATTCAAGTTAGATTCCTCACTTGGTCACATTTCCTCTTTGACTCTGCCCTTTCTTCTGTCAACTTAAGCTTTCTTCTCACTTTGGGCGGTGGGGCAAGCAGAAATGTTTTTTTTTCTGTCCTTCTCTGTCCTATCACAGCTCCTGTAGCTAAGCTGCTACACTACACTAGCTGCTCAGAACTTCAAGGAGGGCCAGGAGAGTGGGAGGGGATGAGTCAGAAATACAGAAGAGGGGTGTGTCAAATACAGCGAAGTGATTGGATGGAGAGGCAGAGCAGGAGATTGACCAATAGGGGTTGTCCGGGACGGATGGCTTCTATTGGTCAATGTTTCTGCAGCCCTCCACCTGCTCAAGTGAACAGATTTTTTCCACTCTTTTTTCCCTTCACTTTGTGAGGATCACACTATAGGACCATGATCACCATATAAACAAGGTTCATAATAATTACCAATCTCTCCAATCGTCAACCATGCCTTTAAACACAACTTTGTTTCTTAGATTTCTTACAGCGCACAGACGTAAACACTGCATAGAAAAGAAAGTACTAGCTGGAAACCATAAAACACTAACTTTTCAATTTATTTTTTTTCTCCTAACTTATAGATTCCTGCCCCTTGACATTTGGCTGAGCTCATCAACCTCTACCTGCAAACTCTATCCCTCACTTGCCAAACTCACTGCCTGTACCATAGTCAGACCTGAGGTTCTGTGATGACTGGAATTTTAAGACTATGTCACCCGAACTTGGGAGAATGTTGCCCGCATCCTTTCTATTTACTGTCTCTGTGGATCAGATAAAAACAAACCTGTTTGAACAAGCACATGATGTTGACATACTCTGCATTTTTATGGTTTTCTCGTCTCTGCTCACTGTGCCTGCAGTTTTACATGCTTTCATTGTATGGCATCTTCTGTCTGAATAAGGATTTTACTGACTGGTGCAAGCTACAATCGGAATCCAGTGAAAAGAGATGATCAGCAGGGTAATGTACTGTGATGTTTTTGGTTGGTTGAAAAACAAACAGACTGCTGCATTTTGAGTCATCTGCGAAGGTTAGACTCTGCACACAGGGAGGCCTGCCAGTAAGGAGTTGCAGTCATTAACATGTGATATAAATGAGGCCTCATGAACTTGAGAGGTAAGCTGGTCATCAATCATGACATGCAGATTGTTGGCAGACTTAGACACGAGTTCATGTACTGGATCTTGATCTGTGCTTGTATAGTGAGTCTTGCTGGAGGAAGCTCAGTTTTGAAGAGGTACAGCTACATACAAATAAAAAGATATATAAATATTACAACTATCATTAACTGTGTTTGTGTTGTGTCAAAGAGCAATCACACCCACTTCGATGTACTATTTGTTGATTAAAGGGAAAATTTGGACTCATTTTAATACCAAAAACAAACTTGCCTCCTGCAACCAAACAGGACGTTACAGAGGTACAGTGGGATCTGTCCTGGATGGAGATGACCAACCTGCTAGATAAACACTTATATCCTGGAACCTAAAGGGTCACTTCCACACCAATTGGTGCTGCTTCTGCCACAAATTCAGACATTTTTATTAAGATGTTGGCATCTCTTCCCCAGTATAAGAACCCCTAAGGAGTACCCCAAGGAACTGTTCTTGGCCCACCGTGTTTTTATTTGTATTTCAATATTTTTACCTAAGTTTCTTTTTTAAATTTTTTTATTTTTTGCTTTCGATTTCTTTTTAACCAATGATATTAATCCCTGAACTCCATACTTCCCACTGTTGATGAAATGTTTTCAGAATATGTTGTGTTTGTACTTTGAAGATATATTTGTATGGATCTGATTAAACTTTAAAGATTGCTGCACACTTTTGGATATCTTTCAGTGTTTCTTCTTTAAATGCAATTTTCCATTTACCTTTAGTTTGTTAAAACTCCCAGCTTTGTTGACAAAAAGCAGCTCAAGCCCCCCACTGTCACATCTTTGTATCACATCAGTCATGAATCCACTCTAAAACCAATAAGGACTCCTCAGCTGTGTATGATCAGCCTTGAGCTCTGTCAGATGGAGAGTGCACAGCACAACTCTGTGCAGATGCGGCCAGCTCATTCCAAAATCAGATGTAAAACGAGCAAACGGCACAGAGCTGCAAAATTTTGTGTGCATTTTTTGTGCTTGAAAATCATTGGGGCAGAATACTTTGCCCACTGGAGACAAAGCAGATAAGGAGTAAAATAAGAACATTTTTCCTTGCTGTTAACACAACAACAATACATTCTTGGTAAATTCAGTTGTTGGTTACAGTAAAGTCATGACATGAAATTACTTCTTCAAGCCAATACACTTACTGATATTTTTCCCCTCAACTTTTTTTCTGCTATTGTTTCCTCCTATATAATAATTCACCATTTTTGTGAGACATCGACACAAAACATATTCCAGAAACTCAAACAAAGACTCAAAATATGCAGTAAGACCCAAAAAAGAACTAGGAGGAGACATCAAACAAGTGAACTAGTAAATCAATCTTGGCTTTAATTGTTATAAATATGTGTTTTGTATTAAATAAGCAAAGTCAAAGTTTGTCAAGACTGTTAGAGCAGCTGATAACTCCACAGGCTCCTCTTGAAATCATTTACCTAATTTACAAGTTTTACAGAGAGTAAATGAACAACGTTGAAAGTTGTTTGCTGCTGAGAAAAGCTTGTCGGTGTAATCAGAGAAATTTAGAGTACAAAGACAATTATAGTTATCACAGAGGTAGCTACAGCTGGTATTTAGATTTCATCCTAGATTAGTCATTACAAGAAGCTGAAACAGGATCTGCATCTTTTTGGGAAAACACTATGACTGAGACCAAGAGAAACTCCCAACTCAGTCTTGACTTATGTTGAGAACTTGAACTCACCTGCAAAACAGGACAAGATTACATCAGCCCTGTTTGCTCCAGGAAGTTTCTCCTCCTGTCAAAAAGTGGTCAGGCCTGAAACCACACCCCATGATAAATGACAAAGAGTTTCTCCTTATTCTTAGTTCAACACTGTGCAGGCTGGCTGTAACAGATTGTGTAAATGTATGTTTTCTTACAATTTCTTTACCTGAAAATGGACTCTGTGAGCTGACACTTGATGAATCCTCTTCAGATTTCAGGTGGTAAACATTTGCTGAGAAAAAAGACTGCCTAAAAAATGGAGAAAAACCTTGGTGAGTAAAAACAGTAATGTTAGAAGAAAGTGTAAGTGCTTAGGTCTGAGTAGGGATGAAGTGATTCAGCAAAATCTGAATACTGTTGTGTATGGAGGCATTAAGTGTTGAATGAGCGACCATCAGACAATCCAAGTTAAGCAAATAAATTCTTTTTTTTAAATAAGTTTGAAGAGTAACTCATGTCTACATAATGTAAACTACTTACAACAGGTTACATAAAAAAAGGTTGCATGAGGAGACTAGGGTTCAGTAGTTTGTTTTTTTTTAATTTTTTTTAAAGCTTAACTAATGTTGATTGTTCATGTGTTTCTGTTGATTGATTTGTAATCTTTTGCAGCGCCTTATGTTGATTTGTTGTTTTACCATTTTCATTGTCACAATTGCTACTAATATTGTGTGGATTTTTAAAGTCATGTATTCCTTTATATCAATTTTGTAGATTTGAATAAACTAAGGTGTAGAGGGGTTAACAATGAGGGTCCAAACAGGCATTCTGAAAACATTAATATTGAGCGCAGACACACACAAAAAAAATCCTACACCTCTGACATGAGTTGCCTGTAATCTAGAATGATTACATTCTTCCGGGCCAAAACCAGTCTAACAGGAAATATAAATAGCTTCCTGTAATGGATCTAAAACACTTCACACGAGAAGTTTTCATATCCTTTGAGACTCGAAGCTATTTTATCCTCGGCACATAAATGCCAGTCTTTAAATCAACAGGGAAGACAGAGGAAGAGCCTTTCTGCATGTACTTAATACATTTTAATGCGGAACAGATTTGACTGTTAGAGGAAAGCAGGGTGAGATTTCTGGTCAGACAACAAAGCCATGGAATGTGCAGAACAAGATTAGACTAGTATTCGTCTTTGGGGGAAGAGCCCTCATCAACTCAAACAACAATTTAACAGAAACTTCAAAAAGATATGCATCACAGACAAATCAGGTATCAGGAGCAGGGGACGAGAGCAGGAAGTGTTATGTAGTAAAGGGGCCACAAGCTGGATTCAAACCCAGGTCACCCCTGTTATGGGGTATGCTTAGACTGCTAGGCCAACAATGAACCCTGGTTACTGTAATGGAATTTGCACAATGTAGGAGTTCTAGTTCAGTTGTTTTCTTTTTCAAGTTTCATCCACGGGTCCGTGCTTGGCTTGTCGATGGTAGCTTAAAGTGGAATGTTAAACTGAGACTCAGCAATACTTTCATTTTGTTTGATGAAAAGTGCAGATTATTTAGGATTTGCTATCCAGTAGTTTAAAAGAGTGAAATGTGCAAAATGTGGGTTTTGGCCAGTGTCATAGACCACACTTTCCTTGGACACCAAGTCTTCCTCTTATGTTTTTTCAATGGTTTAAGGAGTCACAATCAGAAAGACTAGGATGTGACTTTTACTTCAGCTGATATGTCTCCACAGTTTCTCCAGTCAAGGCTAGGCTAGATAACACAAAAATAAACCAACTTTTAACACTTGAGTGTTGTCAGTAGTCTAAAAGAAAAAAAAAGCATTTGTATTCTCAGGATATTGAGTTACTGTGTTGTCTTGGCACTAAAGCTATGTTGGCTCATTGTATTTTCCCCTCAGTCACATTTATAAGAAAATTACTCATGAAACTCGTGACAGTGGATGACTCACTCTGCTTAGTATTTTGTTGCTCTTAGCCCCTTTGTACTCGCCTGTGAGGCATATTGTTTGTGCCATAGTCATCCAAAAATATTTTTCCTGTTGTGGTCTGTCTCACATGTCTGGAATTGTATGAACTCTCAAGTAAAAGAGATTAATAGAGTCAAAAATAACTCTGACAGAAAGTCCCCCAGGAAAAACACAAGCAGGTGAGTCTCATTCTTCCGTCAGTCACGGGACACCTGAAGTGATAACCTTGTCTAACTACTTAAGCTGATTCCATACAAAAACTGACTGAATGCTCCTCAGAATCTTCTGCTGACTCCATTTTTATAAAGTTTTCCTTCTTGAAAATGGTAAGAAAATGCAGTATCCTCCTGTCCAGAAAACATCTCCACAAAGTTCTCAGTTTTGAGACCAACCAATTGTTTCAAGATGATGTAAGTTTCTGGTAACAATGCCAAACTTGTAACTTGTTGACAGGGATTAGTAATGAACTAACTCATAACAACTCCTGCAACAGCAGCCTTTCATCTGCGTGTGGTGAGTCACAGTTTCACTGTAAATAAGTGGGCATGACATCGGCAGTACAAACCGAAAATGATAATTTTCTCAGTCATGTAGTTTATTGCTTTAACTGTCACCATGATGTAGGTTAATAAAAAGTCAAGCTTTTTCTTTCTTCAAGAAAAGAAAACTTTTAAAATGTTTGCTTTTTGAATGGAGTTCACGTCCATCCTTTCTGATGCATTCAGCGAAGTCAGGAAATCTAAACACTGATTGTCCACAGTGACTCGGCATTGAGCAGATCAGTGTCTCTGTGTAAATGTTTGATTGAGAAGAGATTATCAGCTGATTTACTAAAAGAAAGAAAGAAATCCTCATCAAGTCGGAGTTGGGATGTCATTATGATAGATTGTGTTCTGCCTCCTTTTGCTCTCCATACAGACTGTTTCTCCTGCAGATACCCAGGTCTGTCATATATGTTCATATTTGGTCAATTTCTACTTTGTCTTTTAGGAGCAAAAGAGCACTTCACGCTGCGAGAGGTAAGAGTCATCCTGGTTGGACGGAGATGGGCAGGTAAGAGCTTATCTGGAAACACCATCTTGGGGTGGAACAGATTCGAGTGTGGACGTACCAGGACGACTGAATCTGAGGCGAGACATGAGAAAGTGGACGGCAGGCACCTTGTTGTGGTTGATGCTCCTGGATGGAACAGCTCACACTCCCTGAAAGAAACCCCACAGAAGGACAAGCACGGGTTCAAACTCAATGTGTCAAAATGTTCGCCAGGTCCACATGTCTTCCTGTTGGTGATTCCCATTGACTCAGCCTTCTGTACAGAGCAGAAGAAGATCCTGGAGGAGCATATGAAGCTCCTGGGGGAGCGGGTGTGGAAGTACTCCCTAGTGTTGTTCACCTGTGGGGATTATCTTGGAGAGAGAACGATCGAGCAGCACATCGAGAGTGAGGGCAACGCTCTCAGGTGGTTGGTTGAGAAATGCGGGCACAGGTACCATGTGTTCGATAACACCAAGAGGAAGAACTCATCTCAGGTGACAGAGCTGTTAAAGAAGATAGATGAGATGGTGTGGTACAACAACGGCAGTTATTATGAGGTAGACGAGCAAACACTTAACGTCATCAAAAAGAAGCAACAAGAAGTGACTGAGAGAGCGGAACAAAGACAAAGGAGGGCCGAGGAACAAAGGCTGCAAATGGAGAAACTTATTCCAGGTGAAATAAATGCCTCCTGTGATTTCAGAGTCCTACATAATAAAAAGAACAGTATCATAAGTTAAGATATAATTTAGGCACCTTCAATGTTAACACCTGAGGTTAAATCTTAAAGGAGTTTTGATTATAATCATAAATGTCTGATTTAGCCTTTGTTGGAGGAGTGCTGGGAGCCATGAATGTTTGCAGGGCAAGTGCTCAATCAGCAGCCATGCAGATATCTTCTGTATGACGTTGTCAGGAGAACATGTCTGCCAGAAAGAAAAAATATTTAAGTGAGCAGCTAAATAGTGAAGTGAGGTAGTCCAAATCAACCTTAGCTCCTACTGCTCCAAATTCAAGTGTTTCGTTGAAATTCTGGGGACTTTTCCAGCAAAGATGAAAAACAAAATTCGGGAGTCAAGCTTCATGAAGAAAGATTGGAGTATATTTACTGGAGGTGACTGAAAAATGTATAGAAACCAAAGCAGTGGGACCACTTTTATTCTGTTTATTAAAGTTTTCCAAAATTCCTTGTTTTGCGGTTTTGAGGTATAATAGAATCAGAATCAGAGTTACTTTATTGATCCCAAACTTATAGTGTTACAGCAGCTTTTTCCTAGTGAGCCAAGACAATAAAAGAATAAAAAGATAAAATGATGCATATCAAGAAATTACCTTAATAAAAGAATATAAAAAAATTTGTAGTATATACAACTCTCATTTTCCTTAACTTTCTTTACATTAAATACAGAATATAACACTTATTGGGCTTGGTAATGATTACTCATGATTACTTTAATACAGACTTTTCAACAGAATTGAGTCATTTGCATCATCCTTATCATTTGATTGAATAAAAATTAATTCCATTCCTCCATCTGCTTGTAAAATACTGCATATTTCAGTAGTGCTGGATAAAAATGTTAATTCTTCTGTCCTCTATTGTCTGAATTAGCAAACTGCAAGTCTGAGAATGCTGGATTGTAATCTGAAATGAGGAGAGGGTGATAATTAGCACCTAGAAATGAGTTTTGAATTGATAAAAAACTTGTCCCTGTACAAGGGACAAAAATCTTCTCTGCCTCTGGAAATACTGGCTAAACTAGATGATATTTAATTTATGATATAATTGCTTATTTTGTACATAAAGACATGGAACTGGAAATGACTGACCACATGCAGCTACCAATGATAAAGTATTTGTAATAGACAACTATGCAGTCCAGAAATTTCAAAACTCAGAACTAGTAAATATTCCAATACACAGCTCAGGCAAGTTTAAAAACAATAAACAATTTTATTTTATCCAGAGTTTTACTAGTTTTTAAAACCACCAGTTTTCTACCAACTCATACTACTCATCTTATTTTGAATCAAAGACACATTTGTTAAACCTGGGTAAGAGCAACAATGGCCTAAAACTGTGAACTAATGACTGCATTGATATATTTTTGTTGCTCATTAAATGATTAGGTGAATTGCTCCGGCAGAAGTAGTTTGGAAACTTCAATAATCCTAATTAATGTCTGAAAACCCAATGACAAATCCAGTTTTATTCTGTCTCGCAGTGGATATGAAACCCATCCCGAAGCTGCAGATCATTCTCTTGGGAAGCAGAAATGTTGGAAAAACCTTGTTGGGAAATGCCATCTTGGGAATAAAAGAGCACGAAGATGGAGAGAGAACAGCACACTCAGTGGCCCGGCACGGTTGTGTGGGAAAAACGGAGATAACTCTTGTTGACACACCAGGATGGTGGAAAGGTTTCCCAGAGTGTGATACTCCTGCAGCGATCAGGGAGGAACTGATGGGCAGCATGTTTCTGTGTCCCCCTGGGCCTCATGTCTTCCTGCTGTTGATAGACTCTGATACATCTTTCACCACCAAAAACTTAAATGCAGTGAAGACACACACAGAGCTTCTGGGAGAGGGAGTGTGGCGGCACACCATTTTAGTTTTCACCAGAGGAGACTGGTTGGGAGCACATAGCGTTGAAGAGTACATTGAAGGTGAAGGAGAAGCCCTCCAGTCTCTGGTTGACCTGTGTGGAAATAGATATCAAGTCATTGACAACAAAAACGCAGATGATGGCACTCAAATCTCAGAGCTGCTGAGGAAGGTCACTGCTACACTGGCTGCAAATAACTGGGGCCATTTTGTCCCTGATGAGAAGATATATACCACCATTGAAGAAAAAAGAAAAAGAGTGGAGGAAGGAGCAAAACGGAGGCAAAGCTTCATCAAGGCCAAATCAGATACCCTCAAAGGTATGAAACAATTACTCCATCTTAGAGTCACAAATCTGGTGTTGTTAGAGTAGTTTCACAAGGAATAACAAGGGGTAAAAGTAAGAATAATAGAGAACTATAAACTGTCAGGAGAGTTTTACTGATGCATTTGGTACATTGGGACTGATTAAGTCTGTTTGCATGGTGGACAATTGATCACACAACAAAAAAATCATAGTAATAAATTATGTTTTTGTGTTCTGCTCTCCACCTAAAGGTGAAAAACTATTATCAAAGCCACTGTCTTCCATTAAATTCAGTTTCCTTTTAACATGGTCATTTTCACCTCACTCCACATCTGCCTGCCTCGAATGACGAACACACTAGCATTTCTGGAGTTGGTGCAACAATGAAGGCATACTGAGTTTACCAGCAGTCAATCAGTTTTCCTGAAAACCTCTACAGAGTTAGATGGACTGTAGGCAATTTGAAAATTTTAAATATTCACTGAATCTTAGTGGATATAAAGTGTTATGTGTTGTCATATGGGTCAAGTTATTTTCCCAACTAGGATTGTTGGGGAACAGACCTTCAACAGGTTTTTAACTTGAATGTTGATCTCGATTATTATTTACATCTGGTTTGACCAACAGAACTATCTGAGACCTAAATCAGCTTCAAAAACCCTTATTGGCATTTACCATGATGTCTCCTTGACACTAGTATCCCAAATGAAGACATCCTGGTGTTAAACTGGTGTAAACCCAAGCAGAACAAAGTTCCATGTCTGACGATTATTTGCCACCTTATTGTATCATGAGTAGACATATTTTCTTTTGTAATTAATGCTATATAGTGCCAGTGGCACATAAGAAAACTGGCTAAAAGACAGAGGGCTCTATTTGCATTCCTCGCTGGCGGCGTGGCGTAGGCGCGGCGTAAGTTAGGTCCACCACGCTGACAAGGCATGCCCAAGCACATTTTGGTATTTTGGTGAGCAGCGGCATAGAGGAGAGAGGGTGTGGAGTGGGTTTAACACAGCCGAGACCTTTGTTCGCCAATCAGATCAGCTACTCTCCTCAACTTTAAATCTGCCACTGGCTGAATATTATGATATTCACATGTAGGCTTAAAGTAAATAACTCAAATGATCACTAAAATAATCATCTGTTCAGCCACTGCAGCAGGACAGGGAGAAGACACGGACACATGTCCAGGTCGAGTTGCGCGAGAAATAAGAGGAAGCGGAAGATAGAAATAGATAGATATTTAATTTAATTTAATGCGGTTTCAGCTGTGTTAATTCGGTCAGGTTGAGTGTCTAAACGCGTGCCAAATGCACTCATTAGATCAAATATAGATCAGAATATATCTATATAGATCTAAATGTATGTGCTGACTCTGATTATTAGTTGTTGTTGATTATTTATTACACTTAAATGTGCCTGGCACCATGAAAACCTGCCGGTGAGGCACCAGTAACATATGCGCACTACGCCGCCAGTCTACCAAAATACCAATAGACCAGGTGCACTCTGTAATTTCTACGCTGCGGGCGGGCACAAAAATGTCACTGCACCGGTTGATTCTGTCGACACCTCCCCCGCTGCGCCACCAGGCCCAGCTTGGCGGACCTCGGTGGGCCTCAGTCAACGAAAATACCAAACTAGCTGTATGCCGGGCTCCACCAGATGAAAATACACCATCCTCCGCCATCCTCCGCCGTGCCGCTGGGGGGGCACTAAAATAGAGCCCAGGGTCTGTAAAGCGGCAGTAGCTCAGGAGGTAGAGCGGTCGTCCAATAACCAGAAGGTTGGCAGTTCGATTCCCCCCTAATCCAAGTCTGTCCGTTGTGTCCTTGGGCAAGACACTTAACCCACCTTGCTCCCAGTGTGTGTCCTCCACTGGTGTATGACTGTGAGTGTTGTGTGGTGGTGGTCGGAGAGACTGTAGGCGCAGAATGGCAGCCACGTTTCCGTCAGTCTGCCCCAGGGCAGCTGTGACTACTAAGGTAGTTTACCACCACCAAAGTGTGACTGTGTGAGCGAATGAATGATGTATCCAATGTAAAGCGCTTTGAGGGTCTCTGATAAAGCGCTATATGAAATCTGATGCATTATTATTATTATTAAATGCTTATTGTGGCTACCTACAGCTTCATAAATAAAAGCAATTTGCCAATACTGTATGCACTGAGCTGGTATATGATCTGATATGCTTTTTCCCTCTTTAATGTTTTCTTCTCAGGTTCAAAGAATCAATTGCAAGACATAAGGATAATGATGCTCGGCCAAAAGACAGTTGGCAAGACTGCAACAGGAAATAACCTCCTGCGTACAGAGGTGTTCCCCACCTGTCAGAATGAGCAGTGTCACATGGAGAAAGCAAAGGTTGCTGACAGAGTGATCACAGTGATTGACAGCCCTGGCTGGTGGATGAATCCCTCCATTGGCACTGAAGAGATTGACAGGGAAATAGTTAGAGGTATGTCCTTGAGTCCTGTGGGGGTTCATGCAGTTCTGGTGGTCATCCCTGTGGACCTGACATTCAGAGAACCTCAACAGGCTGCCTTGGAGGAACACATGAGTCTCTTTGGTTCCAGTGTCTGGAAGCATGCCGTTGTTCTGTTCACATATGGCGGAAGACTAGTAGATAAATCAGTAGAGGAGCACATTGAGAGGGAGCACAGTGCTCTACAATGGTTAGTAGACAAGTGTGAAAACAGGTATCATGTCATGGACAATAAAAAGAAAAATGATACCACTCAGGTCATTGAGCTGATTGAGAAGCTCGAGGAAATGGTGGCAGGAAACAACGGCCGGTTATTCTGTCCAGATGAGAACGACATCCAGGAGAAACTGGCCGAAAAGAACCAAAGGAGGCAGATCAGACTGGTGCTGAAGCAGGTCTTTGAGGAAGAGTACAGAAAGAGGGAGCGGAATCTGTTAGTGGGCTTCAGAAATACACTTCTTGATCTGCAATCGGACATCAAAGAAAGTGCATCAGGCGTTGCACCAAAGTCATCAAGTAAGTATCATACAATAGCAAGGCTGATTGTTTTTTTTTTAACTGTTTTGGTGGGTGACCAAATAGATGAACTGAGAGACAGCCCAATAGAAACAAGTTGAAATGAGGCATACCGCCACCTAACCTAGTGGCGGTAGTATAGGTCAGTAGGTACATCCTCGTTAAATATCTTTACTTTAATCTCATCTTTTTGTTGATTTTCAGTTCTTGACCTCAGCCGAATAAAAATCAAGGGCATTCGTCAGAACAAGAGAGATGAGAAGGAGGAAAACCTGGATGCCAAGATCAGCCAAGAAATTGAAAACCTGAACAAGGACATAATGAGATCCACAGCTCTCCAGGACGGCAGCATGGATGTCTTGATTCCAAACTGTAAAGAAATTTTTTACTTTAATCCCTTGTTTGAACAGCAGTTATCAGCATGATGTAATAGACTTGTTTTTTTTTTCTCTCTGTTTAATTTACAGTTAAAGGGGAGGGTCCAGAATCAACTACTCCTCCGTCTTTGTCCAACAGAAGGTCTTCAGATGACCAAGTGAATAAAGTTCTGGGTTGGCTGTCCAAAATTCAGATCGGCACAAATGCTGACAACCAGCTGACCCTCAACTTTTCTCAGTCATCAGGATACAGATCAGTGCTGCCCACTGACCACCAGGACTGTCAAATGGAAGCAGATCTTAATGAATGAGTTTTTGTAGCCTGGGATTTTGAAAATGCATTCCCGGTCTACAAAAAGACTTAAGGGGGATAGTAAAAATATATGGTAAAGGGGTTTGAGTCTTAAAGGCTCAGTGAAATTGATGTGGAGTAAAGGTACCTTGAGAGACAGTTGAAAACTAGCTCTACAGTAGGGAGCTGAAAAAAACTTCAGAGGAGTTACATAAAAAAGACATAAAGACCGTTTCATCTAAGTATGATCTCTCTCTGACTAGAAGCTTAAAAAGATGCAGGTGGCATGTCAATGCCTTTTATTGGAGGTACCAGAGAAAGATTTACACCAGGTAAATGTAATGGGTTTTTTGTGTGCATACCAGGCCTGCACTTTTTGGGGAACTGTCTGCCTCTACCGCGTACATCAAGATTATTGTTGGCAAATCTCTCTACTGCTAAGAGGCAGTACAAAGATGGATTGTTAACTTTATATACAGTGTATACAGTCTTTGACACTATCTTTATTTTTTACTGTTATTATTTTATCATTTTTAAAGTTATGTATCATTTTGAATAACTGGGTCTTTATAAGACTTTCCCCCATTGCTCTGACTAAAGATGGGACGTGTAGTGTGTCAAACATGTTACATGATGTGAGAGGAAAGTACACCAGCTGAGTGAAAGGTCTGTAGGGACTTTTTGGCATTAAAACTGTTGGCATTGGAAATGCTGTTAAAGTGTGGTGTCTCACTGGTTTGGTTTTGTATGTAGAAGCTACAAAACTGAGTAACAAAATCAGTCAATAGTGTTTTTATTTCTCCCTTTAAAAAAACTGACATACATGGTTTAATTTAATGTTTGAATTCATATGTATATGTATGTTTTACCAAATGATTTAAGCAGGCACAGAAAGAAAATGACTTATTTTATTTTGAGATGGAGCTGTCTGTTGAGTGCACCTTACTTATGCTTGATGACCATATTTTACCATGTCTGGTATTGTAAATGTTTATTTTGTATTAATGCTCCCTTGTCTGCAAATTTTGCACCATGTGTACATCACCGGTAAAGGCAAAATCTCACAGTTTAAACATTTTATAACAATAGTCTTCTTGATGATATCATACACTATCAAAGTCTGAATTCTGCTTTTATCAACTCCTAATTGCAAAAACAAAATAAATGCATTTTCCTGACATGTTACTTGCATCTGTCATTTGTTGAGCATCTTAGTTTTGCCAATTTCTCAGTAGAAGAGAGAATACTCCTGTTTATTCAACCTGTTAAAATGGCTTTCTCTTAAAAAGAATGTCCTAAAAAAAGAATATCCTTAGCTTGATGTAATATAATTGTTTTTCCTGTCTAGAAAGATAACTTTTTGCTGACTTGTGGCTCTGCCAGAGTGTACAACCTCAATTCATGTGAGCGTGGGCATGTTGTGAGTTTGCAAATCATTGTAACAATAAAAAAAAAATCCCTTTTTTTCCTTAAATAAATTTTTTGTAATTAAAAATTTTCTACAGTTTTCCTGCAACAATGATAGTGATCTATAAATTCAACAAAAATAGGTAGGTTTTTTTGTTGTTGTTGAAAGCAACGGGCTTCCATAATATGTCAGATATTGAAATGGAAACATTGTGATTTCTGATGAGTGTGGGGAGACCTATCAAAACAAGAGGCAGTTGCAACAGGAACAAGGCTATAGTTGCTCAGTTGGATTCTCTTTTTACCGACTTGAAAAGAGGAAGCTCATCACGACACTAACAGTTTAAACAAAAACATAGCTGTGAGGTGTAAAAGTAGCGCTGTTTATCTTCTACTGTCTTAAATTTTGGATCTCTGTGGATTTGGATGTAGATAAATTTCTTATTTTACCACGAATTAACATTAATTACTCCTCTAATAACAGTATCAGTACCTTCTTTAAAATATGTTATTATGACTGCAAGGCCTGGAGTAATTGTAATCCAGTGATCGGAATTATCATTCAGTTCTAATTTGTCATGTTTTACTTTCTTTGCTGTTAGATTTTGGACTTTTTTTTTTAACTTAATTATACTTTTTAAATGATAGTTTCACATAAATATTACTACCTCCATGTGATCTTGTTATATTGTGCTGATGTGACAAAACAACCCAATGCAGCTCTTTGTTCATTGTGTCAGTAATTTGTTGAATAAAAATACAATTTTGACTCCATACATTTTTTTGATAATATGATTTCTACTATTATAGTTGACAGAAACAGATATAATTTTGCTTTAATTCATACTTGGAATACAAAATAACTTCAACCACATTAAAAAAAACAAACTTGAGTGGCATTTTTAAACACCAAAAGAAGAACTTTATTGATCCCCAAGGGGAAATTCAATACTATATACATTTACTCATAGTCATGCTTTTTGAGATATATAAATGTATATATATGCTTTAGATAGTTCCTTCTTGAAATGTCCCCACATTCTGTTACAGTGCTACAATTGCCTTTGTAACACTATTTTTTTCACTACATTCAAAATGATGGTTTTGTTGGAATTCATTAAAGTACTATGATTGAAGACAAATTTAAAAAAAAATGGTTAGTGTAGAGGACAAATTTTAAAAAATGGTAAGTGTATTTCAATGGTAAGTGTATTTCAAATAATAGTGCGTTATAAGGGAAAATGTGACAAATATTATAGTTTCCCCCATAATGCACTATGACTCCTCACGTGACTCGTTACTCTTCCCTGTTTTAGGTGAAACTGAAGTAAATTCAGTATATTTACATGGTTTAATGTTGCTTTTCCAGTAAGTAAGCTTGTCTTTTGAAGAAAAAAAAAACACAACAACAACTACAATAAACATTAAGTGACGCAACGATTGTGTTCAATACATTTTTCTGACTTTGATAGCGTAGATTTTCTTGTCTCATCTCAACCTTCTTGGCGTTTTTCGTGATTTAAATACCCCTTTCCAAACACACATGCTTCGATTCGTCCCATAGACTGTACATAGCTCTATATGCAGTCTGTAACTCGTCCTCAGACTCCTCTTTTCTCCTCTGTTTGGTCTCCAGATGATACTGATAATGTATGGCGTTATTTTTGAGACTCTTCCCATTAATTGCTCGAGTATGAGGCACAAAAATAACGCTAAATTAATATTGCAGTTCGCTGTTTCCTCCACTAGGGGGCTGCAAACAGCCGCGCACAGGAAGACACTGGCAGTCCGTGGCGTCATCGCCATGAGACGGAAGAGAGAATTTGTAGTCGCCAGGAGTCCTTATAGTGACATGACAAAAACAATCAGCTTTCTGAAATAATTCAAAACGAGCCGGGTGAAAAATTAGGTAAGTGTTTGATAAGATGAAGAAGGCATCATCTTCTGATCGGATGTGATGAATTTATGTATAATATGGCGGGTTTGTGTTATTCTGGGCTGGTTTGAATGAGCTCAGTGTTTGTCAGCAGACAGCGAAGCTAATTATCGAGCTAACTTCACATTAAAAGCTGTTTGCTTTCACTGTTTTAACTTTCACGGATATTAAATGTCTTTATCGTGCCAAAGAGACGGTCAGAGTGATGATATTGACTTGTCATAACTTTATTGTCAGTCTGTCAGCTGTCAATGAGTCTGTAACGGAAATCTTATTCAGGCCCAGCCTCAAACATCTGTCCTCTTTTTTTTATTTAACAGGGTTTTTTTTTTGGAGACGATTCATTCATAAACAATGGTAAGAGGCGGATTATTTGTTGCATATGATCTATTTTTCTATTGAAGTGAAAGCCCTCTGTATACATTGATTTGCACATACAGTGATCAATTATTCATAATATTCACTTACTGTTCAGTCCTCATTTTCTTTATTTATGTATTTGTTCTTGAGACAGCACGGACGAGTAAAGATTAAATCTACAGCCCAGCAGGAGGAGGAGAAAAGGAAGGAGAGAGAGAAGAAACTCAAGATATATGTGGCTGCAAGGGATGCCTGTTTTTCTAAGGTTACATTTAAACACTTATTTAAGACCTACATTTCTGACAGAAATGTCTAAGGATATGTTTTATTCTTTCACCTGGGGACAAAAACAATGATAGTGATGATGGTTATACAAACTTTATTAATATAGCGCTTTTAAAAACAAAAGTTTAAAAAGTGCTTCAAAAGACATAGCAGAGGAAATGATAATTATAACAACAGAGAAGAAATACGTCATAAATGGTAGATTTATCGCAAAGAAAATGGGGAAAAATACTACAATAATAGCATTTACAGGTCAATACAGATTCCCAGAATAAGAAAAAGATGGGGAAAGAACAGAAAGGAAAACCAGATAACATTACATCAAACTTTAAAGACAAAAGAAGAGTGAGATGTAAATGAACAAACCAATAAATAAATGTGGCTAGATGGCTGTCAAGACATGGATCAGAAGAGGACTTGTAAACTAATAGTTTGAGCAAAAGCATCATTAAATGATAGTTTTATATTGCTCAATTTCATTTTTTTGTAACAGTTATTTTTCTGATGTCCATCACTGTCCCTCATTTTCTCCTGTATGACAGAGGAAGGAGGGCATTTTTGATGATGAAGCTCTCCAGCTCACCCAGCAGCTTCTATCATCCAACCCTGACTTTGCAACTCTGTGGAACTACAGACGAGAAATCCTGATGCACCTGGAGACTGTGAAGTAAGCTCCGTTAGCTAACCACCTTTATATTTTCTGCAGTGCATTCAGGAATACATGGATGTTATGTATGTTCAGTATATCTATTTACAGTTTTGAACTCGCATGCTGCAGATTTCCAGTTTTGCAGCTCCTGCAGTAAAAGTACAATTTTATATGTAGGGGAACACATTTCATAAAGGTTTTAAAGAAGGGCTCAAGCCAAAGCACATCAATCTTAGGATAAAGTTGTTCTTGTACTACAAATGTTGCTGGAGTTTCAGCCACTTTAAACTTTACCCAGTTTTTATTGATATAGTGCCAATTCACAACAAATGTTATCTCAAGACACTTAAAAGACGAACTGGTCTAGACCTAACTCTTCATCATATTTACAAGAAGATCAAACATAAAGATGGGATGGGATTGAGTCCCCTCTTTTAAGATCAGACTCACTCCCATCCCATCTTCAACCACATGAGTGAAACACTCATCAAACACACACATCAAGTTACAGTGGAAAGGAAAACTTCCTTCAACAGGCTGAAACCTTGAGCAGAACCAAGGTGTTAGACAGTCATCTGCTGAGACTGAGCCGGGTTTAGAGAGGGGAGAGGGAGATGCAGACAGAGAGAGACAACAATGTTAGTACATACAGATGTATGGTTACATGTCAGAGATAATGGAACAAGTATGTGTACTGTTTACAGAAACAGCATGATCATAATAATAGACTGATCTTAGATTGATTTATGGAACATTTAAGTCAACAGGTCTGTAGTAATAGCAAAGCAGCTATAGCATTTTTAATTATGAAGATGAGGGCTTGAATAAAAATATTTGAAGCCAAAAGAGCAAAAAAAAAAAAAAATCTGTATTTAATATTAGCTTTATAACAGTGAAAAAAACTGAGAGACTAATGCTGATAAATTAACATAAGCTTTAACAATGATAAAGACTAACACAAATAAATTAATTTTAGTTCTGAAATGGTGACAGAAATGCAAGGGCTGATGCAAATAATTAAACATTAGCTTTGTAGCAATGATAAAGATGGAAAGACTGATGTTTGTAGTTAAAGCAGCTTGAAAGCAGGCAGGTCTACAACAGCAGGATGTCGGCAGCAGAGATCCAGAGGAACCTCCAGCATGGTGGAGCTCAGAGACTCCCAGACAAGACATTGTATTAGTGACTTCAATGGGACATGATGGTTCAAAGTTAAAAAAAAAAAAAAAAAAAAACAGACAGAACGAGGAGAGGTACTCAGTGTGCCTGTACCCTAGACCATTTGAGTCAGTAGCAACAAAACTAAGAGCTGCTCAGGCCTGAACCAGCTCTTACTATAAGCTTTATCAGTGAGTGAAGTGGGGAAGGTGTCTGCCCCCATGCATCTCTTTCTTTAGTAGTAGGTAGAGTTGTGCCTGAATCCTCAGCTGTACTCCTCAGATTTGCAGCTCTAAAGTAACAGGAAACAGAACAGAAACAAATAACTGAAGAACTGAATAAAAACAGCTGTTAAGTTGGGTATTTTTATAATCCTTTTATGTTTGAAAACAAATCTCAGTTAAGACAGTCCAAAGCTTCACAGTGAAGATACTCAAAAAATGTACCTAAGGACAGCACTCTAGCAAATTTACTTTTTTTGTAGGCATCAAAAGTAATGATGTGAGGTTGAGTAAGCTGATAGAAATAAAACAGTAAGCCTGCATCATTCATATCAGATTTTTGTAGTAACAGTCGGACTGGTTGTCAGTGCATTTCAGCATCTGTTCCTTGATGTTCAGTGTGAGGATGAATCAACAGTCTGGCACTCTTTAAAACCTCCTGGAAAGCCCGTCTTAGTCACAGCTCTGCCAGCAGTTGAGTGACAAGTAACAACAAAAAGAAACAGAAACAGAACAAAAGAACAGGAAATCATCTCTGTGTGACGTTATAATCAGGCTGAGCTTCACTGGAGCTTCAATCTGCAGATAGAGACAGAAATCTTGTGGTAAACAAACCAGAAGACGAGTTTTGCCAGCTCCTCGGACAAGCAGCAAGACAACTCGCTTGTAAGAAGGCAGGCATGCAACACTGCAATTCTGGGCTGAATCAATACTTTATTGATCCAAATGCAAATACATGCATTCAGTTTCGAACTGATTATATGACATGTATAATTATGTTCTCCTTGTTGTAGAGTGTAGAGTAATGCTTGTAGAATAATGTCTGACAAGTCTGACTCGAGGTGTGAGAACATTTTTGTTGTGCTGAAATGTCAGGATATTTTGTGATCTAGTACAATTCTTTGAAGTGCTGCATCGACATTTAAGGTCCCCACATTATGATCAGAAACTGGAGCGCACCACAATCACAGTATGCGTAGCTTATTTTGGAGGTGAATGAAACACTGATTTCAATGACTTTCTCAACAAATCACCTCTGACTTTGAATTTCTTTTTTTTACCGATCTGTGTGTGTGTGTCTGTTAGAATGAGGCAAAGAGGAGGGGCAAAGTGAGTATAGAGTGTGTTGTCTCTCAGAGAAAAAATGTCTTTCCTCTTACAGACTTAAAACAATCAAAACCAAAACCAGCCGTCACTTGGTAGCCTTGTTGTGTAGTAATCATCATTAAAAAAACACAGTTTTTCTTGAGTATGACCAGTGAATTTAACAAAAGAGCATTTGCTGTGTGCTTGTGTGTGTGCCAGGCATTAACTGGAGCCTGGAGGGGGTAAATAAACTGCAAAGTCATTTTTAATTGGGTGACCATTTTAGTGCAAATGTTTACCCAATATGGGATGGACAGACCTCTGAAATTTACTCACCAAATGGAAAATCTGTCATATTTGGCACTGGAAGGTACTAATTTTGGAGTCTGTTTTATTCTATTTATTGTATTTATTTATTTCTGTTTTGTTTTGTTAATTTTTTTTATTTGAGAAAGAAATTTGAGCAGGCTTACAGCACAAACGGTTGATGCTCTACTTTGGATGATGTGTAGAAGTTCAAAAAGTACCCAAAAAAGGAAAACAAGTCTTTTACAAAAGTTTATGCAACTTTAATATTTCAGCTGAAACAAAGATCTGCGCCCTCTTAGCATTATAGAGAATGACAGCATTAGTATTCTGATAAAAACATCGGAGCCCTGATGTTGGTGATCTATTACTGACATGGCTTTTCTCCAGTTGTCCACAGTCACCAGAGTCCTACCTGACACTTCAGGACAGGTGTGCTGTGAATTCACTTGCAGATATTTGATTCAGTTTGTCTGTTAACCTCCTTACACATTTTTACAGTCTTTCTTGTACACAAGCTAAAGTTTTGTTTTGTTTTCTCTCATTCTTAAAATTTGACGGTGACATAAAAATAACATTAATAATAGCTTTTATTTACTTGTTGTCTGGCAGCTTTTGTTTAAGCAAACTTAACAGCCTGACAGCGTCCAAGTCAGGCTGTCTTCTTTGTACTCCTACTGATCACTGAATGTGTCATGTGGCATTCCGGCGAAAGCCAAAAGATCTGATAGCCAACCTCATTTCACCAGCTGATGTAAGTTGGCATTAAAAAGTGTAGATCTCGAGCATATATTTGGATCCTCATGTTTGATATTATCCAGGAAAAATTAAGTGAACATTATCAGTGAGAAAAAGCTGTCTCCAGATTTCAGAGGCTCCTTTCACATCCACACTGTCCCACTCTGGACAGAGATTCCTCTGAGTTTTGACAGGAGCCTGATGTTTTTGTGTTTTATAACTCTCCTTAGGGACGAGGATGAAGTTCAGAAGATTTACGAGGCTGAGCTATCTTTTCTGGAGTCTTGTCTGAAGGTGAATCCAAAGTCTTACGGCAGCTGGCACCACCGGTGTTGGGTCTCAGCCCGCCTCCCTCGACCGGACTGGGCCAGAGAGCTGAGTCTGTGCGACCGCTGCCTGAGCCTAGACGACCGTAACTGTGAGTATAGATGGACAGCAAAATCACGATCTTTTCTACCCTGTTGATCAAATCTTATTTTTGAGACCCTATAATTCGATCAATTCACCAGTAAAAGAGTACCTGGATCATGTTAAATCCTCCACATTTACACAATTATTCCATCTCTTTTCTAACTGTGCTCCCCACCAGTCCACTGCTGGGATTATCGCCGGATGGTGGTGAAGGTCTCAGGTGTTCCCGTCGATCAGGAGTTGAGTTTCACTGATCGTCTCATCGGCTCCAACTTCTCCAACTACTCCAGCTGGCATTACCGCAGCACACTTCTGCCGCTGCTCCACCCGGAGTCTCCCGAACCTCCGTCACCACGCAGAGAGCCCCCCCAGACCTCCCCTCCTCCATCTCCACAAACACATTCCCACCGTGTGTGTGAGGAGCAGCTCCTCAAAGGTGAACCTCACTGAATCCATCATGGACCTTGTTTGTTCAGGACCGAGAGGGTTACTGTGTCAAAATGCAGACTTCTTATAAAGACACCGGGGGGAGAAGTAGGAATGGGGTTTGACTTCAAAACAGAAAACAAAAGAGTTTAGATAGTATTATTTAAGTTAGAGTTGTTCATGGGAATATAAAACCACTTTGCATTTATCTTGTATCAGCTCTCTACTTTTTACATCACAGCTCTTACTTCATGTCGTAGTCCTGCTCACCCTGTCGGGATTTGAATCTGCTGTAACAACCCGCTCACTTTACATTTTCTCTCACAAATGTGTCATTGAAACCAGTGAAACTCTGCAGCCTGCTTTAATTTAAACTCCAGCATGTTTAAATTCAGCTTTGACTGTGTTATAATCAAAGTTCAGGGTTTTCTTGTAAACTCAAATCAACAGAGACAGAAAGTTCCTCACAGGAGCTTTAAGGTGAACCCACTAAAAATGTGACCCCCCTACAAGTACTTGGGTGTTTTCATAAACAATAGACTCACATTTAACATATATATTATTGATGTATTCAATAAGCTAAGAGTGTTCTCAGCCTTTATTTTAGAAGTGAATCCTGCTTTTACTTTCAGTGCCTAAAAAAAAAAAAAGAAACTTTAGGAGACGGCACGTCTGTCTGTGATTTATTATGGTGACATGTTGTGTATGCATGCATCTTCATCCACTTAGCAAACCCTTGAGTCAGACACGCATCCCTTTGCTTTAGTCTTTATGATTGAGGGGTTGAATATCTTTATCTAATGCAGACAGTGACGCAGGTGTGTTTTCATCGATAAAACAATAGTAGAAAGTTTCTATCTTTTAACATTTGATTATACATGCATCATCTAACAATTTTTTAATATGTGTACTCTGGGCTCGCTTCATTTTTCTGGTTTATTTTTCCAAACACATGGTTGGTCTCAAAAGGTGCTGGCTGCAATACCCGCAAGTAACAGCAGGGGGCAGTCTAAGGCCATTCAGTGGCATATAGCATGTGGTCATGGTTAGACTGATGTCGTTTTCATTGAAATAAAGACACAAAGTTTTGATGCTGTTTGGATGTTTGTTAAATAAGAGCTTGAAATACTGAAAACCAAATTATCTTGCCACATTTTTAAAGTGGTATCTATTGATTTCAATTTTTTGCTTTTATTTTAATTCGATAGTCACATAAAATTCAAAACTTTTATAATTTAGTTCAGAGTATAAAAGAAACATGAAAATGTTTCATTTCCCTTTGTTTTGAAAAGATCCTTTGAGAGCACCTGAAGGAAACTTTGTCCTGGGTAACTGGGTAATTTTCCTCCAAAAATGCACCGCCACGTTTCATTTGTTCTGAGTCCAAATGCTGCCTCTGTGCTCTGCTGTCGTCCTTTTTAGTAATAATATATTATTGTTGTAAGTTTTAGTTGTGTTTTCCGTCCTCTTCTTTGATGACTAATTCACATGTACCTCTTCTATTTTTCAGAATATGAGCTTGTACAGAACGCTTTCTTCACTGACCCCAATGACCAGAGTGCCTGGTTCTACTATCGCTGGTTGCTTGGCAGAGGTGTGTCCGCATGAAAGTCATCCACGTGTTGTCTATTTGCTGTATTTATTCTTTTATCACACTAGAGTTGCTTAAATTTAAACTTTCTATTCATCAGCCGAGCGAGAGGAGATGATCAGCTGCGTGTACGTCAGTCGAGATGAGGAAAGAGTGGCTGTCGCCTTCTCCAGGCCTGTCAATGTGAGTTTATCCATTTATTTGAGTGTGACAGAGTCCCCACATTTACAGTTTGAAAGCCAGGTTCACCTTTTCAACACACAGCTCTGCAGTAACCTAAAAATGTCACTCTTAGTGCAACCAAACAGAAAAAATGTTTTCACTCATAACGAAATGTCTCCACATACACAAACACAGATTAACCTACAGTTGCATTCACACCTTCACATCATAACATGCCGGTGCAAAAGCCAGAGTATGTTCAAGGAAACAACATTCTGAAATCTATATCGATTATTTTTTACTTAACTGCCTGAATTAATACAGCTGACAGAGATACACACATGCAGAATAAAAACAGCTTGAAGCTCCCCCTGTGCTGGCTATGGTGCCCTCTGCTGGTACAGATTTGGCCCACTGGTGTCTGTTTTTCCAGTGGGGTCTAAAGTGTGTGGTAAATAATGCAAATCAGGCCAATGGCATCCAGGGATGGTATTTAACTCTCAACTCTCTGTTGAATTTAAGTACAAAAGACTGTCACAAATCAAGTTGGCAGCAGATCAGCTGTATAGATTATTACATAACAAGTTACTGGACATATTTGCTCCTGTACTACCACCCTCTACCTATTTATCCTTCTCTCTGCTGAGCTGGTGTCATAAAGTGTAAAATGTACACCAGCTTATATTGTAAAAAAAATTGTTTCCCGATGAGAATAATCCCTGAAATTGTTGTCACACTCATAATCATCCCTGAGATGGAGAAATATTAATACACAAACAAAGTCAACACTCATGTCGTTTTTCTGATGAGATTACATTAGAATCAGAGTCAGTCAGGAGAACATACAGGTCGTTTAAACATCCCAACTGCAATGAGAGCAAGTGCAATAGTCACATTCCAGGATCTGTGATACTAGTCACATGATCTAACCTTGACCAATCATCAAAATGTGTGTTACTGCTGGCTGTAACACAATTTTCCCCTCAGAGATAATACAAATATCCTTGAGAAACTTGTATTTTCACCACTTCCTCATTGTCTAGATTTAATCTATAAGACATTTCTATCTGAATTCACTTCTGCAGACCCTCACTCAAAAATAAGGGTGCTAATATCTTTAAAAGCAGAAAATAAACTGAAAGATCCAAATAATAACGGTACAGTTGTGTTAGTATCATGTTCAATCGTTTCTTCACACTTGAAATACAGAACATGTATCTGGTATAATTCCTGAGTTTCTCTGGATCATAATATGTATCCCAGACAGAAAAAAAAAGTTTATTTTAATATCCTGCAGCACAAGGATTGCAGGATTTTGTCAGCAGACATAACAGTGAAAATAACAAAACACATAATGTGCTTTGATTGTGATTATTAATAACATGCTAAAATAAACTATCCTGTATCACTCAGGTTTCTCTCCCTGAAAGTGACTGAAAACAGTAACCTGGTCTCACTCTCTTTGTTTATCTTTTTCTCGTTTCATGTCAGGCTCAGTCAGTCGGCCTCCTGCTCGTCCTAGACGGCCAGCCTCAGCGAGTGGAGTGGAGGAGTGTCCATCCACGCTTCAAACACAGCCCCGTCTGGGTATCCTTTACTTTTTGAAAAAGAAAAAAAACTTTTTACATCCTTTTGTCCTTTCTCTGATATTTGCTCAAACTGTAACTGTGGGTCTGAGCAGGTTGGTTTTTCTACATTCTGCCCATCATTCCTCACATACCTCCTCCCACTAATAGGTTTGAGTGAAACACTTCAACCAAAGAAAAGTTTTCAGCACTGAGCTCTAATTAGTGTTGCTGTGTAAGAATTTTACTCTTACCTCGTCTTTTTGAAATGCATGTCTAACCTGTCAGGGAACAACGGAAGACTTTGTGTTTAAGGGAACAAACAGCTGAGGAATCTGTTTTGATGGTGTCAGGGTTCAGGGTCTCTTCAATGTTTAGAAGAAGAGTTGAGAAAAGGAAGTTCAAAATATACTTTGCTACTAATTTACTTTGCTTGATACTTTGCTCTGAATTTCAAAAAACAAATTTCGGTGCAGATTGCTATTTGCTCAACTCAACTCAACTTTATTTGTTAAGCACTTTAAAACAACCAGCCGAACAAAGTGCTGTACATAAATAGACAAAACAACAACATAAAAAACAATCAAGAAAACAATGAAAACAATGGATAAAATAAAAGCAGAATTAAAAAGTAAAATATAGTTTCAATGTGCTCAGCTGTGAATTTCTCCTATGTGAGCTGCAGATGATGCTGAGAGAATCACAGTTCAAGCAGCTACAGCGCCCTCATACCTCTGTGCTTTTGAACGGCACATTTCACTTAAAATGACTCTGATGGCAAGTCAAATTTTTTCTGCATTTTCTGTCACATAGAATTAAAATATCACTTTGTGTTTTTGCTGCCACCTACAAGCGAAGCATACAGGTGCAGTTAATTAGACTGATATCAGTGGGCCGCAACACAAAAGCTAGCAGATCATGATTTTGGAGTGTAAGCGGAGACTATTCAGAGGATCCATACGTCAGGACCCGTATGAAACAGAGAAAGCAACCAAAGTGGGACTCCTGAAGAGTACAAATGCTGCTGCATTAACCAGGGATCCTGGGATATCAATGAGTGACCAAAATGATCTTAAAATAACCACACAGCGTACTTCTGCTGACAAATCGTTGCTCCTTTTTGCTTTTGAATGTCACAATAAACCGTGTTTTTGATAGAATAAGACTTTAGAGGCTGTCTCCTGCCTCTAAGTCTTGGTTTCAGACCGCACTGGTGCAGCAGAAGCGCATTTATTTAAATAGTAAATCCGGAAGTCGAGATTATAAAGTCAAACAAAGTGCGTTAATTTAATTTACAAACCAAGACCGTGATAAGAATTACCTTAGATCGCAAATTAAAACATAAAATGTATTTGAAAAGCAGAATAATGAAGTTTTATGCTTATGATTAAAAAAATTATTTTTTGTGATTGACTCTGAAGATTCTGCAGTTAATCGTGGTTTTAAAAAATAATCATCAGGAAGCCTCGGTCAAAGACACATCAGTATGGGACGCCACCCTGTTGGCTTGACAGCTGGATCATTTGGCCCATAAACAAACGGGGACCATAGACCTGGAATGAGGCGGCTCTTTACAGCAGTCTGACTTTAAGTGGTTCAGAATTCACCACCAGAATTTGCAGCTGGATTATTGTCACTATCCAGTTAAGTGGTGATATGTTCGGAGGTCTGGTGTAGTGCTGAGATCTGTTGGTGAGTTTCTGAAGAGGGGACCATCCAGCTGAGGTCTGCAGGATGGATTATGTTTGTTTTGTTTATAATTCAATCAGACAGGTGCTTTTTTTTCTACCTGTGGTGCTTTTATTGGATTGAAATCCTATTAAATTTTTATTGGCCTCTAACTGAAAAGAAAGCTTGATGCTCAGTGAGAGTCTGTTATAATTTTCTGTGCAGCTGTGAATTAGTGTATTAAATCCCTGTTTGTGTAATTACTGTTTTTCTGTTCCATCATGGTGTAATTCATTCACGACTCCACCAGTCTGCTGTTCCTGGCACTGAAACCAGCCAAAGACTTACAATGCAGCCTCACGCCAGGAGCTCGGCTGCGATTCATATTTTCAAGATGGCTATTTATTTAGGATAAAAATTTCTCTTGGTTTCATTGGTGGAATAAATAATCCCTATTTCTCTCGATTTGAACCTTGACGCCGGCTCAGATATGTGATCTCCCTCCTGGAACGATAGGCGACATCACGAATGAACACAACCTGACAGTGCACTGGACTGAAAAACACACCCACAGAGACTGTGCTCTGTACACAGGTGAGACACATCTATGCCTTTCACATTCAGCCACACGTTTGTTTCCTCCAGCTTCCCCTCACTGTGAACTTTTCCACAGGTCGAGCTGAAAGTTGGTGCAGAGACTCAGCCACAGATCAGGAGCTCTTCAGGTACTGTCTCTCTTCTCTCCAGCAGCACACTGAGAACATCTTTTTGTTGCCGGAAATCAGGAGAGTGTGCTTTTTGTCTGCAGGAGTGAACTGTCAGTGGAGAAGACCTCAGTGTTACAGTCTGAGCTTCAATCCTGCAACCAGCTGCTAGAGCTGGAGCCGCTCAATAAGTGTGAGAGCCTCAATATGAAATTCATCCACAAAAATACAAGACACAGAGGTTAGCTGCTGAAAGTAAATTGGTTTTTCCTCTTCTCTGCAGGGTGCTTACTCACCATCATCCTCCTGATGAGGGCGCTGGACCCTTTGGGATACGAAAAAGAGACGCTGGCTCATTTCCAAACACTGAGAGTGAGTATCAAACCTTCAGTCAGAAACATGAATCAGGTCGAACACTGAATGTCTGCGTCCTGATCTGTTTGCATTTTATTTCAACCAGATTTTTCACACATGACAGCAGACAGTTTTTTTAACGTCTTTATTGTTGTCACGTAAGATAAAACAAATAACAAAGAACAAAAAAAAAATGAAATGGTTTGAAGTCAAATGAAAAAAGTCACAACTGAGGGGTATTGGCGCATCAAAACAGAACTTGAAAGTTTATTGTGTTTCAGAATTTGATCATTTTTATGGAAAACAATAGAAAAATTTCTTCAGTGGTTGATAAAGAAGTAAGTTTATATTCATTTGCAATGGTTTTCAGAACCAAATATTAAACTCCAGACAACTTCAGTTTCTATATTTAAGATCAATAAAGTCAGTCTATCCAATCATCAATCATCTGTCTTAATCAAATCAATCTATCTAGATTTTCTGTCACCTGTCCAGATTGTTATCCACCTGTCAGTTCATCCATTCACCTATCTATCAAAACATCCATCTATCTGTTTAATCAATCCATCCGTTCATCTATTTATCCATTCATCCATCTGATCAATTATTCAGTCAATCCATATTCATCCATCCATCTGATCCCTTCACTTACTCTTCCAGTCCACCATCCACTTCATCTATCTTGTCATTTACATCTATCCATTTGATTAACATACTCATTCATTAGTTGTGTCCATCCATCATTCGTCCATTCTTCTTTCTCTCAAGGGGGTGAAGTTTGAAACATTTCTTCCTTTCTGTTTCTTTGTTTTCAGATGTCTGGCACTGAGACTTAACACGTTTTTAAACTCGATAATCTCCTCTCCAGATAAATCAACATTTCTCCCCGGTGTTGGAAGTTTTCTCTCAATATTTTGACTTCACTCCAGTGACATGACTTTGTTTTGGATGGTTTCACTCTTATTTCAGTAAATCTGCCAGAACTGACAGATAACGACCAACTCAGAGCAGACCTAAAATTAATCCCAGGGTACAGAGCAGATTGAAGAGTTTTGCTTATCTGAACACTAGATTTCTTACTGATGGTTCAAATGTTCTCCTTCAGGAGGTCGACTCCATGCGCTCTGCATATTACAGTGACCTGTGCAGCAAGTTCATGATTGAAAACACCATCCTGAAGATGGAGTACGCTGAAGTGCGTGTCTTCAGTATTTCTGATAAGGTAATGTCAGTTTTCTCACTGTCAAACATTTTTACCTGGTGTTCATGTTTGGAGAGTAATCCCACTCTTTGTTATTCTAACAGAACCTGACCACTTTGTGCCACCTGGACCAGCTCTTATTGGTAACTCATATCAACCTGTCGTCCAATCAGCTGCAGCGGCTGCCTCCTCAGTTTGCCATGCTGCAGTGCCTGGAGGTGATAAATCTGCTTTTCAAATCCAAGTATTAGTCGTGCATGGGCAGTGATCATTTTCTCACTTTGTGGTTTGATTACTGCAGGCGATGCAAACACAATGCTGCTCATATCAATAAAAACATACAGTCTTACTTCTTCCATTTACGCAGTATCTCCAAATTAAAATCCATCCTCTCCCAGTCAGAAATGGAAAAAGTTGTTCACACCCTCATCTTCTCCTGCCCAGATTACTGTAACTCATTTCTTCCAGTATTACGCAGAAATCTCTTTCCCACCTCCAACTTGTCCAGAATGCAGCAGCTCGGCTTCTAACTGGTTTTAACAGTCAACATCACATTACTCCCATTTTAGCATCTTTACATTGGCTTCCAGTTAGTTTTAGAATTGATTTTCAGATTTTACTTATTACTGTCAAGGCAGGAAAGGGTCTGGATCCAATCTACATAAAAGAACTTTTAACCCCCTATGAGCCAGCCCGCACCCTGAGATCCTCAGGTGGGGGCCTCCTGGTCGTTCCAAAGTCGAGACTTGTAACTAAAGGTGACAGGGCCTTTTCCATCAGGGCCCCTCGACTTTGGAACGACCTCCCCCCAGGAGATAAGGCGTGCAGAAACAGTCACTGCTTTTAAATCACGTCTTAAAACTCATTTTTATGGACTTGCTTTTATGTGATTTTGTCTTCTTTAATACCTTTTACTCTTCTTATTCATGTTTTGTAATAGTCCCCTTGGTCTCAGGTTTTTGTGGCTGGGTTCCTGTGTTGGCCGGGTATCATGGTTCTTATGATGTCTTTGTTGTAATGTCTTTAATGACTGGGTAGTCTGGGTTTTTGTCTTGTCAAGGCTCTTTCCTCTAAGTGTTCTCTTGCTGTTCTGTTGTTTTTATCTTCTTTGTTTTCCTGCATGTTAAGGCACTTTGTAAACTCTTGTTTTTAAAAGTGCGATATAAATTAAGTTATTATTATTATTATAATTGTTACCTCTTTTTCTGCAACATGTCGGATTGAATCAACGTCTTCTGTCTTGCAGGTCTTGGAGGCTGATGACAACATTATCGAGAGCCTGGAGGGAGTCTACCACCTTCCTAAACTGGAGGAACTCCTCTTGAAAAATAACAGTATCCTTTAAATTTCTCGGTTACTCTCATTCAGAGTTTTGTGTTGCTGGAGATATGACTAAATCTCTGCCAGTGTCAGGGAGGTCAATTATATCCTCTCTCACAGCACTAGTAACTGGGAAATGTGTGAATGGGCTCTGAGTGCTGCAGAAACAACCTCACCAAAGAGTTAGGGCCGCTGATGGTGTGTGAAAAGCGGGATTCAAAAGACGCACTACACAAATTGGTGTTTACACAGAGCAGAAAATTGCATCAGGAAGGAGACTCTTCAGCTCAATGCAGGAATAATTTGTTTTCACCTGAAACTTTAGTGCAGCGATGAAGTCAATGAAATCAAGGCTGACAGACTCACAGAGCCAACAGCACCATTAGGAAAGGAAGAGACATTTAGCAGCACATCATGGCTGCAGACTCCTCCTTCTACTTCATGCTCGTGCACCTCTGATAAACTAAGAAGGGGTTAATGCAGTCCACAGGTCAAGATGCAAACGCTACCATTAGTTCAGTTTTTAATTGACAGCTAAGAGGAGACCTCTCTATTCAGGGGTCTCCTCTTAGCTGAGTGTGCCGTGAAATCCTCCAAAAAGAGTTTTGTTTTTTAATTAGATACCTAGACCCCCTCAGCCTGCTCTTTTCTGTTCAAAGCTGCAGCAGCTCCGCTGATGCAATTTGGAGTCTGCAGTTCAGTTAATTAAATTTTCAGATAATACTCTCACCAGAAAACAGTCTCAAATTGGCCAATTCTGATTCAATGTCCTTTTTCAGGTGGTTTTCTTTTTCCACTTGGTGCATAAAATGTATAACCCAAACTCTGCAAGTTACTTCAACCATAAGATAGTCCAAAGACAACTTAGGAAATATTCAAACTGAAACATTTCATTATTTATCAGAAACGTTGGCTCATTTTTTACTTGATTCCAGCAACATATTTCTCAAAAAGTTAGGACTAGGGCGTGTTTACTGGAGAAAACAAACAAGTTATTAGTCAAACTTTAGTCTTGACTGTTGTTTTGTCCAATTCTTGTTACTTGGACAGAAATCTGCATTCAAGTACAACTTGTACTTCATCTGAAGATGTCTCAACAAAAATGTGCTTTCAGTCCCGGAGGATAAGTCCGTCGAAAAGTTTAGCCGACAAGCTCTGACATTGGGAAAATGACACACTGACGGGATTTTGGGTCCCACCTGACGCTTAATCTTACTTATCTTTGAAAATCCAAACGACACATTGACATGACTTTTGACACCTTTGAATTGACTTTGTGTGTGAGCTGCCATGGGAAATAAGGACCTGTCTTTTGATCCGACACAAATTCCTGACTGGAAGCGACACAGAAGTCAGCAGTGAATCAGAAAAATGAGAGAGTTACTTGTTCTTCCTGGTGAAAATAACTTACCCGCTCTGCTTGTGTCACTCTCCACATCATCACCGGGGCGATTTTCCATTAACCTCAAACACACAGAAATCTCCACAGTGGCAGATCTTCAGCCGCTGGCCTCCTGCCCTAAGTTAAAGCACCTTGATCTTCGTGGAAACCCTGTCACTCAGACCCCCGACGTGGAGTCCGCGCTGGCCGAGTTGCTGCCCTCAGTCACAGACCTGCTGCTCTGATGAGCCAAGGGGGCAGGAATCACTGCCATCGCCGTCCGTTTTGTCCGTTCGTCCTTCACATCCTCGGCCTGTTTGTTTGTGTGAGACTGAGTGGGTGTTTTTGTCACGTGCCTCGTGGATCTGTTTCTTCCTCTTGTTTAGGAGAGTGTCAATCACAGCGACCCTGGAGCTCTGAAAGCCTGATGCTTCAGAGCAAATGTCAGAGCTCTCAACACTTTAAGTGAAACGTCTAGACTTCTGTTTGAGTGACTGAGAGAGAGTGAAAGAACTGTTGCATTTCTCTGTGTGTGTGCGTGTGCGCGCACGAGTGTGAATGTGTGTGTGTGAGTCCACAGTAAAACAAACCCATATGCATGCAGAAACACTGATAAAGAGCGAGATGACTGTACATGGTGGCTTATTGCTTCTATGATCTTTAAAAACGGTTGAATTTAAGTAAAGCTAATAATGATCAGAGCATCACACACTCTCATACACATTTTTTTAAAGGTTGTGTAAAGCATTTAATATATGACGATATACTGTTGCACAGTAAGTCACAGATCAAGTAATAAACAGCACACATTGTGTCACTGCCTTCAAACAGATCCTGTCTTTGTGATTATTTTAAATAAGATTTACAGAGTTACTCAAGCTAGCGTGACCGACGCTGCATTCATGTGCTCCTCCAGAGATAGCAGTTCCTAAGCTGAGAGGGTTTTTATTTGTATAAGTGTTTTTATTTAAAAAAGTCATGTTTAGCATTACCTGATATTTTTATTAAGGTTAAGTGCTTGTAAGACATGTGACATTTTGGGTAACGTTAACTGACTTATGATTTAGGGTTATGAAATATGATGTAAATAAATAATAAATAATGGGTACCACAAGGTATCAAGGCAACCTTACAGAAAAAAAAAAAAAAAAATTTTAGGATTAAAATCAAGAAGAAAACACTATCTTGTGTTTATTTTGAATACAGCTGTGATTATACAAGAAAAAAAGTCTGCATCTTTCGGAAAAGGAGTCGTAACGAAACAAAAATATAGATGTACTAAGAATGAAATCATGATGTGACAAGAAAAAAGATGTATTATGAGGGGAAAAAAAGTTGTGATGTGAAAAGAATAAACGATCTGTTTAGTAATACAGTTCGGTCTTAGCATTACAACAATTAAGTCATAATGGACAGCACTGAAGTCTCAATTTTACAGAAAAGGCCTGATGCTACAAGAAAAAGTTTCCTTGTTACAAGAACAAAGTCCTCACCTCACAAGTAAAAGGTCAAAATGTTTTGAAAATACAGTCTGGTGTTAGAAGAATAAAGTCTTTATGTGACAACAGAGAAGTCTAAATGTTCCCTCATAACAAAAGAAAAAGGTCATAATCTCCTAAGAGTTCAGTCTGAATGTTTCACACTAAATTTATATTGACAGGAATAAAGATGTAATCTTACAAAAAATTAAGTTATGGTGTTACAACTATAAACTCAGGATCTTAAAGAAAATTAATTATGATCACAATTTAGAGTCAATGTGATAAGAATAAAGTCATAATGTTATGGTTGTAGTTGAAGTAACAGTTGTAGTGATACCAGAATACGCGCAGCAAAAGAAGTTTCTATGTAATGAAGTCTTAGCATTCTATGAAGAAGGTCCCAGTATAATGACATGAATCATGATGTAACAAGATTTAAGTCTGAATGTTACAACAATAATGTTGTAATGTTTTTAAGAATGAAATCGTAGTCTTGCCTGAATCAAGTCTTGGTGTTTTGACAATAAAGCCATGATCTTACTAGAACGTTGTCACAACACAACGTTTTACATTTACAAGAACAAATGTGTTTAGCAATAGAGTTTTAATATAACAAAATGAAGTCTCTTATCTTACAAGAACAAGCTCCAAATAAGAAATTTGAGTCATATTGGTACAAGAATTGTCTCAAAATCTTGCAAAAACTTTGACGACATAATTTTGATGACAAACTTTCAATGGACATCTGAAGACTACACAACACAAACAACGAAAGAAAGACGTGAGTGTGATTAATAACACACTCACACATGAAGTAACAGAACCTAACATTCATAATATTATTATATCAAACCATGCCTCCATATCTCTCAAATTAATAACAGGAATTAAACCTCAACCCAAATCCAGATGGCGCTTTAATATATCTCTACTCAAAGACCCAGACTTCACCATCTACTTCAAAAAAGAACAGACATCCTTTCTTAAGATCAACAGCACCCAAGGTAAAAAAGCTAGTACACTTAGGAAACAGGATGAGCATTCTTAAGAGAAAAAATAATATCATACTCACAAAAAAAAGAAGAAAAAAAAAAAATAGAAGAAGCTGCAAGAGAACATTTTTGAGAATGAGAACAGGAGGTGAAGAGACTGTACACTCTGGCCTCTCAAACGCCTACGAACACAGTTAATAAAGAACTACTCCAGATCAAATATGAACTCAATAACCCTTCTCACAAAGGTAAAAAAAAAGAAATACACACTTCTCCAATTCCAATATCAAGATTTTGAATTTGGCAACAAAATTGGTAAGCTATCAACTAATCAACTGAAACAACAATCTGAAATTAGTAATTTCTTTAATTTCAGTAGAAGATTCGGGTAATAACACAAGATAGTACAGTAATAAACAAAACATTTAGGAATTACTTCTCCAGACTGTACACCCTGAACCACACCAACACTGAGAGAAGTAGACATCTTTCTAAGGAACGTCTCTCTCCTCATATTATCCACTGACTAAGCAGTTTATTTCAACACACACAAAAAAGCATTGCTACCTATGTCCAACATTGAATCTCCAGGTTGAGATTGTTCCCTGCGGAATTCTACAAACATTTTTGGTCCCTTATCTTCCCTCCATTTTTAACGCAATTTCCAAAATCCTTCATAACTCAAAAATTCCTCATCACATTAATACACTTGTAATCATATTTACTCTTAAACCAGAAAAGAACCTCACACAATGCTCTAGCTATCATTCAATCTTTTTTAATAAAAACAGATATCAAAATCAAGGCCCTGGCAATAAGATTAGAATCCATAATCCCCTCACTTACACCAAACTGGATTTATTAAAGAGAGACACTCCACTCAGAAAACATTAGAAGACTGTTCAACATCATCAAACTATACATAAAAAAGGAGGACCTTTTCAGTGATGGCTCTCTCATGACCTTCGACCTTCTGAAACAGACAGACAACCTGCTACGAAACTGTCGATGCCAACAGCTAAAAGTGACCTTAAAAAAATTATAAATATCCCCAATTTCTCAAAAATGTACGCCTCTTTTACCACTGAAATTAAACTCAAACCACAAAACAAACAAACTAAAAAAAAAACAGACATCAACTGGCAAATCATTTGTAACAACACACTCACCATGTCACCCAACTCTAACATACAGCTAATTCAATGTAAAATACTACAAAGGACACACATCTCCACCCATTAAATGCACCTCCTGGGCCTAACTGACAACAAACCTTGTATACACTGCCAAACCATGACAGATAATTACCCCGATGTATTTTGGTACGGCCCCCCAGTTAAACGGTTTTGGTCGGAGGTCTTTGGGTAGCTATCCAAGATTCTTAACCTCAACATCTTACTCTCCCCCCCACTATAGCCCTGCTTGGTGACCTTTCTTCTCTAACAACCCCAGAACATCTCCAAATATTCATCCGTATCTCCACAACAGCGCTTAAAAAAATGATCTTACTCAATTTGAAAGACGGGACAAAATTGTCACAAAAACATTGGCATAACCTGCTAACAGAGCACTCAAAAGTGGAAAAACGTACATTCACCGTAAAAGATGATATCACATATCACCTGCCACAATTACATTTGATCCTCATTCATGCCATTTGTTCAGAAGTGATCCCTCTGAACACTACTCCACATCCATCTGTTCATCCTTTTTTATTTCTTTTATTTTTTAATTCTTTTATTTTATTCGTATTTTCTTTCTCTACCCATCAAATTCAACACCCCTCAGTATGCCTGTTCAACAACCCTTAGCACATCGTCATTCATCTGAGATACATTTAGTTCAAACTTATGAGACAGAAACAATTTGGACTTATCAATGATGAATACATAAATCTTCATTACTCATTGTAAACACATTGGGTTTATTGGTTTTATTACATAAATCAAATTTTTAATTTTTCAATTTACATTTGACTGATGAATATGCAGCATATAAAGTTTATTGGCCTGTTTATGTTAATAGAAATTAAATTGGATGGAAAATTTGTATGCAACAAGGCCGAAATATAGTGCAGGAAATTTTTGTTTGAAGCCAGTAACTTTATTCTTGTGATACTTTGACTTCGATCTTGGAATCTTAACTTTTTTCTCTTTCTCAATGCGGCCCTAATCCTCTGTTGTAGTAGAGCTTCTATTTACTCTCTTTATATGACTTGTTTTGGCTGCAGATATTTCTCTTACTAAATCAAAGGGGGCTAAAATATCATTACTCATCGCATTATCAAAAATGTAATGGTTTGAGATCATGATTCAAACTTTTCCACTGACTGATGGTCCTCTTTGCATCACTTATAATTACAGGTTAAACTTCTGCAGTAGCTTTACTACTGTCCAGATGATGCAATAAAGCCTCTCTGCTCCATGTCAGAGTTTAACGTCACTCAGTTGTGAAACTCAGTAAAAACTGACTGAACCGGTCGGTGAGCTTTACATCAGTGATCATCCACTTTCAGACTTTTAGAGTGTCGACATCCACCCTTCACACACTCAGAGCCTGGCGGGATGAAGGTGTGGACCCTCCCACACAGCCTGTGACTTACCTGACATTTTGACAGCTGAACATGTGTGAATAAGAAGATGGATGTTGGCTGGATTCCACTCCACTGATTCAGCTGCAGGATGCAGAAATCAGCTCATTGGCACAGAATAATACATTTTTGATAAATCAGAAAAGTTAGTGGCTTTCATAACTTTTCTGTCCCAAATTAAAAAATGTAAACGCTCTGAAACTATCAAAAATATCTGTCATGGTGCACTGTTAAAATAATGACAACTGGGGTGTATTTATAGGCAGATTGTCACACTTCTTCCTTTAAAGAAATGAAATCCTTATTGCTTCTCTATCCCTAATTTATATTCTCCAACTAAGTCCACAAAACAATCATTTCTTCACACATATTGGTTGTAACAGTAATTGTGTGCAACTCTCCATTTTACGCTGTGTAATGTTATAGCAATATCTGATTTTGAATCCTATCAAAAGGCTACACTCAGTTTGGGTTTCCATAATACTTGAACAATTTTCTCAGCAAAATTCAAATCCAAAAGAAAAGATATGAATAAAGTGTAAAGTTCAGTTATGTGTTTTTTTTTTTTTTTTTTCAGTAGTAGTTATACCAAAGAAAACTTTGGGACTCGTTTAAGCTTATTAAAGCTGATCTGCCATTCATACAAATGATACTATACAATACAAGGTAATCGTAATAAGACACCCACTCCACCCTTAAGAGTAGGCCGCAAACTTTCCTCTTTGATAGGGGTTACAGTTAGAGCTGGTTCAGGCCTGGGCCAGCTCTTTATTACTGCCAGGGGAACTGGCATATTGAGCACCTTTCCCTCCTTCTCTATCCTCCTTCTGTCAGTTTCATTTACTTTGAACTAAGATGTCCCATTAGACTCACTAATACATACTTTTCTGAGAGTCCCTGAGCTCCATCGTGCTGTAGGTTCCTCTGGATCTCTGCTGCAGACGCCTCGCTGTCATGGACCTGCCTGCTTTCCAGCTGCTTCAACTGTGTGCATCAGTCAAACCTCTGTCCATTTTTCTCTGTCAGCATCTCCCTCTATATATCATCTTATCTTTTTAATAAGACACAACTCAATATGATAGAACACAACATGATACTATATGGTAGGCTATGATTTGATGTGATATGATACGATACTTTAAGGTTAACATAATCTTGCTGGTGTTTATTAAGTTACCTCGAACAGGAGAAAATATTATTAGACTCACATTAAGACGGCTTACACAGTAATTTAAGCAAACAATAACATTCATAATTCATACCTTAACAGACAACTAGAGCCACAAACAACATATGTCACTGATTACACGTGAAGTTTATGCTCTAATTGCAAGAATTGAAAAAAAAGGATTCTGGTATGAACAAACAGACTTGTGCAATCTGTCTGATTGCCTCACTTCCAAAAAGATTTACCCTTGCTCTGGGAGGAATTTCAGGCCTGTGAGCGTCTGAGCAGCATGAGGGTGTGTCTTCTCTGTCCTTATGTATTTAAAAGAGGTCTGAACTTGTATTCTGTCAAACACAAAGGTAGAGCAGAGCGAAGATTTCCTCCTCCAATCTGATTTCACATTTTTCCAACTACAGAACTGAGTGAGTCCGAATCAGCTTTTTCACGTTTTATTCTGTTAGATCTCTGATTTATGACTTTATGTTGAGTCATTTTAAAACTTATCTCCTGAGCAGACTGCTCCTGGATCAATTTTCCTAAGTTAAAGAAAAGAAGATTCTTACTAATAATGTTTTTGTTCCTCTCTGTGAGGACAGGTTTATGCAAATAATGGTCTAAAAGTTTACACAGTGCTATCCTTCACTTGATTAATTCTGACTTGTCGTGGATCTGCTTCCTGAATGGTTTTCATTCTTCACTCCCTGCTGTGTGTGACAGCTATAAAATACATGATCTATCTGCTAGACTAGAAGAGACTGCAGGCAGTCCTCTGTAAAAATATGTCATATATCACAAATGACTTCCAGCTACAGCAGCATTTCTCTGCTGTTGAGGTGAGTGAAGTAGATCAGCACAAAAAAACACAATATAACAAAAATAGCTCAGGATCAGGCGTTAATGTAAGAGTGCCAAATCAAACCCTGTCCTAGCTTTTATTGTGAAGAGGTCTTTTAGATGAGTGGGCTTTGGTCATCAGGTCTGAAGATGGAGGTATGAGGCTCGTGGGTCAGAACGCTCCTGGAGGATATGGTGATGAGGGGAAAATGTTAAGACCTTTAACAGGATCATGAGAGTGAACTTTGACCCTCTTATGTGACCAAATGTGCCTAATGTGTGTGTGTGTGTGTGTGTGTGTGTGTGTGTGTGTGTGTGTGTGTGTGTGTGTGTGTGTGTGTGTGTGTGTGTGTGTGTGTGTGTGTGTGTGTACAGCATGTTGGATGTGTGTTGCATGGAGAGATGGAGAGATAACTGTATAGTGAGAAAATCAGGTCAAAGGTATTAAAGCCAAAAGCTGCCATAAATATTATAATAATTATAAGACAAAAGCTTTGTAAGTAAATTTCTCACACATATCTAAAGTAACACTGGAATAATTGTGTCACCTAATTTTTTTTTTTTTTATTATTACATATTCATTTATTTTAAAAAAAAAAAAACAATGGCAATTTGCCTTTGATAGAGAAATTGATACTTAGCATTTGAAAGACAAAAGCTGCAAAAGAATAAGGATTCAACAAATTGTACAATTTACAACCAGATAAATAAATATTGATTAGATGAACAAAATGCATTTAAATTTGTGAATCTAGCTATTCATAGTTTGGTATCATACAAGTCATATACATATGTTATAATCATTGATATAAATGTATTGGAAATCCAGACAAATATATGGAAAAAAAGTTGCCACGATTACCACTAAAAACATAATCAAATACATGATGAGTAAATATTAAAAGAAGTTTATATAAATTTACCACAAACAGTAACACAAAATCAAAATGCTCAGAGCTAATTTTGCTCTAACCACCCTTTAACATGTTTGTTAAAAAACTTTGTACTTTACAAAATGAGCGTTGAAAACATTAAACTTGTTTTTTCTAATGTATAGAATCATTAGAAACACAGAAACAGAGTAATATACACCAGAAAAACATAATGTTTCAAGAAGTTTACTAAAGGGAATTACATCTAAAAAATAAACTTTAAATTGCTCATCTATTTATTCATTTGATTGAATTTAATATTAGCTGCCTCTGTCCTCCATGCTACTGCAGCAGATAATGGGCTGATGAGAATCAGAGGTAATAGCAGGTTCTGCAGCAGCATTTTATCATCATGTACATCAGGTCACAGAGTTCAGGAGGATCTCTCTCTGCTGTGCAGCTCGATGAAGGTTTTATCTCCTCGTCTCTGTCTCTGTTTACGCTGTAGTGTGAACATTTTATCTTAGCAGATTATTGGAAGCAGCAGAAAAGTGATTTATAGGTCTGAGTGGGAAGGTCTGACACATTTTAAAGCAGACTGTAATCTGAACCACAAAATATTTGTTCTCATAGTTTTGGTGCTGTGGTGGAAGTAATTTAAGTTCTGCAATAGTAATAGAGGTTTTTAACAATAATCAGAACCAGAACCAGAGCCATATACCCTGATCCTGCTGTAAACATGCACAGTCTATCAGTTTGAACTGCTGAGGTGATTTGCATGTTTCAATGCGTTCGAAAGTTTAACCATGAAGAGCTTGTTTGATTTCCCCAGCTCCAATGTTTAACTTTGATGTCTACACAACCTTTGCATGATTTATCAATGACGTCACCCACTGATCTGAGCCAAAGCCCAGGGATTGTCCCCACATTCGAAACATCAGAAACACCAACTCCATTCAACTTTGGATCAACCTTTAAAAAAAAAGGGAAAGAGGCTGTATGCTGCCTGCAGGCAAACAGCCCACCCACCTCAGCTATGCCTCCAATTAAACAAATTTAACTCTAACTCCAGTGCTTAGAGAGGGTGTTTTTGCTCTGGTCACAGTACCACCACTTTTAATTTTAATCCCTAGGCATATCAGGACCTCCTACTAGCAGCAAATTTCCTTTCCTGTCCTCTACATATCACAGTGTTTCTTTTTGATTCAAAGCATTACCCATTATACCGATACTGAGTGTGTAAAAGACCAATAAGTCAGTAAGGCTAGAACTGGTACTTACACCTATATTGTCTAGCCTCAAACAGAACTGTTAGCATGACTTTAAAACTGCTATTTGTTATTTTTATATCACCAATAAAAAACCTTCTGTTAGTGTTTGTGTTCTTCTTTGATAATTTGAAGTGATCCGATTGCTTTTAATACTGACTTTAGGCATGTTTTGGCTCCTCCTTTTAATGCTCAGTAGCTCTGTGAGTTAAGTAGAAACATGAAATGCACAGACTGAAGCAGCCTGCATGCCCAGACTGGACTTTTTTTAATGTATATTGTTTCTTTTTTAGTTTGTGACTGCAGTTCAAATGATTCACAATCTTGAGCTGGGTGGAGGTGTTTGACCTACTGAAATCTCTGGCTGTCATTAATTGTTTCATTTTTTTGGCACATTAAAAGAGTGATCTCACTGTCAGTCTAAGTTGCTTCATCAGAGGCGGTTAGTCTTTGAATAAAAGGGTATGAGCGGGCTCATGCCGTTTCTTCTGACAGACAAATCAGACTCCAAAGAGAGAAAAAAACAAGGTATGGAAGATCTGACAGAGAGCCGCATCAGCTTGGGATTTGTAGGACCCATGAATTATTTCCCTTGACAGTTAACCTGAAAAATCTGACTTTAATCTCCTATACAGAGGCCAGAGTTTGGATCCGTACAACCCTAGGGAAGTAATTTCCCTCAGTGAACATTTATGAATCGCAGCACAAGCTCACCTCTCAGGAAAACCTCCAGACTCACATGTCAGGTTGAAATTCAGATCCAGAAGTGAACAGTGGATTACAACAAAGCCATGTTAAATACTTGATTCTGATTGATTAAATCTCCATAAAATTGTTTAATAATTCTCAACAGCAAATCAAAGCGGAGTACTTCTGCAGAATTCTTATTCACTTTGTCCAATTTCAAGGTCAGACATCAAGACCTTTTTGTCTTTTATGATGGGTACGATCAGATTGCATCCCATGACTTCATCACCAGACATGACAAACTACAGGATGTTATCTGATCTACGTGATGACAGTGAAGAAGGGCTGGGTGGTTAAGATGACACTCACCTGCACTGTGCATGCATTGGGAGGTTGGTGAGAGGAGCCCTTGCTGTGGAAATATTACTGACTGTAAAAGGGCATAAACAAAGGGTAACAACATAATGATTGGGTCCAGAGAGGACAGGATCTTGCACAGAAATTTAAATTCTAACTGGTGGGCTGCTCTTAATCTAAAAAGACACTCAGAAAACAGTCAAAATTTAGCTAAATTTATCATACATAACTAACATGAGATTACAGAGCTATGGACCTTGTTGCAGATTACACATTGCTCCAGATATATTGCCATATGCCAGTCTAACCAGAGGCAGCTACATACAACTATACTTCCATTTCTTAGTTCAAAATACTGACAAGCCACTATTCACTTCAAGATGCCATCTGCCAACTGTTCTTGTTTACATCCAGGTAGTAGATCATCAAAGCAGCACCACGGCAGTAGGCAGTACACATTACTGAAGCTGCATTAGACTGGCATTTCAGGCCTTCAAGGGCAACTTGTTCAACTCACCGGTATTTTGGGTGCCAGCTAACAAGAGTGATGATATTTCATCATTTTAAGAGCTTTAATATAATTAAAATAGATGTTTGTAAAACTTGGCCCCATACAGTGTGTGGGGTTAAGATGTTGAGCAACACAAACCAAGACTGTTTTTGTACCAGGCTGTAAACTTGTTTACCCCGTGGTGAATGTTCATTCAACATTTTAACATGGTCCTCTACGCAGACTGACTTACTTACAGAGACAGCCTCTAGTGGCCATTCAAGGAACTGCAGGGTGATTTTTACACAACTTAATCTGCTTCACTTTCTACCACTAGAGGACTTTGTAAAAAGTCCATTGCCATTTATGCAGGGCCTTCAGAAGACCTCAAGTTTGGCAAAGAGGAGGACTCATATAGTGATGTAGTCAGAAGAGGTTTGAGTTTGAGAAGAGCGCTGTGAAGTCTAATGACCAACCGCTGTTGTACACCCATAGGAGGTTCTGCAATTATTTCTCTGTTCTCCTCATGGAAATCTTATTTCACCAGACTTTCACTCTAAAATGCTGTGTCTGCTTTGTGTCATTCACTCTCACTGACAAAGCCCAACATTACATTTTCAAACACACAAAGGACTGGAATTAGAAACGTCTGCCTCTCAGACAGTAAAACATGTTGTTGTGTCGGAGCTGTAATGGGACTGTCAGCCTGCTTCACAACAGTGTGGTGATAAGAAGGATTCAGCGAGAGTGGGTCAGCTGTGGCCTGTTTTAAAAGGCCTTTTATTCCTCTAATAGGGTCAGTGGACAATAGATTACCATTAGGAATAGAGGAAGTTTATTATGCAAGAGTTTTGAGATATGATAAAGTTTGCAGAGCACGTTGCGTGAAATCAGGAACACAATGATTTTTGATGTTGTATACATCTTTAGAGATTTGGTTCATATTGAATTATAACGCTTCACGCCCCAATCTTTGTGTTTGTTTTTGTCCTCAGGATGCCTGTAGAGACAACACATTCAATCAGAGACAGGTCTGCAGTGGGTCGCTTTCCAACCGTCACTCTCTTCGGGGACGACTCAGATGAAGAGTTAGAAAAAGAAGAGGAGGACAATAACGGAAAAGAAAATGGATGTCAGCGTTGGCTGCGTAAAGTCTGCCCGTGCTGCTGTCCTAAAACAATTGATGATGATGTCACAGAAACTGTGGAGACAGCCCTTGAATATACCGATAAAGAGGAAGGGGGGAAACTGGAGCCAGAAACTAACGAGCTCAACGGTAACCTAAGTCTTAATGAGCCAAGCAGTTTATCTTTCCGACAGGTAAACTAAATGTTTGTTTTTCTCCTGCAGAACTCCTCTTGAAGGTGCAGTCAATAGATTTGATGAAAAGTAAATCAGGGCAGAACCGCACAGAACACCACACAGATGTGTACCAGAGTGAAAACTTGATCATCCGCAGAGGACAGACCTTCCAGATGTGGATCACATTATCTCGAGCGTTTGACCCGAGTACCGACAAACTTCACCTGGAGCTCAAAACAGGTCAGTCAGAGTCATTAGCAACAATATAGACACATTCTGTGACTTGAAGGCAGTTTGGAAGACTTGTGCACATTGTTTCTTCAGAACACCATAATATAAAGAATGTCCAGGTCCTCACTCTTCTAACTTTGGCTGCAGAGTTACCCTCAATTTCCACCACCGGAACAGCAACGAAAAGGCCATATCCGCTGATTGTAACCATTCAAGTAAATGTGTCACTTTCCACCAGCTTCTTTCCCTTCCACTGCAGATCGCAGGACTCCGCAGCTGATCGCAAGAGTTCGATTACTGAAATTAAACACTCTGTGTTTCAAGCGGATGGTATTTCACACCATGCAAATAGGCGGGGACGTACAAGTGAAAGGTTTTTTGACAGCATTTCACCCCAATGACACCATGGATGAGAAGATGCTGATGCTAGAAGTCTAGAAGTGGATTTCCTCCTCAGGAGGGACACAATCTACTGCTTATATGGTTATGTGACAACTCGTTATGCACATGAATCCGCGGGTTCTTGTGAGTTCTCGCGATTCCCGCTGTCCGTAATGCGCCACGAAATTCGCCTCACAAACAGATCTGGTAGGTATTGGCGGACGGCGAAAAATCGCAACTCATGATTTTGTGTGTTTCTAGAATAAGCTGTACGCCTCTTTATAGTAACTGAACAGACTCCAGGTCTTTCATTGTAACATACATGAAGTGCTCAGCAAAGATCGTAAACACAAAGAAAGAGCCATGGTATGTTCACATTTCTTGTCCCCTCCTCCTCTTCAGGGTTTGCCACCTCTTTCACACATATCTTCCTCCTCTGCCCGTCTGATTGTCTCCATCCATCTTTGGGTTAAACTCTCCTGGCTAATGTAGGTGTTTTCGCATCATTAGACACAACTGTTTGTAGTTTGGGGCGTAAACTAGACACCTGTGGTCACCGTTATGCAGCACAAGTACAGAGTCAAACTGTCTTAGCTGTGTTCGGAAGTGCAAAATGGTCATCGTTTGATTCAAAGAAAGGGATATGGTGTTGTAGCAATTGTGAAAAACTGTACACAGCTCTGGGAAAAAGGCTGCTTTTAGCCTTGTGTGATGCGATTGTGTTGTTCTGACAGAGGGAGTGAAATGAAAAAGGTAGTAACCAGTGTGTCTCAGGTCACGGGCAATATGTTAGGCTCTACAGCAACAGCAGGTTTGACAGATGTCTTCAATCGCTGGCAGCTGTGTCCTCGCGATGTTCAGGGCTGCTCTGTTGATCCTGTGAAGTGCCCTTTGCTCCTTTTTGGTATGCTGTTAAACCACGCTGTGATTCAGTGAGTGAGGATCCTCTCTACAGTGCACCTGTGGAGGTTGACCAGGAAGATGTCCAGAAACCAAAATATATTACCTCTTTTAAAGAAGCTGAAGTACTGCTCTGCAGAAAATTCAATCTAAGCAAGTGTTGGTATCTTATCTAAAAAAGTTTCAAGCTACATTCACCGGACAAGTCCAGGATGATACCTTATTTCTGTGAATGTGTAATGAGTACAAAAAGAAATCTGAGCATGGTAAGAGAGAAAAATGCTGTACAGCTTCTTGGAAGAATTATCTTATTACAAGAAACTTAAAAAGTAATTTTTGAATGAGATAAAAAAAAATAAAAAAAACAATAAATTTACAAATTTCAATTCAGTTACAGTAGACAAAAAAAAAATATATTTTTTTCTTATTTCATTTGGAGATTTTCATTGTAAGCAATTTAGCTTTTTTAAATTGGGATACTGTAAATCTTAAAAGACCGAGATTCAATGAAGACTGGCTTTCACTTGTATATAGAAATATGGATGATGACACTCCACCATGCGTACCTTCTGTACAGTAAGGCTGTAACAGTGTTATATCTAAAGTGAACTATACCACGGACCAGCAGTATGCTTCAGTTTTCTATTTTACTGTGATTGATATTACCACTCATTTTTAGCATGTCCACTTTCTGCTGCTCCAAACTGCATTGTGACCTCTAATCCTGGACACATTTAAGTCAATGCACTCCCAGTATGTGGTAAATTGGACAAAAGGGAAAGTCAATAAGAGGGGTCCCTTCACGCTGATAAGCCAAACCTCACAGTTTAATCACCCTTCTCTCTGGAGCATGCAGGAAAACCAAATTCTGAAAAATAAATTATCTGTTGTGCATAATGGCATCATGATGCTTATAAATACTCAACAGTTGGTAAAATGTCCCCCTAATGTCCCGATATGTGGCCTAGTTTTTTTCAATAGAGCAAGCCTGCCTCATATAAAGGCCTGGTACCCCAGGCTGTATATTTGAGGATATACTGCAAGACATAATTTGGACTTGCAGGTAAATGTGAGGGATTTTAGTTTTTGCAGTGTGATTTGGCAATTGTAATCATTACTGTCTGTTAATTCCCTGTGGTTTGTAAAATTAGGAAATAAGAACTTGCTTACGAGGTGAATTGAAAATGTAAGAATATATCCTGACTAAAATTGAGATTTTACAGAAAAGACATGAGTTGTTGCAGTGACACTGAATGGTTAGTGTTTTTGAATACTATAGTCTGAATGAACACATTTCCTTTATAATTTTGACAATAGCTGTCCTAATATTTGACTCTATTCTGAGCTCAGGATGACAAAGACTTCCCTCTCTTTTCTTTTCGGTCAGAATGAAGAAACAGGATGTACTAGGAGAAGTGTTTTGTGTCTTTATGTCTTACAGTGTTAATTTGTCTGCTTTTGTGTGTGTATGTGTGTGTGCAGTGTATGGACTGTGATGGATTTATAGAAAGACAGAGGGGGAAGCAGATTGGAGGGAGAGATTTTTGGTTACTATTGCTATGGGAACAGTCCTAGTTGCTAAGCTCCAGTCCTCAGTCCTTCTCTTACTAAAAACCTTGTCTACAATTCTCAGCATCATTCAGCCTGGACCGAGAGTCAGAGCCTGAGCAGCCACCTGTTTACCCAGAGTTCATTTCTGCTGCCTCTGACACTGTAAGACAAATATAGATCCAGTAATTACAGCTGAGTGTGATAACCAGCCGGGCTCAGAGATAATAATTACTACGTCTCCTTACATAAAGCCTGTGTGCATGTAGCAGGGATAAAAACTTGACCCTGTGTCTTACTCTGAGGATGTTTTTTATGCAGATAAAGTAAATAAAATTGTGACATCTAGTGAAGAGAAATTAGGTAATGACTTTAATTAGGTCAACAATGAGAGAAAAAAAAACAAAACAAGGTTGACTTTAAGACAGAGTCCACAGAGAGAAAAACAAGCAGGGACCATGAAAAAAAAAAAACACAATTCATTCTTTTGATCATTTTAAACCAATAAAATTGTCCTTACATCAACATTTACGTTGTTGTGTTGTTCTGAGCTCCTTATTAAAAGAAACCAAGGCTCACAAAGAGGAGACCAAAACTAAAAAGACCTGTAGACCCACTCTAAAATAAACAACAGATAGGAAGGTCCTGGGCCGACACACAGCCCACGGAACCTTACCTGCAACAAAAAAAAGTACACTAGTACACTAGACTACAAGTAATCTCCAGCCCAGTCTAAAGCCTAAAACCCACAGGATGTGTTGGGCATGTTTTGTCACCATTGTGTGCAACACAGCAAATACATTCCCATTCCAATCAATGTAGCGCACACACAGGATGTGTCCCAGAAGTGTCTCTATGCGCTGCTCTGAAACGCGTAGAGTCTTTTCTCGGTTGAACATGTGCCCAGCATGTGTCAATCTGCACAGAGAAGATTGTCCTTGACAGGATGCCACACTTGGGAGAGGCACATTGAACATAGTTTATCAGTCAATCAAAACCTTATTTAAACAAAAAGTGACACAACTATTCACAACAGAAAACATCAGTACCTGAAATCAACCACTGACTTGATTAAAACTTGACATCAGGTTCAGTGTCAGCTCTGATCTCCTCATTTAGTAACAAACACAAACATTCTAATAAACTGTGACCATGAGCAATCATTTAGTCATTTATTTAAAAAAAAAAAACGTCCATCTGTCACAGCAGAGATGGGCAGACAGCAGTAGCAGCAGCAGCACACAATGCCAGTTTTAGTCCTCTGAAACTGAGAATCATACCAGCACTCCAAAAACGATGGACATCCATCTCAAAACAAACAAACAAAAAAAGACAGATTTCAAACCTGCTCTCAGCCCAAACACTGTACCCCCAGCCCACAGCCCCCCCAGCATGGAGCTGATCACAGCCCAGTCTGAAACAGTGTTGTTCTTTATAATTCAAGTAGAAGCCAATGACAGCTGAGAGCTCCAGCTCTGAGGTCTACTGATCATTTTCAAACTCTGGAGCCCCACAACTACTCAGAGAGGCAGCAATTTTTATAACACCTCACAGATTGGAAGTGTGCAGAAGATTGAAAGGCAAGCTGACAATTTTGTTGTTGTGAGTCTCACCTGAAGCTGTTTTTCTGCTCCTGAGAGGTGAAGATGAAAGTCCCAGATGTTGGTTGCATCAGGGGGATTTTTCACGCCAAGGAGAAGAATGGTTTCTGAACATTTCATGAAAATCTGCCTCTGAAATAGTGAGAAAAACAGTCGATATTTTAACTCCTCTGTCCAAGAGAGAAGCTCAGGGAGTGGTGTTAAGGGGATATTTTGATGTTTGGGGACACTTTTGTTGTCAGAAGTCTGATGCCAAGGCCAGTTTGATGTTTGGATCCATTCAGTTGTAGTTGCAGTCTGTGGCAGCTTTTAATCTCTTTTTTTATCCAATTTGTGCAAGAAGCAGGAACACAAATATCTGACAGAGATAAAATGGTGATTCAACTGCAATCTAATTCTGCAAGAAAGCACAGAGATTTTCCTCAAAATTTAATCTACACTTTTTTCATTTTAGATGCATTTCACAGCGTTTTATTTAGTCTTTTTATGGTTGCATCAGCAGTAGTGCTTTACTCTGTGTTTCACTCAGTCCCAAACTGCAGGCAGTGTTCAGGTTACTTCATGTTCACTCGTAGGTAGGTAGGTAGGTTTGTTTGGCAGCAGGCCGATGACATCCAGTTTGACATCCAATTACATAACAACCATTACTGGAAATGAGACAAAACAATCAAAATACAGACCATGGAAAGAATGTTTCAGACTGAGTACGCTTGCAGAAAAATTGTTGATGTAGTCACTGTTTCAGAATTTTTGTTCTAGTACAATAGGCTTCACTGTTAAGCTTTATCATGTCTGTAACCAACAAGCCTTTAAAGTGCCCACACATGATATTTAAATGTGAAATAAACACGACATTCACAATGAAAGGATATTTCCTCAGTCTAGTCCATGTGCTCTCTTGAAACAGATGTAGCATGTCCTTAATGGCCTCCATATCTCAAACAGACCTGTCACTTCCAGCAGACCCAGACTCTGTTTATCTAAACTCCAGCTGATGACAACATAAATCCCACCTGTCTTAACAGTTGGCCTCTCACAACCCCCACACTCCAACCATTGGAAGGGCTAACATAACAGATCAAGTGTTTCAAGTTCTGTTTCATCAGCTTTGCCATCAACAGTCACCTCTGTCCCGTGTCAGGTGAAAGTAGAGGGAAAATTCTTGAAGCTATCCCCATTTGGGTCAGTCTGTAGGCTGTATCTCCCAATGCTTTTGTATTTCCATGAGGGGAGAGAAAACAGAGAGAAGCATCTGTTGAAAGATGAGATAAGACAAGACAGGCAAGTTGAGGAAAAAAGTCTGTTTAAGCTCAAGCTTCTGGGTGTAATCGTTCACTTTTCCTCTTCTTGTTTTTATGAGAAAAGATAAGACTGACAGGGTGATCGAGAGGGGGATGGTCTGTAGATGGATGTTACAAAAGTGAAGAGAAGGCAGAGCTGGGGTGATGATCCTGTTTGGGTATATCGAGCTTTTGTCCACTATGTTAGACAGAATCCTTAACCTCCCCTTACTTTAGCAATTTTCAAAGGAAAAGTGGAGAAAAAAGAAATGTAAGGCAGAGGGCAAAGACCATAAGGCCAGGTCCAGAAGCCTGTTTGTTGTACTCTCTACCTTCCTCTACATCCATTTTTATGAGGTGCAAGAGATAAAAGCAACACATAGAGGAGTCAGTCAGGAAATGTGAAAGAAAAGACAAGAGAAGGAAACTCCAAAGGCTGTACACGCTACCTTCCTGAATACCTCTGTTTTCATGAGAATAAAGGTCCTTACACACCGGGAGCAATGCAAATATACAATGCGAAATTACGAAATATTCAGAGGCAAATTTTTACATGCCTGGCTATACATATCAAGCATGATATGATTTTGCGACTTTCTGGGGGGGAAAAAAGACATGTCTCAGGTGAAAGCGAGAAGACTGACACAACACCAGACTGACTTTTGTTCAGTTCTGTTTAGACACCAGTGTTGAGATGGCTGTCTGTCATGATAGCATGTTCTGAGTCGGGGTCAGTACCAGATAAGCACATTAAAACATAATCCATAAACGTAAGGTAACAATTGAGAGCTAATGGTGCTGTGACAGCAACGCTGTGATTAAGTTTGAGACAGTGAAAATACATATGCTATGTTGTATCTGAGCAGGTTATCTTATGAGCTCCAGTTACTTAGCACTGATGAAAGTTTAAACAAAGACATTTAGCAAACCGTTAAAGTACACAAACCATCGTCAAACGAGAAATCCGATGCTATGACTCTTCACAAGTTGTCCTTCAGGTCGTTATCTTTGTAATGTTTGTGTCTTTTATCAGAAAGCACTCTGTTCTCTGACACTTAAACAATCAGCTGGTCGGCCATGTTGGATATACCGGTGAATCAGACGTCGCAACAACACGCAATCTGATTGGTCAGACGTGGACACACAGTATGTGAAACTTTAGAAAAATCAGCTGTGAAATGAAAAAACAAAAGCCGCAATACTGCAGGACGGGAAAACGTTGCTGATGTGAACAATTGTATTGACAGGATACGTGTTCGAACAAAAATATTGACGTCCAAAATAATCGTACGAAAAAAAGGGTCCCGGGGGGAAAGAACCTTAAGAGTCTACAGAAAAATGAAGTAAGAGGGTCGGAGACAGCAGGGTCAGAGTCATAGCACTGCTTTATCTCAAGCTCAGCCCTGTCAGGTAAACCTGTACACCCTACCTCCCCTTCATACCCCTTTTCGATGAGGAAAGAGAGAAGAGGGGAAAGACAGTGAGAATGTTCCTTTGAAAGAAATTAGGAAAAGGCAGAGCTTTAGTTTAAAAGCCTGTTTGGGCTCCAGCTTGGCCCTGCGGAGTTCGGCTGTACACATTACCTCCCCCTACTCCCCTATTTCCATGACTGAAAAGAGGAGATATAGAGAGGGTGAACTTTAATCTTTTAGTTTTGTTTTGGCCTCTTTCTAGCATTACTTCCTTTTCATCCAGATCCACTAACTTGTTCAAACTGTTTTGTTTGGCATCTCCTCCACTGCCTCTGTTAAATTCTCTCTGTGTACCCCAATAAAGCCAGACCAAATGTATGTTTAAAGCAGGAGAAGATTAGCAGAATTAGCAGAATGGATTGAGCCTCAGTTTCCCGGCTGCTTTGGGAGATTATCTCAAGCATTTCTTTTTAAAGTGACATTTTTATCTCACTCATTACTGTGACGTCTTTATTTCACTCATGGCCGTTACGCAAATACAAGCCTTCAATCAATCAGCCTACAAAAAACCTCAAGGTAACATGGCAAGATGGTGACTCGCTTCTGTAAAAGCGTTGGTAAACACAGAAAACAAAGGCACGCTCACACCCACAGAGGATGGAGGATCAAAATCAGGGAGGGGTGAAGTTTTCCACGCTCAAATCAAGCAAAACTAAGCAGCAGGAGTTTTGTCCTCATTGAACCCTCCCAACAAAACTAAGAGAAAATCTGATCCGTGACATTAGTCAAGACTGAGGTTTGGCTGAGATTATCTGATTGGGACATTAGGGAGGGACCTTAAGCAGATGAATAGGGGCATACTGGTGCCATCCTGTTAATCATTGTACAACATTAAGTTTTCAGGCTGGTTCTAGCATGCAGGCTTGTAACAGGTACAACTAGATATCAATCAGGGCTGATTAGTGAAGGAGAGACATGGAAAGATTTGGCAACTACAGGGCTGTTATGTGATATCTGACATTCTGCTTAAAGATGTCCATTTTTTTTTGGTTCAGAATTTTCAGCATGAGAAATTCTTTGTACCATGTCTGACAAACCATAACAAATGATCCCCAGTCAGGACCAAACCTGTCAAGTTTTTGGTGACAGAGTTCAGTTTGGAGAGGCAGAATAATGTTTTATTCATATATACATAAATTATAATACAGGTGATTTGTGGGACAATACTAATATGGCAAGATGGGGGGGAAGAGGGGTAAAATACGGTAGTTTCCCAGCCAAAACAGGATACTTGACAGCTATGGTCAGGACAAATGTGCTGCAAACAAACATTACATATTCAAAAACACATTTGCAAGCATAAAAGAAATACAATGACAAAAATTCACAGCAAAAAAATTATGCAGCAAGGAGAGAAAAAAACTGCAAATGTGCTGCAAGTACACAAAAAAGAAACCAAGCTCTATTTTAGGAGCACTGTTACGCTTCAGCACTGCTCTTTTCCTTTATTGTCAACAGCTGTGAAATGAGTACTGATCCACACAGTCCCCCTCTGCTCCTGAGGATACTTTCTGACCTAGCGCTTCGTGAACAACTCAGTTCTTGGTAGTTTGATGATGAAGATGATGATATGGTGGTTTTATGTTGATGTTAATTACAAGTATAGTTTCAAGCAAGGACACACCCAGTATGTTGTCCGCAAGTGGCAGCTCTACATCTGACTGCTGCCTGTGATTCATTAAAAGTCTTCACACTCAGAGTCTGTGTTTCAACATTCTTCATTAAATTCAGGTCAAGTGCATCGACGCAGTCTGAAATGGCAGTGAGGATGATCATGTAGCTTTTTCACTAAGTAGAGAAAAAAATTAAACATGCGTGCACATGCACAAATTCATTCAAAATGTGCCTTTAGGAAAAAGTCTGTGTATGCCTGGATTCATTATTTATTCATATCGTAGATTATTGCTGTCCATTTTTCACAAAACTGCTTTTTTTCCCACTTTGAAAGCAGGTATAGCACACTCAGGAGCACAGAACAGAAAAACTGAATCATATATCAGAGCTATATATCCTTGTCAGACAGTAGCAAATGGCTCCAAACCTCGATCATCAAGCAACACACCCACTATTGTCTGAAAAGGACTTAAGTTTTCTATATAAACAGATTACACAACAAATTGGGCCATAGACGTCATCTGTCAAATCCAGTTTCAGTGTTACCTCCTACGATGAGGCAACCATTGATAATCGTTTGCTTTATTATTGATGTTCTTCAAAAAAATTTAAAAATCCTTTTCATTTTTGTGCGTTGCCTTTGACACTGTTTGGCAGTACCTGCGTCAAAATGGACTTAAAGCACTCGTTGCTCTTACTGATCTTGTTTCCTCTTGTCTAGAGCTTTGTTTGTGTTGTTCTTGTTCCCGAATGTGCGTCGCTTTGGATGACAGAGTCTGCTAAATGACATTGTTACATTGTGAGTCAGACTGTGAGCAATGACAATTGCACACAAAAGAAAGTCTTGGCCTTGAAACCTATTCTGTGCTGATCTTAACTCTGCTGGTTACACCTACAGATCACCCAAAATTTGTAGCTTCTATTGGCCGTTCTAACCCCGTCAGTCAAAGGCTGACAGGTTCTGAAATATAGTGTATCTGCTTGTAAAGTATTACTGAACTGTTAAATGCAAGGTTTGAATAGGTGATTTTCTTCCCAGAGAAATAAAAAACAGGATTTGCTTGGATCCCCGCCAAGATTTACAGTTTCTTTCAACACCAACCACAAACAGCTGTCAGAAATGTTTTTGTATGGAGCAGTTCCAAATTGATCGAATGCTGTCATGACATGCATTTGTTTGTGTGTGTGTGTGTGTGTGTGTGTGTGTGTGTGTGTGTGTGCGTGCGTGCGTGCGTGCGTGCGTGTGTGTGAAGAAAGTCCCTGGTTTCTGGTTTCTATTTACATAAACATTCCCCAGGTGAGGTTTGCAGGTGTGGTTGTAAATGGATGTGCTGTGCTTCACTTGGGCTCGGTCTGAACAACAGAAGCTTTTACACGCTGTGTGTTCCGTGTGTTCCTCATGTCTGTGTAACAACTGTGTCCTGTCATGCCCTCAGGCTCTCTGCCAACCGTGGCGAAGGGAACTCATGTCATCATCCCGCTGGTGGAGGACCTGGAGGACGGCCGCTGGGAGACTGCAATCGTAAAAAAAGATGACAAAAAGATAAAGCTGTCAGTGAATTCTCCGCCCACAGCCGTCATTGGTCAATATCAACTTACAGTGGAGACGGACTGTCCAAATGGCCAAGCCTTTTCCACACACAATCCTGAGAATGACGTCTACATTCTGTTCAACCCCTGGTGTGAAGGTAAACCAATTTCTGCAAAACCACCATGATCTCCTGAATTTGTTTGGAGCATGCTCAGGGCCTGACATTTTCCAGAATTACCTTCACCTAAGTCTTAAATCAGCCAGTTTTGGTTGTCATCTCTAGGTTACCTTGTTAGGCTTCATTATCCATGAAAATATTGCCTCTGGGCCTTTCTTTGTAAATATACCCCTCATACAGACATCTATACTGAATATATTTCACATATCTGGACAATCCAACGTTGTTTTTTGTGCAGAGAAAAACATGGCAAAATGAGAATTTCCTAAATCTCACATGATTGGAAGGGTAACTGACTGTCAGTGTGGTGCCTAACATTGCAATGACAGCATTTTATAATTTAGTCAATTTATTTTTTAATTTTTTTGAAATAGAGGTTCCTGACAAAGTTAAAAAGTCTTGAAACGTAAAAGCTAATTTATGTGGTCCTTTTAAGCGTTTAAAAACAAAAATGGGTCAGTGCAGACCCTAACACATAAGGAGGGTTAAGTAAGTAAAGACACGATAAATAAAGACTGCTTTGTAAAAATTGACACAAATCAAAAGTTCCTCACAGGAGCTTTAAGTGTATTTCAAACCCAGTTTCTAACAGCTTCATTTGTGTTGTATGATGACTGAAAAGTTTTCTTGAATCTGAGTAAACAGGCTTAAAGAAAGTACAGCAGAAATAGAGGTCTAATGATGGTTTTACATGAACACAGAGGTGGAGATGAGCTGACAGGCAGAGCCAACCTGGTTATTTCTCAATCTCAGCTAACAGGCTTCGACTTTATATTTAAAAGATCTGAGAGACATGAGAGTGGTGCTGTTATTCACCTTTAATTCTCCATTATTAGAATATGTCTCTAACTTCCTCCAAGTAAACGCCACAAAGAAACAAAAGAGAAATGCTCATCATGTCTTTTTAATGGACATGTGCTGAAACACTCATCAGGCCTTCATCAGTCTAAAAGCTTTTTATCTCAACAAGGCTGCAACAACCACCATCTCTGAAAACATTTTATAAGGCAGAGAAGTGCTGGGATAATGAGCATAAATATTTGGATGAATACCTGAACGCCTACAACAGGGTTGTGTTTCATAACTCTGTTTTCAGCTCACTGAAACTAAAGGCAAACTGCATAGAGAAGATGTGCAAAAACAACTACAAAAATGACTAGATTTTTATGAGAGTAGTTGAGTATTTGTGGGGAGTTTTATTTGCACAGAAGGAAGCCAGTTTTTACCAATATAATGCAAAAAGGCTCGTTCAGATCGGAGCAAACAGCACTGGTACTCGTAGACACATTTTGTTCTACAGCACAGTTTGTGCGATAGACAATATTTCCTGATTATTATTCTTTTTCACTTTAAAAGTCACTCTGATTTTTGCTCTCTCAGATGACACAGTGTTTATGGACTCTGAAGACGAGCGGAAGGAGTACGTCATGAACGACGTCGGCCGGATGTATTATGGAACACAGGATCAGATCGGGGTGAGGACGTGGAACTACGGACAGGTAATGCTGCCCCCTTTTGGTACATCTCCTTACTGACTGTCTATTAATATTAGGGCCGGCGCAGACGCTGCGAGCAGCGGGAGAAAGCCCTATTGAAATTGCAGAAATTATTTATTATTATGATAAATTTTTAACTTCTGTCCATTTTTTCACCCTCTAGACGGGCACAAAAGCTCCTGAAATTTGGCAGGCATGTTAGGCCCGGCTCAAATTCGTGTATTTTGCAGTGCTCCTATATATATGGCAAAAAAATGGCTCTTTAGTGCACCCTACAGTTTTAATGCTTGGGAAGTTTCTTGTATAACTTCCTGTACACTGGTTTCACCTCCACAAGATTTTAGTCATGTGATTACAGTCCAGCACCGGACAATTTGACACCAAACTTACGTCCGTATGTTGTAGCGCCACCTGGTGGCAGAGATTAATGCATTTTTGGTTAATGGCCTGCATCTCCTTCTTTATTGATGAGATGCAGCTAAGATTTGTTCAGGACACACCTGATGGGGTACAAGATAAGCCTGAAAATCAGTACCCTGTTTCATTTAACTGTGCCCAGGTGGTATTGGCGCAACACAGCTTGGGCCCATTGTTATTATTAATATTATTATTTTATTTTTTTATTTATGCATTTATTTATTGAGGTTTTCAAAAAATTAAGTCAGAACAGGCGATCATAACAAAAAACACAAATTATGCACAAGCTGAATGTTCCAATGCCTGTAGCTTCCCAAAGGCTCGCGCCTCGAAAGCATGTTCTCTTTACCAAACATACACACTCATACCCAGATGCTCATATACACACACAGGCTGATAATGAGTCATGTCACAAAGGAAAAGGAAGCACCGCAATCTCATCAAATTTACACACACGATCTGTTGCTATATGTGGATCTTTCCAGCATAGCTTTTTTAGAAGTTCATTTAACCATTCTTTAAGGGTAAGAGTGAACATTTTTCCATTTACAGTCCAGTACCTCTGAAGCTGCTGCAAAAGCCAAAGTCATCCAGTTAATGTAAGGCTGATGATCTAATCTGAAAAAAGTAAATAAATAAAGACAGGGCAGACAAACAGCAGGGTTTGGATTTATTTGCCAAATAAATGCAAAGCATTGTGCTTTGTGATCTTGACTTTACTTTTCCAGCGTTTCATTCTCTGCTGCACCAGTCTGGTCTGAAACTATGACTTTGAGAGAGGAGGACGCCGTTAAATGTTCACTCTGTCAAATACAACATTTATCTAAATTCTAAAGCAAATAAAGAGCAAATGAGTCTCATTATAGTGTGCCATTAATCTGAGATCATTTTGCTTACCAGCATATGTCCAGGGATCCCCGGTTCATGCAACAGCGTTTGTTTGTTTTTCAGGAGCTCCAGCTTGGTTGCTTTCTGTCTGTCATGCAGCTCCTGTTTGCATCAAACCATTGTTACCTGCAACATTCACAACATGCCAACCCAAGGGCAGATTACTTATGACTTCTTTGCCGAGCACTGTGGGAGTTTTTTAGAGTGAAATGCACCACTCGAAAGTGCAGTGGTGTTATTTATTGAGGCACTTCAACTATGAGGGACAAAATAGCATGCAAGTTTTGAGAAGAGCATCCCTTTTAGACCTTAATCATATCATAGTTGTGAGTCAACGCTGACAGCGCTAAGAAAGACATTGGCATTGCAGTGAGGCTGTCTGTTTTCTGTTTAATGAACATGACATGCACTGGGAGCCTAATCATTTTGTTGTTGTTGTGTTTGCAGTTTGATGATGGGATCCTCGATGCGTGCCTCTTTGCCCTGGAAAAAAGTGGGACTCCTCCGTCTGGTTGGGGAGATCCTGTGAATGTGGTGCGAGTCATCTCAGCCATGGTGAGATTTCAAAATCTTTTAACTTTCCTTTTGAAGAGAAACCAGCTCTTTGAGAGTCAGGTCACTGTGCAACTTAAACTGAGAAGAAGGAATAGGTTGCATGAGCACCTTTCTTTCCTGCTCAGTGCAAACAGTTTGAATTAATTGGTCTCAGAAGTGGAGGCGGTGTCATTATTTCTTTAAATCTCAGTAATACCTAAGTGCTGCTACATCGCAGGTTAACAAAATGAAAATAATTAGTTAAACTCTCTTCAGTCCTGTCAGCAGTTTCCACAGATCAAAGCAGCAGTTTAGCAAAAAAAAAAACAAAACTGCAGCATCCAGAGGTTTAAGGGGATAGATTTCCTGTCTGAGCATTTCATAGATGTCCTTTGAAGATTTGTAAGAGAAACTTTCCTTCTGTGTTCATCCAGGTGAATGCTGTTGATGACCAAGGGGTCCTGGAGGGAAACTGGTCTGGAGATTATTCAAAGGGAACCAGTCCAGCACTGTGGAGCGGCAGTGTGGAAATCCTGACTGAATATCATGAAAAAAAGGGAGTCTCTGTCAAATATGGACAGTGCTGGATCTTTGCTGGTGTCGTCACAACAGGTCAGACTGTGTTTACTTGTTAGTACAAGTAAACAAGTGTGAACAGGTGGAAATTGAATGTTAATGCTTAGCTTTTCCTTCTTTCTTTCCAGTGTTACGGTGTTTGGGAATTCCCAGTCGACCTGTGACAAACTTTAGCTCAGCTCACGACACAGACGTCTCTTTGACCACAGATATTTACCTGGATGAGAACATGGATCCTATAGAGCACTTCAACACCGACTCCATCTGGTACAGCCTCCTTTTTTAGAAAACATGATAAAGCTGAATATTCAGAGAATCACGATTTGTGTGTTCACAGGTTTTGAAAGCTGTAGTTTTTTTGTGAGTTTAATCAAACTCAAATGGGATTTTCTTGCCTTTAAAAGAAATCCTCTATCTTTAAAACAGATTTAATTCATTAACTTTGGAAATGTCAGTGAACAAGAGCTAAAGATTGAAGCATGGAAGGATAAACGGAGCATTTAGACATAAGTTTGTTATCTTCAGGAGTTTTTTAGTCACTCCGTTTGGGGTTCTACCCAGAAGTTGCGCCCTTATGGGCGTCATATCCAATGACCGTGTTACCCTTTGCTGAGTTTGATTATGGCATGTGTCCACCTGCAGGAACTTCCACGTCTGGAACGACTGCTGGATGGCTCGTCCTGACTTACCTGCAGGTTTTGGAGGCTGGCAGGCCATCGATTCCACACCTCAGGAGACTAGCCAGGGAACTTTCCGCTGTGGCCCCGCCTCCCTCGCTGCTGTCCGCCATGGTCAGGTGTTCCTCAAACATGACACGCCGTTTGTCTTTGCTGAGGTATGTCAAAAGAAAACTTTTTGTCAGGTATAAAGTAAAGTAAAGTTTTGTAATAAAGTGAACCTCATCTGTCCTCTAATGACTGATTATGACTGTGACGTGTTTTAATAATGAGCCATATGGCGTCCATCAAAGTGAGGTTTACCATCTGTTCAGAGCTTTCCTGTCACCTCCTCTTTGTTTAAATGCAGGTGAACAGTGATAAGATATACTGGCAGAGGAAAGAAGACGGGACCTTCAGTATGATCTACAGTGAGAAAAAAACAGTGGGCCGCTTCATCAGCACCAAGGCTGTGGGCTCTGACCAGCGCACGGATATCACACTCCTCTACAAACACCCTGAAGGTAAGAAAATGCCTGGGCTCTGTTTTTACATATTCCAGAGTCGAAGTCACTTAAAAGCATAAAGGGTTAGATCTGCATGCAGGGTGTCCTGGTTATTTTCGCTGGCATATGGGTTTGGATGAATTGAACATTTCCAAGCATGTTCATAAAAAAATAATTAAAAAATAATAATAATTTAAAAAAAAAAATTAAAAAAAAGGTCTGCAAATGAATTAGTCTGACGATGACAGGCTCACACAGGCAGAGAAAAATTAAAAAGGTACAAATCTTAGCTAGTGCTTTTGTTTTCTGTTCTGGTGAAAATGTCTTGTTACACCTACTTAAAGCCGAGTCCAGAAAAAGGTTGTATTTCAAAATATTAAGCACCAAAAGCCTTTGAGTGAAAAAAAACAACAACATATTGTTCAATGCAATATAATGTTTTATGTCACCTCAGGAATTACACTCAGACTAATGGCCAAGGACTTGGGACTTGACTTGGACAAGCAAAAAGTGACTTCCATTCATCTTTTATCTACATTTTACTCTCTGACTCTCTTACGAAGCTCCTTCTGTGGAGAGACCCTAGGCAAGAAACTGAAAATAATAGTCTGAGCCTTTCAGTTACTAAAATAAAAATGTTATTTGTATGCAAGGGCACATTCTAGGCCAAGAGCAAAAACAATCCACAGGTGTAATTTTTAAACTTGTTAAGCTAAAACGACTAAAAACACACAAGGACCAATGCAAAAAAGCACTGGAGGCAATGGTCCTGTGTTTTCAAATGTAAGAGAATTTTAACCTCTTGTCTGTCAGAAACAGTTTAATCATCATGTCATATCCTCAGGTTCAGAGCAGGAACGTATTGCAGTGGAGACGGCGTGCAGCTATGGCTCCAAAGCCGAGGCGTACACGCCCCCCACGGCGCAGGACGTCTCTTTGGAGGTGACCATGGATGGAGAGGGGCCAAGGATGGGGAAAGATGCAGAGCTGAGCATCATACTGAAAAACAGCAGCTCAGAGGATCGTAAGGTGGGCCTGCACAGCCAGGTGGAGGTCATGTACTACACCGGCGTCCACAAAGCCACAGTCAGGAGGGACACAGTGGATGTGGACCTGCTGCCAAATGAGGGTGAGAGACGACTCTTCATCTGAAGTGCTGCCAGAAAAATAAACACACCAACACAAACCAAATATTTATTTTTGTTTCTGCATTTAGAGCCAGATCATGAAAGGAATGGTCATTTTTGCAGTTTGGTGTTTGTTAACTTTCTCCTGTGTGATCTGTTCCTGAGCTAACATACTGAAGTCAAAAAACAGACTTTAACCAATCATTGCCTGCCTGCTGTGTCCACAGAGAAGACCCTAGAGTGGACCCTGGAGTACAAAGACTACAAAGACCAGCTGGTAGACCAGGCAGCTCTGATGCTGACCCTGACTGGCCGGGTAAAAGAGACACAACAGGTCCTCGCCACACAGTTCAGCTTCCGGCTTAGGACCCCAGACCTCCTCATAAAGGTAGGGACAGTCAAACTCATGAGGAGTTTATTACCTTTACATAAAAATTTACATTTGAATCCTGGTCTAATTTTGTTCTGCTCATTTCAGCCGATTGGGAAGGCTGTGGTTGGGGAGAAGATGGCAGCAGAGATTTCATTCACCAACCCGCTGCCTCAGGTGCTAAAATCCGTTGCCTTTCACCTAGAGGGACTCGGTCTTCTGAAAGCTCGAAAGATTCATTATGGGTGAGAAAGAAAACTTATATCACTCCCTCTCTTCAGCTTTACCTGTCTGTGTTTCTCTTTGTGTGACGCTCCCTGTCATTTCCTGTCCTCCCTCAGAGATATCGCCAGCCTGGCATCGGTCACTCTGACTGAACACTTTGTCCCCTCCCTGCCCGGACCGAGGAAATTAGTGGCATCTCTGGACTGTGGTCAGCTCACTCAGGTTCACGGCGTGTCCGATATCACGGTGGAAGAGAAAAAGTGATGGAGCTGCGTAGCTGGTGAAGCTCTGACTCTGAATGTAAACTCTCTGAACAGACTCTGGATCTGTTTTTCCATCTCTTCTTAATGTCAAGTTTAAGTTGGAAAACAGATCAGAAAAATTGTCTAGTTTCACCTCCGAATAAGTAGCGTCACATCAAAATCCTCCATGTTTTAATTCTGATGATGTTAAGACGACTCACTGGGCCCAGATCTTCAAAAGATTGGATCTTGATCAAAATTATTGTGACATTATAAACCAATCAGATAATCCTGTTTATTTCAGGCCTGGTTGACAAAGAAAAACTGGATTAAAGTAACTTTAACTAGACACAAACTTTTAAAGCTCACCTAATCTAGAGTTCAGAGCTCCAAAAGGGAGGAAATGCTACAGACTTTGTCCGAAGGGGGCACCAAAGTCTACACAAGTTCATGTCTGCTCTGTCAGGGTTGTGAATATTTTTTCCCACTGTAATCCAGTCTGAATACTGCTACTAAAAATAATTAGCTCTACAGAAGCCCCAGGGGACATAAATCCACGCAGGACCAAAATTGGTAATGTTCCATTTTCCAATTTATTCCTCACAGTGACACTGTTACATGTGTGGCAGTGAGGATATAGAGATTTAATAAAAATGGGCAATAAATTAAAAATAAAAGAATTACTGCAAAAACTGCTGAGAGTTTTACAAAACAATAATTACCATAGTGAACAGTGAACATATTGCACAGTCTTCCATTTAGGTAACATAAACACAGCATTGTCTAGTCTAGTATTAGATGGGGAAAAAAAATTATATAGAAGTCCAAAATATTTAAGCACAACTTTCTTAATGAAAAAGAAAAATTCAGAGGTTCTGTCTTGGAGAAAAGTGAAAAAAAAAATCCAGGAATATCAGAAGATGACAAGAAAAAAGGGTGGAGAAATGTTTGGAGAGTTCTTGTCACAGGCTTTTAGAGTACAATGTTAAGAAGCATGTTCCCTCAGGGCTTCCATACATACTCAATAGTGAACACAGCATGAATGGGAAGTTTTCCTCTTTGAACAGTCCACCGTGAGTTTGGTTTCCTTTTTTTTTTTTTTTCATTATTTTATGAGGACAGTTAAAGAGAAGCAACTACTGTGAGGAGGACTGCAGCCTCTGTGGAGTGACCGTCTAAACCATCTGCTCCCCAGAGATGATTGAATCTGATCCGTTGACTTCAAATGACTGAGCCCTGGTGTGTTAAAAAGAAGAGTTGCAGAGATCAGTGAGACAGCTTAGATAAAAGATTTTGTAAAGAAGTTGCTCTTTAATGAGCTTTCTGTTAAATATGTATAAATACAACATATTTATTTTTACTGTGTTGAGAATAAATACAGTTATTTAAGTGTTTGAATCCTGCTGTTCATGCTTTTGTATCCCTACAAATAAAGAAATTAAACACATCCCTTAAGCCGGGTGACAGTTTCTGTTTTTAATATTTGGTTGCCATGGATTCATAGAGGTTGTCATGGTAACTGTGTTTAGCAGCCATGTTTGAAGTCCTGTAACAAATGAATGAGGTGTTATGAAGGTAAATGCCCCTCAGCAGGTGACTTTTATCTGTTAGAGCACAGAGCTTTACCTGTTGTCATGTGTCACAGGTGGTTTATAAAACTGCATTTTATGACAGCCTGTTGTTTCTAGTGTAATATTCTCTTTCTCTCTTTGATTTACTCCTTTTTGTACAACATTTCATTCATATTCATGTGTCTCTCCCACTTTTAAAGGATGACAGCACGCAGCCAATCATTTTGTATCAGACGAGTGCAGCAGAAGCATATTTGTGCAGTTTATTTTAATGCAATTTAACTGTCTGAGAAAAATGTCACATGGAGCCCAACAAATGCTGTGTTAAAAAATCCCAATATGGAAAACTGTTCCACTGTTAAATGTTGCACCACCTGCACAGATTTTGAGACAAAAGTTGGTGAATTTTAGATGTTATATTGAGCTAATTCTACTGTAGAAAAACATGATTCACTCAAAGGCATCTGGAGAGTCAAGCCAAAGCATTAAGGGCTCTCCCTATTGTCTGGGTGTTGATCAGTAGAATCAAAATACACATCAAATACATGTTTCTCAAACAGGATTTCTTATGGTAAAATCATGCCTATCATGCTGACTCATGTCCAGCGGTTGATTTTTCTGACAAGTATAGTTTTACTAGCTAATAGCTAATCTGCCAAACGAGGCTCCTGCAGCTTTGTGTGCACAGAATTATCAGAGACGGGAAGGAACGGCGAGAGGAAACTTAATAAATTTTCTATAACCATGAGCTCCATGGACATTCGGTATCTATTAGGACATTTCTTGAATCAATTAAAAAGGATAAAAAATGCAACAATTTATAAAATCCTAAAGTATATCAGTTTAGACTCATTTCCCATGAACTCCTGTATCAATGTATATGAGAATGACCAGTCTGAAGCACTGCTGAAGTGTTATTGTAGCCCAGGTTGCTTTGATAGCAGCCTTCAGCTTGTCTGTATTTTTAGTTTGACTGTTTCTCATCTTCTTGACAAATATCTCACAGATTGGTGATAGTTTGGGCAGGTACCAAGTCCTGCTAGAAAAGGAAATCAGCAGTCTTACGGTCAGCTAATAATGAGTAGTAGTTTTGGTGCTGTGGGCGGGTACTAAACCCTCTGGAAGAGGAAATAAGTAATGGAACAATAAGCAAACTATTTGGTAAGTAGTTTTGGGGCTGTAGAAAGGAGCTAAGTTCTGCTAGAAAAGGAAATCAGTATCCTTATAAAGCTTCTCAGCAAATGGAAACAGATGGATTGTACATATTATGTCACAAACAATGTGTGTACCAAGGTTATTGCATAAAATGTGTTAACAAGTACATTTACATTTAAGGATGATAATCAATAGAATAACTGGGAATGCTGTGAGAAGAAAGAGTAAACACTTTATACTTAGATGCTTGTTTCTAACAGTGATTTATTCTCCAGAAGCCTCTGTCTGCAGCTCTCATTGTGTTTTGATTTTTTGGCCTTTTGAGGGTTAATTTGCTGGTTTTATGGAGATGGTGATCCATTTAGGTGACAAAACACGTCATTCAACAATAAAACAGAGAGCCAGGCTGGTGACTCATACAGGATGTGCAGGAGTTCCTCAAAGAGTCTCATGCTGCATTCATGAGGAGAAATCTATAAGAGCAAATCTCACACGTTTTCTCCTCTGAACACTAAAGGCAGACACACAGTCAGGGTTTGAAGAAACTGGCTGTGCGGAGCAGCGAAGATGTGAAATGATGTTTGTATAGCACCATAAAGATAAGATCAACCACAAGTGATTGCTTTGACTCAAAGTTTGAAAAAAATGTCCTCACAATCTTCAGTTTCCTCTTTAGAATTGATTTCCATAGAATGAGAACTTAATGAAATGACTGACGTTTAAAGTCCATGAGTCATTTCCTGCACAATCAAAGACAGTTTATGACTAAAACCAGCTACATCACATTTCAATAGCACATGTTCAAAGCTCTATTCATTTGCAAAACAGTAACGACAAATAAATCCAGAATTTAAAAAAAAAACAGTTTTGTGCTGTTTTAACTAAGTGCAAAGGAAAATTAGAAGAAAGACTGCCAGATGACGCCATCACAGAGAAACTCAGAGGGGGAAAAGGTTTAGCAGCTCTGTGCAGTCTGCCCTCATTTTGCATTTGGCTCTGGTTGATGAGTTATTTGCTTCTTTGCTCTCTGCTGCACAAACCTGTGCTTTGCACTCTAACTCTGACAGAGCTCAAATCTGTCAACATGAAAATGATGAGCTGGATGGGATGGAGATACAATTAAACCTTCATCTTTGTCCCACATCACAGTGCAGATTGTCTCTACACTTCACTATCAGGGACCACACAATCATTATATTTCAATCAGGAGAGACAAGGTAAAGAATAAAAAGTCATTTTAAAAGTAAGTATTGCAATAGCAATACAGAGAGCCACGCGCTCAACCAAAATGCTCAATCAGGAGTTTCCTGATGGAAATGCAATCAGACCGAGACGCTAAGGCAGAAGAACTACCGTGTCTGCAGAGCAAAATGATTAATATGATGAATATTACCTCAAGGAAATGATAAAGTAATAATCACAAATGTTCTTCCTTGAGCTGCGTCCCCCCGCAGCAGTCTGCAATGGACTGGCCCAAGGTCTTGCTACAAACAAGCGGCTGCTGGAAAAGAGTAGGTGAGTTGTGTTTAGTCTCTTTGCAAAAGAAATCAGGCAAAGCTAAAAAGATGTTTGGTGGCTAGTACTATGGCTAGGACCCTATATGTACTGTTGATGAAGTTAGGTGCTGTTCTGAGCATTATTTGTGGCTATAGAGTGGCTTTTTGCTCTCTGTATTGCTATTGTGTGGTCGTTACTAAAGTTGGGATAACTAGAGAAGCAAGCGGTCGGCAACATTCATCTCTCGGTGTTATTGTGTGTTTGACCCTAACTTAATTTTATGCTGGAATATCCCTTTAACCAATGACTGCCCTGAGTGATGACAGCAGGAAAAGCCAGCGAGCATGAGATCAGAAAAGAGACTTAGGCAGCTCTCTAAGAAATTATAGTCTACCTGACAGAACTTACACTGGAGGCACAGTTGTAGTTGTTTTGGGGCGCTACTCAGGGGATCTGCTGCCGCACCAGGGCATGATGAACCCTCTATGATGTCCTATGGATAGAGAGAGTGATTTCTTCTTATCTAAATTTTATCTAACCAGCAAAGCCTCATTAAGATTGAAAATCTCTTTTACAAGAACGTCCTGGCCAAGACAGCAGCAGCAGCACTTTCCAGCAGACTTACAGACATTGAACATTATATGAATTTGCACCAGATGCAAACACATGTAGGCAAGGCAATGAGAATGAGGCAAGTGTGTGCTGCAAATTGATTGATTTGTACTTGCAAATCACAAAAATGTGCAAAGTGTTACCCGCTTCATCTACATAGGTTGACAGATCTGAATTTCAGTGAATC